ACACGCTCCATACTACCATTCTCCTCGAAGTCGCGGGTGAAGAAACGGCTAGTTTCCATGTTAACACCCATAGCCGCGAAAACGATCGAGAAGTTCTCCTCGTGACCGTCGTGAACGCCCTTCGTCGGTTGGTTGACCAAGCTGGCCTGGCGACAAATCTGTGCAGCAATTTCGTTGTGTGGAAGACCGGCAGCCGAAAAAATGGGAATCTTCTGTCCCCTGGCGATTGAGTTCATGGTGTCGATGGCGGAGATACCTGTAGAGATCATTTCTTCGGGGTAGACCTATCCAGAGAAAAGAGCCTATCAGCAACCACTTCAAATCCAAAGCCTTCCATAGCGAATTTGGGATTGGTATACATACTCGCGAGTAAGGGTTGATAGGTTGACCGTTGATATCCAGATAATCCTCCGCCAACACCTTAGGACCCTTATCAATTGCACGACCCGAACCATCGAAAACACGACCCAACATGTCCTCGGACACGCCAAGCTTCAAACTGTGCCCGGTAAACTCGACTTTGGTCTGATCCACAGTAGTTAGCTACCATGCGTTCTCCCCAACCATCAATCCAAGAACCAAGCAGTGCCATACCTTCTTCACATCGACACCCGAGGTACCTTCGAACACCTATACGATTGCAAAGAAGCTCTGTTAACATCGCGCACGAGTCATCATTCAGGATATCCGTATCCGCACCTGTACAACCGCTCTGTTGCCTCTCGCTTCGAGGACTTGACCCGAGCGTTCTGTGCCATCGGGGAGCGTCAAGGAGACGATTTCATTGTACCGGGGGAATTTGACCTGTCGACACTTTCGTTAGATACTATCATCAAATTTAATCGATTGATTATCGGACGGTCAATGCGCAGCTCGTAACAACGTACGTTATCAAGGACAACCAGAGGTCCGTTGATACCTCCGATGGTGTTGTAGCGGATACGAGGCTTGATGGAGGTCATCCGGGGGTCGACGAATTCGGACGCCATTATTGCGATTCTTCGAGGACTGCGGGATTTATCAATAGGGAGATATCAAGGGAATAGTAGAGCAAGCAAAAAGCGAGGCACAGAACCGGAGCTGCTCCTGGTCAAAGCAGAGGTCGGGCCAGGTCGTCGATACGTATGGGACGGCGTCATCCCGCCCAGGCGGTGGCGCACGTGATACCCAGCTAAGATACAGATCCGGAAATGGGACAGTTGAAAAAGCATGCAGACAATATCAGATTGTTTGTTAGAGAATTATGCTAGGAAGTGTGTGGATTATTGCGAAGCCTATCTTAAGCAGGTATATGCTATACTCTGCAGCAGCCGTGTATATCCTTGGGGTATACAGTCTGATGCAGAGAAATAAACGGGAAATACAACTACTAAGAACGTTTTGGAATATGGCTACTGTTTTGAAGCAGAAACACATTGGTGTTCTAGGTCGGCTAACACCACAGACAACGAAGGCTGCAGAAACGCTCAATGATAATGCCAACTCCCGAATGAAGGTGCTGCATTCTATGTGGCATGGCTCTTATAACAAAAAGCGGAAATGGATATCATCAGTCATGCTTATGTGGAAAGCTCACCTCAGATCATTTGAAACGAAAAATGAAGGCATTGTCCAAAGAGGGTGCTGTAAAATAAAATTAAAGATAACTCCGTCCACCCATAAACCCATAAAAAGATAATAATACAGTTTATAGAATCGAAGAAAGAAAAGTCGTAACTCGTGCACAGCCCCGGGAGTCCCAGAGCAGAAGACGTTTTGTCAATCAATTTTTGCCATGGCAAGATTCTTGGGCGTCGATAAGTTGTTGGAAAGGCGGATGTTCGTCTTCTTATTCTTAGTTTGCTTCTTCAGTTTCCTGCGAGCGACCATTACCGGAACAGAAGACTTGGTAACAAGGTAATTCGAGAACGATCCCAGAAGAACACTACACAGTGTATACTGTTAGCAAGGCAGACATAAAACCAGAGTGTGATACTGACCCCTTGAGAGCACTTCGTCCTCTGGCTCCGACAATCACGAGAGTCGGCGCGAGTCCATCGATCTAGAAACAGTGTTAACAATATGTCCAACACTCAATATGCGTAGCAACTTACAGCCTCGGTTATCATATGCTTAGGACTCTTGCAATGAATCACCTCCACCGCGATCCGCACTTGAAGCAGTGTCTTCCTCAACAGCCGAACACAAGTCTGAGAAATCGTCTCAACGGCATGCATCCGATCCGACTCTGCCTTGGATATACCCTTGGCATCGACAGAGTTCGACTTGCTATCAGATCCTGAACCTAGACGATCCCGAATGGCACGAGGAAGATAGGTTGACGGATCGTTCTGGGACTTCCGTGCTGTCTCTTCCGTTTGAGACCCCACCACCATTGCAGAATCCTGCATCGCTTTAGCACCCTCGCCGATCTGAACAGACGGGCCAGTGCTGGCCTCTTCGTTGATAGCACAGACGGCAAACAAGGTATCCCCGTCCCGCAAAATGGTACCGATTGTCCACTCCAGCGCATATACGGATTCCTCGCTGAGGTCAGTGGTTACCATGTACTTCCGTCGCCGGCGACGGCCTCCTTCAGTTTCCTCTAGCACATTACCAAAATCACCACGCACGATAGTCCTGATCGATCTGTTGCGCACAGAGTTGTTAATGGATGACATTTGGATGCTGAGTTTCTGGGCCCGTTTGATATCTGATAGTTCCGCTTCGTCTTCCGATCCAAACGGCGTGTTGACTGCGGAAGTCGCTTCGAAGCTCGTACGCGGGTGAACTTGGGGCTGCTGCGGCTTCGGTGATTGCGGTGGATGCAGTGGCTGCGGGCCCAGCTTTGCGGAGTGAATCAAGGTGGGTTTCTGCTCCTCGTGGGGTGTAGAGTTGATATTGTCCTCCACCAGCTTACCTACATCTCATTAGTATTGAGACCGACAGCTTGAGGTGGGAGATATGGAACGAAAATTAACTTACGCTCTTCTTCTGCTGCTGCAAGAAGGCTCTGTGGCTCTTCCTTCGCGTCACCTTGGCTGCCATCGCCGGACGGAGCTATAATCTCGATAGACACCTTCCTCCCACGGCCTACGGATTCGTCATCGCTCGAGGAGTTGTCGTCAAAATCTTCTTCGTCGCTTGTCTCTCCGATCGGATTGTTTTCGCTATCGTATACGTCCTTCTCCAAGCGCTCATCATCCGCGGTTGAACCTTCATCGAGCGAACCCCGACGGGATCCGGGTTCTGGGAGTGCTGACGATAGACCTCCCGAAAATTTAGAGAGTGCCGCATCAGACAAGTGCATGTCAATGGATTTGGTGGCCGATTTAGTGGATTTGAGGGACGAGGTTGCTAGGCTGAAAGGGTTGGTTCGGAGCCATCGGTTTCTGGGGGAGATGGAGCGCGCAAATCGAGAGGGGAGCCGAGAATCCAGCGAAGACCCCCTCGATGCGCCGTTGCGGCGAGCGGAGTCTCGTCCCCTAGCAAAACTCGGCAACCCGAACTTCGAGTCCAATCCTGACATCATTGTAGCAACAGTGTTTTTGCCGACCGGCGACTTTTCCTGTGCTAGGGGTGTAGAGGTGGGGGAAATTGCAGAATCACGGTCGGGGCTACTGAGCGACACAGAAGTATCGAGGTGAAGCGCGGTGGTAGTAATTGTCGGTGACTTCACCCCGGATTTCTCAATCTTGCCTACTGATTTTTTCCTCTCGTGGGACCGGTCCGTGCCGTCCGATGACTTACGAGGGGCAGCCTCGGAATCGCCAGATGATTTTTCCTTTTCCTGGTCATAAGGAGAGGTAGGAGACGATGCAGAGGGTGGAGACGTCGCAGTAGAGCTCAGGCGCAACGGCGACGACAGGATCGGCTCATTCCAGGAGCGCCGATGAGTTGACGACGGCGGAGTCACACCCACTCCTATACCAGCAATGGACCCATGGCGAAGCGGTAGAGCCCCAGGGGTAGGAGAGAACTCCAGCATACTATATCTTGCAGTGTTTCCCGAATTATCATTGATGGAGGATGATGTTGATGCCCATGATTCGGAGACGTGACGCGTCTGACGGCCTTCCATGGTATCCACGAGCTCCCGTCGTTCCTGCTCAAGAGTTTCCTCCAGCGACATTCTAGTGCCGTGACGTCTCGAGCGGGAGTATGCCATTGTGGGTTATTCTCCCCCGCCTGTGGGAGAGTATGATAACAGCGATGACACAGCTAGTGAACGTTCTCTGCGGACAGGCGGTACTCTTATATTCCGTAGTGCACCCGTACTCCGTATGGGGCTCTTTGTTTTGCGGAGGAATGTGGGGAAGATGAGCGTAAAATCGGCAGTTAAGTTCAGCCCCGTGCCCAGGCAAAAAATGAAGATCTCTGTCGGTTATCTATAAAGTCAGCGGCAATAGTCTTTGGATCGCGAGAGAGATAAAAGTAACAGTTTGGGGTTGAGAGGGAAAGCAGGGGGAGTGAAGAGGGGGACCCAAGAACAGCCACGGCGCTGACAATCTAAACGCTGCGTCCACGTGCAATCAAGGCAGCAGCAGCAGAATCCTTACTAGAGAGATAAAAGAATGGAATGTTTGTCTCCGTCTGCTGCGACGAGAAAATAACGGTATGGGTGGTTCAGTTGAAGTTGGTATATACGCCTGTCGGACTATGAAAATGACGCTGAGAAGGCAAGCGTCACTCAAAGCAAAGACAAGGCAGGCTCAGCTAGGAGACCATCCTTAGTCAGGGAAAAGTGTCTATATTGCCGGCCACAACAGATACAAAATTTAGATTGATAGGAGTGGTGTACTGCATAGAACATGATTGTATGCATTGTCTATCTTCACATGAAAATGAAATAAATGTACCAAATGCCTAGAACGAACCCAGTCCTGTGAAAATGACCAATATTTACCATAATTCCTGTCCTTACCGGCCCAGTCACCCTAAACTCCTGGCTTAATAGGATTCACAAGTAATAAAAACTGCTAGAAAACGCGAAAAGGAAGATCTCAAGCAGCCGAGATCCATCACGCCCTAGTCTTCTTCTTCTTACTACCGCCGGACGACTTGCGCGCACCAGTAGCAGCAAAAGCTTCCTCGGGAGGCTCATCCATCTGCGCAGCTCGTTTCTTTTGACCCTTCGGCGCATATTTCTCCTCTAACTTATCGAAGAATGACTCGGCGCGATTCGCTTGTCGCTGCTTGATCATAGCCACCAGCGCGTTATCATCCAAAGCATTATCCTTGGCCTTCTTCTTCCTCCCACCTCCTCTCTTACCCTTAGCCTCTTTCTTCTCCTCAATCTCCTTACTCAGCTCCTCCGCTTCTGCAGCCTCCTTCTGCGCTGCTTCTATCCTTTGCTGACGCTTGCTCTCCGGTTCCTCCGAGTAGTCCTCGTAATTCTCTACCTCGCCGTCGGCAATGGCCTTGTCAATAATAGCCCGGAACCGCTCATCATCATCAAGAACATTGCACAGCATCACCGATTCGTAGACCTTGTCCATATCACCCTTGCTTTTCTCAAACGCCGCAAGCATATCGCGCTTTTCCTCCTCCGACCCCTGATACTCCTTCTTCAACTTCTCTAGCGCGTTAACGTCCACTGAGGCAGAGAACTGCTCGCGGTAAAAGTCCATCCAGTTAAAGTCTTCATCTTCATTGACTGCTTCGGCCGTACTACCGGTTAGGTCGAATCGCTTACGACGGCGCTCGTCGGAGAGGATGGCATAGGCGAAGGCTATTTGCTGGAATTTGTGGTTCGCTTCGTCCTTGGAATCGGCTGGGGCCTTGTCTGTGGATTGTTAGTCTTGGTTTTCCATTGTTGCGTGTCAAAAAGAGCGGGTGAGGATGTACCAGGATGATGCTTCAGCGCTAACTTTTTGTATGCAGATTTGATCGCCTCTGGTTTCGCATCTTGACTGACACCAAGGATGTCGTAAAGATCTGTCTCGAGAGGGGGTTCGCGTGGGATTTCTGGTGAGTTGCGATCCGGCATGGCGTAGTAGTAACGACGGTATAAGCGCAAAAATGAAAAGGGGAAAAAGCAAATCAATTGAAATCTAGTGAGAAAAAAGACAAGTAGGAATTAGATATGCAAGTGTTTATAACTGTCACAAAGGGATTCAATGGAAGTATATAGGAAACGTTGGTTGTAGTGCTTTACGCGACCTGACGCGAGCCGTGGGAGGGAAAAGGAACTCTGCCGTCATCGCCGATAATTAGATCTCCGGAGTAGGATAATCCCACGCCCAGTTTCAGTGGTATTAAAGAAACCTCCCACAACACCTGCATTGATTTTATATCCTCATAGAGTTCTTTCGAATCTGCTCTGCCATTTGGGAAATCGAGCAAGCCATCTACGTTGTCCCAACCCAACCCTACTGCATACTTGTACTATACGCATCGTATACACTACGGCAAGCACATACTACCGGTATTACCATCTACATCATGACGACTTCCTCCCCTCACGTCCGCTACATATCCGAATGCCTCAAACTCGCCGAAAAGTCCCCTCCACGACCAACCAACTTCCGTGTCGGCGCAATCCTCCTCTCCCGCAAAGCATCCTCCAGCGATGACGCCACACAGGACGACCAAATCCTCTCCACCGGCTACACAATGGAGCTAACCGGCAACACCCACGCCGAACAATGCTGCTTCTCCAACTATGCCGCCGTGCACTCTGTCCCCGAAGACCGCGTCGCAGAAGTCCTCCCCTCCAGCGACCCCGACCGCAAACTAGTCATGTACGTGACCATGGAGCCCTGCGGAAAGCGACTGTCGGGGAATGCGCCGTGCGTGCAGCGAATTATCAACACTCGTTCTGATGGCCGTGGGGGTATTCAGAAGGTTTATTTCGGTGTTAAGGAGCCTGGGACGTTTGTGGAGGGCTCGGAGGGGTGTAAGATGTTGGATGCGGCGGGGATTGAGTGGGAGGTTGTGCGCGGGTTGGAGAAGGAGATTTTGTCGGTTGCTACGGCTGGGCATGAAAATAGTGAGGAGGAGGTTAAGGCTGCATTGGCGGATTATGGGACTAATGTTGATGATATTAGTCCTGAGGAGCGGCAGAGACAGGAGCAGCAGCCGCGGAATCCGAAGAAGAGGATGATGGAGGGATTGATTTAGTTCGTATCATGGCGTATGGCCTATTGATAGCAGAATGAAGCCATTGAACAACACATCAATATCAAAAGTCGATTGTATTGTAGTTCAACGGTACCTTGAAAGCTGAAGAATCCCAAAATAGCGGACAAGCAAAAACTGCACGTGATCTCCACGCAACGGCCAGAAAACCTCCTTCCTACCTCCATAACTCTCCAACGACCAGAAAAAAATAACAGACAAAAGATGAGCCCATGGAGACGGTCGACAATGATAGCCTGGCCTTTTACCCGGCATTCTGCTTCAAGGCGTCGCCAACCCATTTCGCCTGGGTAAAAATGGCCGCTGTAGATGTGCATCTGCTGAAGAGACGGCCGGGTTTTGAAGGTATGTATTCACTACCGCATCATATGCTTTGTTTTTAGTTAGACTGTGTATGACTATCCTGTTTTGATGTTGTCCTCTGGCCGTTACGGTGTCGTAGATTCTATATATATTCTGCAATAAACTAACAACCCCAGGTCAAAACATCTACTTCTATCTAAACCACCCAATCCGCTTCGTCTGCCTCGTGGGACTCATCGTCGCCAGAACAGACGTCTACAAACGCACCATACTTACCCTCGACGACAGTAGCGGTGCAACCATCGAAATCGCCGTTCTGAAATCTGAGCAATCCATCCCCCAAGAAGGGACTGGTACTGAAGAAGGCCAGCAGCAACAACAACAACACCAAGGATCTAAAGCACAGACGCAACCGCCCATAGAAACGCATGTCACCGCAACCGACAAGACGTATTTGGACATCTCATCTCTCGTCCCTGGAACGCTGGTAAAGATTAAAGGCACGCTGTCTACCTTCCGCTCCACCATGCAACTAAATCTTGAGCGCTTTTTTCCGGTTCCCGATACGAATGCTGAAATGCAGTTTCTGGACCAGCGCATTCGGTTCCTTGTCGAGGTTCTGTGGATGCCGTGGGTGTTGACTGAGGAAGAGATTGTGCAGTTGGGGACGGAGGCCGAGGAGGAGCAAGAGCGGCTTGGAGAAGAGCAGGATCGCATCCGGAGGAGGCATAGGAAGCGTGTCGAGCGGGAGGAGAGAGATCAGAGACGAATCCAGAAGTTGTGGGAGCGGGAAGAGAGGCTAAGGGAAAAAGAGGCGGCCTCTTGTCAGGTTGCTGGGAAGAGGGTTATGTGGGAGTTGGAGAAAAAGAAACGGACGAGGGAAGAATAGGGTCATGGTCCTGATGTGTGCTATAAGAATTGATATAAATTTTCAGCATGCGTTGACATCAACCATGAGGGCATGATACAGATCGTAAAGCTAGAAATCTGCACGCTAATAACTGCACAACCCCCAAACCATCCGCAAACACTGGGAAACACAAACGCTCGGATATAAATCATGCATCATGGGACATAAATTTGGCTTCATGAAAGGCGTCAAACAAAAGCGAACAATCATAACTTCTAATTCCCTTCTCCAGAATCAAGTAAAATCATATTCATCGGTAACCATAGGCGTCATAACCTCCACTTCCACCAGGACCAGACAGAGCACGGTAGTAATCTTCCTGGCCTACCCAGTGCCCTCGCGGAGGAAAGTTGTCATGATATTTGGATTTTTCACGTTCTCTAATGGCGTCGTACAGTCGCTTATCCTCGTTTTCGCGCTCAAGCTCCCGGTATCGCCGACTATCATCAAACGTATCGCCTGAAACCGTCGTCGGGCTCAAATAATGGTCCCCAGCGTAGCGTGGATGGCCATGGTGAGTGAGGATATCTCCCTCAGAATGTCTATAATCATGACCGGCTACGCTCCGCGAAGAGCTTCTAGACCGTCCAGGTCTGATGAGAGGATGGTGGGGTGTAGCACTTCCGGAGCGTGTGTAGACTGGGTCCTGGTGTTGAAGTTCAGGTGTCCGATGCCCAGGAACTGGAGGTATCGAGCTTTCTCTCGGTCTAGCGGTGCTTGACGAAAAGGACTTGCTATAACCATGCCCTGGCCTAAAGGGACCGTCATCAAACTTTTTACCACCGCCCGGTTGCGCGCTATACGGTTTTCGTTCACGTTCAATAGGGCCTGACACTGTTTCCTTATCTTCCTCCTCTTCCTCCTCTTCGTCTTCTACTGCTAGACTGACATAGGCCTTGTGAGGACGATGCGCAGCGGTGATCTCCTCGTCCGTTATAGGAGGTAGTTTCACGACACAGTGCTCCGTAATGTATTGATCGAGTTGTCTTCTCAACTCAATATCCGGTGTTTCGGGAAACAGCCGTCGGGGAATCTCCTTGGGAAATCTCTCTTTCTTATCATCCGGGTTGCTGATGGGCATGTTCAACACGGCTTTCTGCAATCGATCGAATTCCCTGTCTGGATGAGCTTGAATCATCAATGAAGCCCATCGCTCGAAGCCTCGGGGCGTCAAGCCTGGAACGTCCGGTCTTTCATTTAACTTAATCTGTATAAGGTGGTGTTCTGCTTCTACTTCCCGGAGTAGTCTAGAAATAGAGGATGTGCGGTCGTGGAAAATATCTGCATTGAAAGCACCAGTTAGACATGGCCTAAACAAGTAGGACGATTGTGAACTGACCTTGCCATGGATAAGGATCGGAGGCAACTGCTGTATCCTCGTAGAACTTCTGCATCTTCTCGGGAGTAACAACAATGGTATTCCCTGGCGGATAATCCTCAATCTACCCAGAGTCAGCATTAGCCTGCTCCCCAATATTTTATTAAACCATTTACCAAATGCATTGCAATCCCCCGCAAAAACTGCGAGAGCCTCTTTGTTGGCTTTCCATCCACAAAAAGTTTCCCCCAGATTTTCTCAAGCGTCGTCATTTCCCCATCAGCATCAGTGCTCTCTCTGGATAGAGGACTCGAACGAGATTCCACCCTAGTGTTATACTCGCTGACTTGACTCGCCCGCGAGCCAGACCTGCTCATGGGCTGAGAGATGTGGGATGATCTTGAAGGCGGGCGGGGGCTGTTTTGGTATACGCTTGGAGGCGGTGGATGATATGGCTGATAGCTCGAGTTGTTGTCTTCGCGTCCAGCACGGGGCGACATGGGGGAGTGATGCTGTTGTTGCTGTTGCTGCTGTTGAGCCGGGATATTCTCGAGTCCAGTCGTCTTAAGCTGCTGGATCACATTGGCCGTTATCTGGGTGAGGACTTCGGGGGATAAGTAAGGCGGCTGATCTGCGTTGTTGAACGCCGAGTTGACAGCTTCGTTAATACGGCCCGTTTGCTGGGGCTGCGGGTACCATTGGTTATTATCATGATTATTTAGATATTGACCGGGGGATGACGATGTGGGAGGCATTATCTTGGATTGCGGTGGTTGATGCCATACGGTGGGCTTACTCTGATATAAACCGGAGCGGAAAATGTGCCTCGGGAGGGACAAGGCTGGTATCGTATTGTAAGTTATGACGCAGTTGGAGATTAGTGGAAATTAACTCCCTTCAGCCATTGCGGTATATCATTGGTCAGAGTGTCTCTCTACAGTATACTTCGGAGTGTACCAGGATAGCCCTGCTTACTCCGAAGTACAAGGCACCACTGACTCACTAGCCAGCCTGACTCAAGTACATTAGAGTTAGCAGAATGGACTATTAATTAGGCCAATCAACCGAAGTTCACTATGCAAGCCTCATCCTCTGTATGCCCCCTGCAGAAGCCTAGGAAATGGACGTCTAAACACCTTGAAACAGCAAGAATAAAAGTCATCGGCAACGTGACAGCAGAGAAGCTCTTCAGAGAGGAGTATGTTCCAGATGTTGGAGATCTAGATATATTTATGACTATGGCATTCACCTCCCATAAACTTACTCGGTTCATCTATTGAAAAATTCGAATGTATTGCCACCGCCTTCTCGCATCCAAGCCGCAAACAAGTTGTAGATGGCAGCTTATACAACATGTACGACAGGAAACGCTCGAGCGACACGAATACGCACTATTCCGCATCCCTAAGAGAGTTAATACATTCGTCCCATATGAAAGAGCAATAGGCAGCAAGTGACGTCGGTCGTGTCTATTCCCAGGGCAAGCTTCTACTCAGCTTACTCACACACTTGCTTCAAGAGAGAACTACTGCAGGCAATGAGATGTAAGAATTGAGACTTATACGCACATTTATAGGGTTGTGAGATTATCCGACCAAAACGGATATATATCGAATGAGCAACGAATCGCAGAATCTAAGGAAGATGCACGGTGTGAGGATTATCTCTAGCTATGATAAGGGAAAGAAGGCATATGGTAGCTCATTAGCTATACTATCAGTACGTGTCATTCTTTCAAGGTGAACGTCGCGCCGGTGACCATCATTTCAGGTAGTCAAGAAAGAGGAAGGACATTGAAGCCTTTACCAAATGCGAGGTTCCACAGTTGTTATACCCGATATTGCCTTCATACTCCGGAAACCCTACCTTGGGCAGTACGGGGACTTTGTAATCCGTCTCGATGGGACACACATGCACATCAGCAAAGCAGTAGTTCCCCGGACTTATTTGGAATTATTCCTAGACATGGGAGCGCTGGCGAGGATTTGCTTCCATAGATCCTGAAGAGTTTGACCTTATTGATCCTGATGGCTGAAGAGCCGTTGCGAGGCTTATGGTTTTGTTTTTATAGGTATATCGCTGATAGTAGGTAAGAAAGATTTTGGGAAAAGTATGAGGGGCGCAATATAAGCGATATTTCTTGAGCAACTACAAAGCTAATTTACATTCATTCACTGATTAATAACAGAACATATAACTTTCTACTGGCACCTTTACTTCCCTTAATTCTTTTCTCCACGCATCCGTCCACCGTCCATTATATATTCTGACCACTATGAAACAGAGAAATAGACACAGTCCAAAAGATATAGACGCCTGGATGACTTGTCATGATAGAACCGATCACGCTACATGGGATCTAAATTATTTTCGCATAGACAAACTGCTATTGGAACGGTTCTCTGTCGGGAAAAAAAAAAAAAAAAAATACCACTTCCTCGAAACCACAGCAAGTGACCCTCCAAGGTAAGTTTACCTAGCTTACCAGGGAAGAAAAGCATACACGGATAGGTATAGGAGCATGATATCAAAACACATGTAAAATAGTCACTTGACTGTCTTTTTCAAGGAATCGCCCGGGTTACTAACAGCAAAGTGCCCACACCTGCATGACACGAACCACTGGGTAGAAGTGCCCTCTGGGCCGATTTTGAGATCAGGTGATGAAGATGAGAATATTCTTGTCCGTCTTTTGACCTCACGACATGGAGGAATTTAAAGCTCACAAATGCGGCCAGCTCCAAGAGCCTTATCGATAGGGCTATCACCGCTTCATTGCCAGACCATATATAGACCCTACTTTTCAAAACGCGCTTATAATGGGCAGCAAGATCGAGGCAATTCGTCCAAATAATCGCGGGTAGGTTTATCACCATCTATATGATAAACCAGTATTAGGTGCTCTGACGCGCTAGTACTGCCAAGGTTCTCCTTTGGCCTAGGAGTATCTCCTCAGGAGATGCCAGACTCAATGGCCCAGAGAGAGTTTGCTCGTGGTTCTGAGTTCAACACCGTTAACGATGGTGACATCTTAGCAACGCAGGACGACTATATCCGATGTACACTTCCACATGATACCACAGGCACCTCACTGGGTGACGCTTTGGTACCGAATTAATCAACCAGCATTGAGCGGTAATATTGAATGCCGTATTGATTTCTATTCTCCGGTCTTATGGTGTTTGATCTTGGGAGGTGGCAGGGCTTATTGGGTATACCAGTATCACCTACACTTCGCGCCACGGAACTGTGGCAGAATGACAAGTGATGATCGAAAAATTTACTTAGAGCTGTCTATATTAGAGGAGCTCCATCCTCGAAGAAGACCACTCTAGCAAAGCTGTTGAACGCGCTTGCCAGCGAAAAGGACAGGCGGCGATTTGCGTGAATGCGCGGTACGGATGGAGTCATCGCTGTAATCGAGCATGTCACAAAGCTCTGCCAATAGGATAGCTGCCGTGTTCTCTGCAAGGCAAGTATTTCAACAAAGCACCGGGATATAATTCGAACTAAGCACCGTGCTCCATTTCCCGAGCCCGCTTCAAGCTGTATTAACGAGTTCTGTTTCAGCAAAGACGAATAATACACCCAATGGCCTAGATACAGGAAACCCCATTTCCATGGGTGAGTCGACAAACTTAAAGGTCGTGGCAGCTCACACCTTGCGCCGCCAAAATGACCGCACTTCTGCTCACTTTGGCCAGATCGGCTAGCTGACGACAAAAGTCGAACATACAACTGAAAACCCCTACGAGATATTCTCGGGTTGTACTGATATTCATCGATGGACAGTAGTACTCTTCAAATGGCCACAGTTGCGAAACGAGTACGTTCACAAGAAAGGGCCTCTCACAAGACTTCAATTGCTATGCCAACGCATGACGCATGATGCGTAATTGTACATGACGAACCCAAAGCCATGCATACGGTCGACCCCACTTCAAAGCGCTTCGGGGTATACAACTCTAAACCACTCGGTCTTAATACGGCAATGATTATCACATTCCCTGAAGAGCAACAAGACCCAATTTGTACTCAAAGCAGGATGTCACAAACAGACCTTGGTTGAGTTTAGCTGGGCATATGCACCTAGGGAAAGAATCGGCGCAAGGGAAAGAAAACCAATGCTGAGAGACTTGATCAACACAGCTGTGTTCTTAGGTTTTATACATAAGCGACTTTCGAGAAGGGTCGATACTGGGAACATATTAAGCTTTCAAGGGCCTTGAGTGAGCAGCTGCGTAATCGACAGCGTTGCCACCTAGGTTAAGGTGCATTCCGAAGACAAATGGTCAAGATTAGTGGATGGAGGCAACTCAAGGTCTTCCGTAATACAGAAACAGAAACTCAAAATATACAATTAGGAAAAGTGCTTTCCGAGTGGAAAATGATCAATGCTACTTATTTATTTGCTTTACGAAGCTCGTAGGTCTGGCTCAGTTTAAAATAAACTCACATTAACGATGAGATGGTTAGCCAGCAGCCCCAAACGGTAGCACTTGATGCCGTTTTGAGCGGCCTACTAACCATCGCCGGTATTGGCATCACGTGCAGTAATTCGCAAAACCGACCGACCTTATCATTACATCCGTCTTTCATTGGCCGCAGAGTTCCTGGTTCCTGTCCCAGACTCATGACGGGTCCGCGCGGCTCGTTCCTCGCCAACCCATGCCATCACCTTTTCAGCCCGCGACATAGCAGAGTGCTCAGCCTCTCACCCTAATTTTCAGGATGAGTGCCCGAAATGGTTGCCCTTGCAATCAAATTCGCACCGATTCTATTAGAATCTTGAAGTCCCCCCACGACCATGCTCCGGACTATTGGGACTGGTGAGGAGGACCCTCGCCTTACAGTAAGTGCTGCAATATTAAGACCGAGCGAGTCTGGCGCAGTTTAACCCCCTATGGCGCTCTAAATTTCGATTTTCATACTAGTGCATTCTGCATATTTACTCAGCTTGCCCCTACACCAACTTCATACCACTTCCAGCCAGCTAACTTCCAACAGTCTCCCCGCGTTATGTGGCAGGAGGTTTTTGAGCGACATGGAAATGATGGAAATGATGGGTGTTCCAAGTTGTTTTAACGCGAATGCGAGAATAATCTTGATGACCTGAAATAACGGAAAGGCACAGATGTGGGCCGCCCTGATGTTGCGCACAGAGAGCATGTTTACGCTCAGCATCCGCTCCGTCCAGTTGAGCTTTTTGAGATGCCTCGACAACGGTGGACATTGGTATGGCTTGCTCGAAGAGATGCACAAAAAGATGCGTGAGAATGCTCTATGACCGGACCGAGATGCGATCTTGCGGCCAACGGTTACGATTAAACTATTATTGGCCACTGGTCGAGTTGGACGTGGAATCTGGATTGAAAGGAGGTCCATGACTTCCTCTACGGAGAGGGAGAGCACCCATTCCAACCCGGCACGCCTTTGAGTGTTTTATAGGGTTTGTAACGGAGAAGGATGTATTTGAGCCTAGCTTTGACGCCCTCATGGTGGATGGGAGTTAAAAGAGGATGGCATTATTAAGGAACACTTTGAATATGATCCCAATCACGTTTGGAGGGGATAGGGCTTGCTGTTTGCTCATATTGCCCATATTTCTCATATTGGCAGTTGACTGTTACAACTTGCGCCAATAGTGGGATGATTGAGTGTAGTCACTACCGTATTAGAAAATATAGGAGAGCGGCAGCGGAAATTCAGGAATAATCAACGTCCGGGGCTTTCCATAGCATGGATTGTTTCTTTCACCCACATGTTCATGAGGTTGGGTAGCAAACAAAGTGAGAAATTTATGAAAAAGGGCCGTCACCGCATCACAAATGGTCAGTATCAGTTGATAACAATTCCTCAAACCTTGGCCGTTTCAAAGCGGGCTCTTGAAAATTCCCAGAAATGTTGGAGTTGCACTCTGACCCTTGCTCTCTGCAACAAATACAGATTACCAAGTTCGCGCACGTCATATAAAAGAGCCAAAGTATTAAAATATGGCCTGCAAATTGTACCAGAAGAAATGGATGAGAGATAAAATATTCAACGCTTGTTGCTTCCAGGGTTTTCCATCTCACCTTTGCTGATGGAGAGGATTATCTATCATTTCCGGACTCGGGTTTCTTTTATTATGAAGGCCATTGCTGGAATTCTTTTTTATTGGCATTGCTAATGTTGGGGACTGGGGCGTAGGGGTGTGAAATGCTCTCCCGCAGAGGTGGGCTGTGCCGGTTTGGATAACTCCATTGTCAGTCACCTAGTGGGCCTCATTTACTCTGTTGCTGAACCCGCGGTTCAGTTTACCATGGAATGGAGGTTGCGATAATAACCATGGTTCTGATATCTGGACTGCTGGGCCTTAAGCTAAAGGGGAACGGAAATGAAAGCCGGACCGAAAGTGATTGCAATAACGACAAAAATAAGACATGCGAGCAGGAATAACATATGGGAAAAAAAAAAAAAAAAAAAAAAAGAGAGAGAGAGAAAGAAAAAGTAGATACAGTGCATCCCGAATCCTGTTTTACAGAGTCAACGAGACCGGAGGCTGCGGCGATATCAAACCTACTGAAGTGAGAAGATGGCAAGCAGACGGCAGGACCAGAAAAACAATATTTCCTTAAGTAACCACTATGGTACACAGCAAATCTCCCGCAGTGATGGCAGTCTTGCGAATGGGAATTGATTGTAGAGCAGAGTACCCTACAGAAATCTCTCGATACTGTCGTCATTATCATCGTCATCTGAATGGTGAGCTTCAGCTGTGGACTCGGGGACACGCATGGAGGGGGCTTCGTTTGCTGGCACGCGGCGGCCCTAACAAGGGTAAGCAAGAATATTCATTGCTGAATATGTGATGGACCACTCACTGGCACTTTGGCAAAGTTGGAAGCCTTCTTCTTCGGAAGCGGGGCACGGGGTAGGGTATTGCCGGTCCTGACGTTGGGAACCTGGGCCGCGGCACTCTGATACTTCGATGCATAGGATTCAGTGTTTCCATTGCCGTAGAAGGAGCCATATCCACTGGGCTGGGAATTTGTGGCACGGCGATGAGCGGTACTGCTAGCGTCGAAACCGGTGTACATGCGGCTCTTTCCCTTGCTGAAACTGTTCTCGTCGTTTCCGGACTCCGATTCCACCCAGACGCCGCCACCGATGGAGGAGTCATCGTCTTCTTCGGGAACTGAGAAGCCACTGCGGGTGTAGGGGCTATTGAGGTTCAAGCGGTTAGTGGTCGCGGAGAGGGATTCGTCGTCGAACTGGGACTGTACGCAGTTGTCAGCTGCATCCAAGCATTGTTGTAGTTACGCTTACCCTAGTAAAGGTAGTGTCCTGCGTGGTCAACTCGCTTTCCGGGATCAGCTTCTGTTCGTCCACAATCTCGGTGTCGGCAATGAACTGGACGCAGTTCAGACATCTCTGTTGTCGTCAGCCCGTCAGCCCCAATTCCCACGAGATGTACGAAAATAGAAGCATACCGCGGTATCATGAAACTGACGCTGAGCCCTCGCGAACTCATTTAGACCCTTGATCTTATCACAAACGCAACACTTGAGCTCAACAGTCTGGCCCCCAACGCAGGTGCGACACTTGGCGATACCAGTACCGTTGACCGCACGGGCACCCTGGGCGATAATGCCGTGACGCAGGTACTCGAGCTGGCGCTTGGAAAACATGCTTTGCATGCGGATCTTCCTGCAATTGACGCACTTGACCCTGTTTGAAAAGGTAGGTGAGTGTCGTGTTCGATTTGATGGCTTTTGTTGGAGGTAGGGCTGTCTCACTTGTCTGGGATGGTGACCTGCTCGAGCCTGACGGTTTGTTAGTTGGGGTCGATAAAAAGGACCCATTGAGAGTGATGCCTACTTTCTCTTGGTTTTCTCGTTCCAGCCACCGGCATAGGCACTTTTCACTTGGGGCGACATCTTGGTCGTAAGAGAGAAAAAGAGCTTAGAGAGTGTGTGTGTCGAATTCAGGACCCGAAGGACACCATAGAGTTGAGTTGTTGATGAAGATGATGGTAAAATGGGGATGAGGAGGAGGAAAGAAGAGCAGAGAAGAAGTGAAGGAGGGTGAAGTATCCTATACAAGATCTCCCAGTCTCACGGCCAAGCAAACAAGCAGTAACTGCATGAGAGGAACAACAATTGAGCAACCAACGAACCCTGAAACTGCCAATGATTTGTTTTCCTCATGGATGCTGGGGATAATATTCATTGACAGCTAATGAATATTTGGAATACGTTTTATGAAGACTTTCTGAGCATCGCTTCACTGGCTGTCAACCCAATATGGGGAATGGACTGTAGACATCTTTTGTTTGTCTTATTGGCATGGCTAGTTGCAGCCTGAATTTATTTTCAGCGCCTGTCATCCGGCCAATTTGCTTCGTAGATTATTCAAGTACTTAAAATATGTATTCATCATTGTTGTAAATGAATAACTTGGGTAGATATGGACGAAAAACCTAATCTACTGAGGGTCATCGAAAAACGGCCCATAGCATGTGTAAGCAGGACAAGGCAGCACGAAGATAGCCAAGAAAATAAAATATCAGTGTCAAAGGAAAACGGAAGAATGGAATAACTACAGAGCTTGAACACTGATAGCTACTTGTACTCGATATAATCAACAAACACAAATTACTACTTCAAATCTATCACCCGTTTACGGAGTATGAACGTACAAATGCACTCAAGCCAAGCCAAGCTGAAATACAAAGCCACGGCTGCATATGATCTATCCTGTATTACTTGAATAAGCCATGCATAAATCGTCTCCCAATCCTCGCCTGTGTAGTATTCCATATGCACGCACTGCATCTGTATGATATACTTGGATCGACCTGCAAGATTCGTTTGTCCTGCATCATCTAACTAACTATTGGTGATCTCTTGACTAATCCGAATCCTTACAGGAAGACGAGGGGCCGGGGGAGGGCCAATACCCCTCCCGACAAGAGGCTACTCCTGGCGTTAATTTTCCAGAAACGTCGATGTACAGATGTGAGGATGATCGAGTGGGCACCACTACGGAGCAGAGGACAGGAGTATGGAGTCTATGGAGACCTTGGAATACACTCTAATAAGAGAGATTCATGCTACTGCAGAGCACCGAGTAAGTGGTGAGGGAAATTATTCGAGATCCTTCCACATGCTTCTGGAAGCCCCAATTGAAGACCTCCTGATACGCGTGGGTGGAGGAAGTGGGTGGGAGACTCCATTCACGCGATACTGGGAGTGTCCCAGAGTGCACTAGTACGAGCACAGATGTTAATTGAGGAGTACGGAGTAAAGTACTTGTACATCAAGAGACGGAATCCTACAGCATAGTGCTGAGCACTGCAATTGATGCATTGAATTTCAAACAGACGAGTACTCCGCAGGAAAAACTGTCGACTCGTATTCCGGATAGCATCACATCGATCCTACTATCACATCGCTAACACAACTATTCGCTCCTTGTCCTTTTGTCCTCCTTCCCCTAGGTGTATGGATATACGCCATCGATTTATCGGTCAAGATATCCATCCTTCCGATGCTGGGGTACAGATACACAGCGTCCGATAACCCGTCCCGCGCACCCCTTGTGGGGCTTCCATATCCACCAACGGGTCTAGCGCAGACTACTCTCCATTTATCTTCCCCGAAAAGGCGCTACCAGCCACTAAAATGACTAGTATCTCCATTGGCCCCTCGGGTAAGCCTGGGACGGGCCTAGAAAGAGTGGGGATTCCGCATTCCCCGAGTCCCAAAGCCAGTCAGCGTTTCCACTGCCCCGCTCTAGCCATTGGGGTCCACTATACTGACCAGTCACCGCCTCTCAGAGGGTCTGATGACCGACGATCTCATACAGGCAATGGTTTCCGCGGTTTTTTGATTTTTGATTTTTTTTTTACCGCTATCATGATCGGGTCAGGAACGGTTGGTGATGGACAACAACCGAGGAACCAACTTTGAGTGTGTTTATCGTCTGGGTGATGGTCAAAGAAAGAAACCTTGTATCCGTACGGGAGTAACACAAGCACAAGGACAAGGGACACGCATGCCCCGAATCAAGATGCGATGCAAAGTACGATCATTGATGCAAGTATTGTTGTCTTGTTTAGTCCGGTCCCCTCCGCTATCCGTGCCGTAATCCGCGGTCTGCCGTACCCAAGGGACAAAAGCTGGTCCGTCGTCTGTTTGACAGTTATGTTGAGCAGCATTTGATTATCTCTGGCCCATGTGTCCATGTGTGTCCGCCGCGGTCGGAGTGGATTGCATTATGATTATCCTGTGGCGTGAGAGAGAAATGAGCCGAGGTACTTTTACACGGTGATGTGAAAACGGTGGACCGGTTATATCATTGAACATCAGTTGGAGTCATCGTACTTGTACCCCGTACTCATACAGATGAACACCGCTTGTTGTCTCTACAGAATTATCTCTGCTGGAGTACGAAGCACAGAAGCTGAGATACACCGCCATATACGGAGTAGAGGGGTGGTGGGGTGAACGAGGTTAGACCGAATATCCGAATCGAGACCGTACCTTCGTAGATATGACCGGAAACATAACAGTCGTTGATACCATCAAACCCTAACTATATATTATTTTTTCTCCAACCTTCAGGTGCTCTCTCCTCCGAAATGAAGTAAGATTGAAGTTCTCTAGAGAAGTTCTTGAAACCGCGCGGTCAGACCTGCTCATTATATACCGCGTAATAATCACGCATGCCACCTACCATTTCCGAGCAGTGGGATGACGATGACTAACATGTCTATGCACTGTGCTATGCACCGTAGATTGTTATTATTGATTAAACGATTATCAAGCAGATGAGGTCAAGCCACAGACACGGTCACAGACAGATAGACTCTTCCCTTACCAATTGCAGGTTTTACAAGTAGATGATAGTTTATCTATCATGACTGCCATGCTGGCAGACATTTTTCCACATGTTCAGCCGCCGTTGGTTGAGATCTACTGGAGTGCATGAACTGTCAAGCGCCTTTTATCATGGGTGTGCTTGTATTGGTATTGTAAAGCGCGCGTACGTGTCACATAAGACCCTAACAGAAGGGGGGGAGAATCACACAAAACACACGCACACAGAATGGCAAAACAAGACGCGGCCCAACCTCCCTTTCGCCCCTGGCCATAATCATTAGGATCCGTCTAACGATCACTAGGGGCGGAGTCTAAGTGGGGCTTCATTAAGGCTGGACTCTTTAGAGTGCGTGTGCGTTGGTTCCTGGTTTTGGTGGCACCAGTCATTACCACGCCGTACGAGTATATATACATGTACTCTGTACTCCGTACACTGCACACTGACAGACTATCACTTGCAGGTGTCGTTTCCTTACCAACAAATAATTGCTTCTGGCTGGATTACCTTTTCCCGTACTATGTACATAGCACACAGTCCAGAGTGTCCGTCGTCAAGTGAAGAAGCGGTAGTCGTGCATAATGATTAGTTGCAGGAGGCTCCACCGAGTTATGGTGGATGCCGTTTTGAGTTAGCCCAATGCCAATAAATAGCCAATGACAGCGCGTCAGAATGTGTTATGCAATACTCCGGAGTAATGCCAGAGCTCATACTGGTGATTAGAATCTGACAAGTATTAAACAAAAAATACTACGAGGGAATTAATGGGTGTTGAAACTGATTATTATATGATAGTGAATAACAGCCGACATTATTTATGTTATTTACCTGACATGATCCGGTGTTTACCATAGCGGTTACCAACTCCGGGGCATCCGGCCAATAAATAGCTCTGCCAGGGTCCGCTGATACCGTTCGGATACGGTACAGTACAGACCCGTAGGTACCATGCCTCATTGGGACGAGCCCATCTCCATCTCCCACATCCTCTTCACCCTCCCTATTATTCTAGTCTCAACAAGTAATCCTTTCTCTCTGTCAACATCAGCATCACTTTGACCATTGCTGCCAACTACTATACACTCTTTTTTTTTTTTTTTTTTTTTTTTTTTTTTTTTTTTTTTTTTTTTTTTTATTCTTCTCCTTCTTTTTTATCTATTCTTTTTTCCCAATTCGTTTAGTCATTCTTTTTTATTTTTACTTCCGAAACTTTGCCTTCCTGTGATCACCTCCTATCCGGTGTACACTTTCTCCGTACTATCAACTCTACAATTACCACTAACAACAAACCCCTCAAAACGGTCTGCTTTCTTTTTTAATTTAGTTGTGTTTTTTATTCGTCCTTTTTTGATTATCGTCTCCTGTGATCTGCATGAAAAAAAAAAAAAAAAAACCAACTGGTGCAGTTCCGACAGTCGACCGCTTGTTCCTAAAGAGTCTCCACGGCCCGGTCCATCTGAGCTCTCTATACAGAGTACACACACTCATACACACACACAAACAGTGAGAGAGAGCTGTCACTGCGTCAGGGGCTTGTTCGCATCCACCTCCAAATTCCCAACCTCATCCTTCACTCTTTTTTATTCTATTTTTTTCTCTCTCTCTTTTAGTACTCCGTTAGTTTAACTCGTCAATTCCCACCGACCCGGATCCGCCCCTAATCATTATCCGTCCGTCTTATTCCTCCATCGCTCGCTCCAGTGATCACGTCCGAATCGCTGGGTCTTCCATCTGGCTTCCAGATCTACTCTTTCCCTCGTCTTTTTTATTACTTTCCCCGTTTTCCCTTTTCTTTTCTTTTCTTTTCTTTTTCTTCCCTTTTTCCTTTTTCCTACACTCCTCGCCGCGTCTCAGGGAAACTACTTGTACATTCCCCTCCCTCTCCATCCCTCTTCCATACTCCTCCCTCCCTCCCGCCTTCATTATCGTCAGTCTCTCTTGTCAATGGGATAGACCTCATCCGGATTCTTTATACTGTTCTTGCGGCAAAAGGATGAGCATCTGCTTCAATTGAACCTCTTCCTTCATTCCTAGGGAGCCCAACTTATATAATACTACTAATATATCATACCTTACATCGTTACAAAGGGGTAAGCATCCACTATGGTGCTGTCTAGATACCGGAGTTCCTCGCTAACTACTTCTCCCGCCTCATAGTCATCGAGCCTTATCGTTCTCTGCTGGCAGAAACTCGCATAATTCACAATAACACCCACCATGACCGTCACATACGATCTTCCGCGGAGTACCGCTCCTACATCAATGGCGACACTTGAAGACAGATTCGAGGTCATGAAGGAAATTGGGGATGGCAGCTTTGGTAGCGTGGCCGTGGCACGGGTCCGGACAGCGGGATCCAACATTGCCCGGAGAGGGACAATGGTAGGCTGGAACCTTGGAACTGCTAGCTGTGGTTCATGTGGACTGACTCTTGGCATGAACAGGTCGCGATCAAGACGATGAAGAAAACTTTCGATTCATTGACGCCGTGTTTAGAATTAAGAGAAGTCATCTTCCTCCGCACATTGCCCATCCATCCTCATCTCGTCCCCGCTCTGGACATCTTCCTCGACCCCCTTTCCCGCAAGCTTCACATCTGTATGGAATACATGGACGGCAACCTCTACCAGTTGATGAAGGCACGAGACCACAAGTCTTTCGACCCCAAGCACGTCAAGAGCATCCTCTACCAGATTATGTGCGGTCTGGACCACATTCATGCCCACCACTTCTTTCACCGCGATATCAAGCCAGAGAACATCCTGGTCTCCACATCCGCCCCCAATGATTCTGCCTTCAGTCGTTATTCCAACCTCGTTACCCCTCCCTCCACTCCTCCCACCTACACCGTCAAGATCGCCGATTTTGGTCTTGCACGCGAAACCCACTCTAAAATGCCCTACACAACCTACGTCTCGACCCGCTGGTATCGCGCCCCTGAAGTCCTTTTGCGGGCCGGAGAGTACTCCGCCCCAGTCGATATGTGGGCAATTGGTGCTATGGCCGTTGAGATCGCGACGCTCAAGCCTCTGTTCCCTGGTGGCAACGAAGTGGATCAGGTATGGAGGGTCTGTGAGATCATGGGTAGCCCCGGAAACTGGTACAGTAAGTCGGGTGCGAAGCTCGGTGGAGGTGAATGGAGAGACGGGGCCCGTTTGGCCCAGAAGCTGGGGTTCACTTTCCCCAAGGTAAGAATCATCATTGGTCCTATTGTTGCGGTGCGCTAACGCTATTCTAGATGGCTCCTCACTCCATGGAGAGCATTCTGCAGCCGCCTCAATGGCCTGCGTCTCTTAGCCATTTTGTGACTTGGTGTCTCATGTGGGACCCCAAGCAGCGACCGACGTCTACCCAAGCCTTGAACCACGAGTACTTTGCGGATGCCGTGGACCCATTGCGCCCCAAGTCTTCGACTGCCCGGCTGCTGGGTCGGAAGCAATCGGACAAGAGCTTCAAATCCGCCACCAAGGAGACGAACGACTCTCCAACTCTCTCCACTAAGCCGTCTTGGTTCCGACGATCGTTCATTGGAAAGACCGAGAACCAGGTACCTGCTGTGGAGAATGAACAACCAGCCCGGGCAGCCCCGCCCCCGTACAACGCGACCGTTGATGCGCAGGCTGCCAACAAGGCCAAACAGGGTACCACAAAGCGTGCTACCTGGGCGAACGGTGCGCCCATGCCCATTCTGCCTTCCATCCGTCCTGTGTCACCCTTGTCTAACGCCGTGACAGCACAAGCCAACTCGACTTTCACCCACGACAACAGTAGCAACGCTACGAGTGTCACTTTTGCGGACAATAAGGCGAACAAGAAGATTGGCAGACAACTATCGTTGAACTCGCACGGTAACCATTATGCCGACGTCCACCGGCAAGAGGCCGAGAAGGCACTCAACGGGAGTAACGGCGGCATGGCGGCCACACCAAAGGAGAGTTTCTTCTCGCATCTGCGCAAGCGTGCAAGGAGACTGTCTGGTCGCAACCAAGCGCATACTGCAAGCGATGACGTTGAGGCCAACGCGGGTTGCATGCCATGGTCGAACCGGTCGTCCTTGGCGCTGGACTCCAACAACGAAGCGAAGCAAGGCTCTGATCTCTCGGAATTGGACAAGGCTCTTCAGAACGTTAAATATTCGCTTGACTCATCGTCAAAGGGCAATGTTCCCGTTCAGATCACCTCCCCGGTCGAGAGCACCAAGCGCCAATCGATGCCCCAGGGTTCCATTCGTTCCTCGATAAATGAGAGTCCCAGCTCTACCAGCGGCTCTGCTGGGCCGATCTCCAGCCGGACTAGACGTGCCATGCAAATGTCTACTCACCCGGTGCACCGGTATGAGACACCCGAAGAGGAAGATGAGCTTTTAGACGAAGTGCTCCATTCGGCTACCAAGGCTGCCAAGCGATTGGCGCAGAACAATACGTCTGATCCCAACTACAGCCACCAGCAAATGGCCAAGGATAACTCGCAGGCTTTGCCCAGTCCCTATCCAACTCCTTCCCCTTCCGCAAATGGCGCCTCGTTCGGTCAGGATACCCCGTGCCGGAAAGATCTAAAGGCTGACAACCGTCAATGGCCTACTCCACCTTACGAGGAGGGTGAATGGACGACCCCAACTTCTGCTACTTTCCTTAGCAGTTCCACTTACAGGTAAATCACTTGCATGATGCAATTTCCATTGGCATCTTGAAAAACGACCCGAAAAACACAGAAACAAAAAGACTTTGCACATCGCAAAGTCCGGAATATTATCGAGGACGGCGTACGGGATCTGGTGACATTTTCTCTTGCTTCTGGCATTTATTTCAAGGAGAGGTTTGGCTTTTTATTTCCCCTGTTTTTATGGGACGGTGACAGGTTTTTTTTTTTTTTTTCATTTGTGATACTCTTTCTCCATCTTCATACCCCACAGGCCTGTCATAGACCAACGACGGCCTCGTTATCTGTTTATTCTTCAGCATATGTTCAGTGTCTGTTTCTTCCGTTCCTTTGCACATTATTGCTATGTGATTCTTTGCATTGCTGATCTACTTTGATACCATTTGCGCGTTTTGCGGGATTTACTGCTGTCGTTCCTTTGTTCTTCTATATATATTGCATCTCTCTCCTTCAACTCTTTAGACTTACCTACCTTTTATCTGACCTTTTTCTGATCCTTTCCTCGTCTCTCATTGTGTCTCACATTCACTTTACTGTATATTTTCTCTTCTCGCCCTCTTTCATCTGTTTTATTCCGTTTCCGACCTGTCTGTTGCACTATGGAGGAATGCGTGTTTGGGTGGAGCTTTCCTTTCGACTTGTACATTTTTTTTTTTTTTTTTTTTTTTTTTTTTTTTTTTTTTTTTTTTTTTTTTTTTTTTTTTTTGCTTGTGATTTTGAGTGGGATGGACCAGCGGTGATCTGGCCCTTGGTTTTATATGCCCTTGTAATATAGCATTTTTATGGCAAACGCCAGTGTTTATATCTATCCATATGGAGTACATAGTATCGCATATTGCAGCATTGCTACTAGTAAAATATAATGTTTACTGCATCAACCTTTTGCTTCTTTAAGTGACAGGGTAGACTTGTAAGCTGCGAATGGATTGCACGACTTGGACCCGATACGATAAGTTTACTGCTAATAGTCTCTAGCCATAATATGGCCTTGATATGAAACGATGTTCTGCTGGAGGTATCCTCCATAAGGCATTCATGACGCTCTGCTCGCCCTAACATGAACTTCTATAGTGGAGCGGAGCAACTATTTCCCGAGCGCAGAATTTCCCCATCCAGTACGTCAGGTCTCTGAGCTTTCAGTTGAATTGCTAGACGTCTGTCGCAGTCGCAGTGGTTTTTCTTCTCTTCTCGACTACTTCCACATTTCAGGAAGTATATCGCTGCACTTGGTTTAATATTGCAGGCCGTTATACCCGTCCGTACTGGACTGGTTCTAAGCTTGTAGCCTAGTCCCGCGAAGAATTCAAACCCCCAACGCCAACCCGAAAAGCTCAATCCAAACTTACACCTCATCGCATCGACAAATAAACCACCAAAATGTCCGCTCGCCAGGCCTCCTCAGCCTCGCAAACCCCGCACCTTTCCCCCGCCGAGCTCTCCTACATCTACACCTCGCTCTCCCTCCCCAATACCCCCATCCGTCCCGACGGCCGCTCATCAACCCAATTCCGTCCCTTAACTGCCGAAACAGACATCCTCCCGGGAACCAATGGCAGCGCACGCATCGGCTTTGCAGACGGGACGCAGGCGATCGTCGGCGTGAAAGCGGAAGTTGAGAAGACGGTTGTTGCGGCTGATGCGTTGGATTTGAGGAGTATTTCAAGACAGGCGCAGGGGGAGAGTTTGGCAAGGGAATCTGGTGAGGAGAAAGAGAGTGGTGCTGCTGGGGAGGATGGGACTGCTACTGGGCAGGGGTCGTGGGTGCAGATGTCGATTGAGATTCCCGGGTTCAGGGATGATGATGCGTTGCCCGTTTTTTTGGCGGAGATGATGAGGGAGCCGCTTGTGGGGAGTGTTTCTGGTGGAGGCGAAGATGGGAAGGGGGAGGATGGGGAGATGGCGGGTGGGTTGAAGGGGAGGTTGGTGATTAATCGCCGGTGGCATTGGAGGTTGTACATTGATGTGAGTTTCTGCCTTTGGTGCTTGTGTTGGGATTTGTGCTAACGATTCAGGTCCTTCTTCTCTCACAACCGCTGTCATATCCCCTTCCGCTGCTCTCCCTTACAACGCACCTAGCCCTCCTCTCAACAAAACTCCCCAAACTCAAGTCCAAAGGCGAAGAAGACCCCTTCTTCGACGACGACTGGGCCGCCGCCGAATACCTCTATCCCCGCACCCGCACCACAATCAACACCCCCAAACCCGCCTCCCAAAACGTCCGCCCCCCAATAACCCTCCTTGTCCTCTCCGCCGGCGACAACATCATCTTCGACCCTAGCCGCGAAGAAATTGCTGTCGCAGACTCCGTCCTTGCCGTGTCCATCACCCGCGATTCCGAAACTGGGGGCTTGAAACTGCTCTCCATCCGCACTGTCGATCCGCCGTCGAGACTAACGCAGCCTGGGGTTGCGAATTCGGAGAATGTGGCTACGTTGGGGTCTACGGGGGCGGCTGAGGAGGCGAGTTTGCAGCATCCGAGTGTTGGCGGGGAGGAGGAGATGGTGGGTGTGTGGAGGCCGAGACGGGGTGGTGTTAAGAGGGGGGTTATTGCGAGGATTGTGAAGATGGTGTTGAAGAAGGGGGGTGTGGGGGAGGAGGTCTTGGAGGGGTTAGAGGGGGTTGAGGTGGGATGATCCGTTTAGTTTTGTTAGGGTATTGTGATTGCATTGCTTGCCAGATGGTTAAACAGAATGACTACGGACAAGCCGCAACTTGATTATGAGGCACCAGTTTTGCTCAAGAGATGCGATTCAATCGTGTCACCATAATAGATGCTGTATGTACATACATAATAGTACAAAAGAGTTCAAGTCTGCTCCATTTAATCCACATCCCCGTATCCCAGTCGACCGACTCACTCACAAGTGATATGAGACACTACATCCCCCAAACCCCCAATAAGATCACCAAATCCCAAACCACTTCTTAACCGGCTTCCGATTCCCCTCCCAATCTACAAAAGCCTCCCCCTTCCCATCCACATCCTGCGCAATAGGCGACTGATCATCAACGACCTCCTTCTTTTCCTCCTTCCGCGTATCCTCCTCCATCCCATGCGCAACGCGATACTTCCTTCTCTTCTCCGCGTCCTCGACGCGCTGTAGACGCTTTTCTCGCGTCATCATGGACCGATGTTCCACGTCCATGCGGTAGACGGAGAGGGCTTGCGAGATTGTGTCAAAGGGGCGCGAGAGGAGACTGGACCAGGATGGTAACAAGTGGGTGTAGGGAGAGGTGCGCTTGAAGTTTGTGGTGAAGGTGAATGTTGCGAGGGATGTCAGGATACTCTATTCCTCATTAGCATCATCCCACGAATACCTAGTCTGAACATAGGGGCAGAGTAGGAAATACCATAGCAATCCAAACATGAATCCACCGACTCGTCAAGAACCTAAACATAACCGTGCCCTCTGGTGGGAACATGTTTGGATACTCTCTTGTCTTCTGCTCCGCTTTCTCCTTTTCAGTGGGCTTCGGACCCGGGTAATTCACGGGCCCTGCGTTGACTTTGCCATTGCGGGTTTGGACGACGCGGCGGGCGGGATGTGAAGGAGGGCGGAATTTGTCGGGTTGGTCCAGAATGCGTGGCTTGAAGGGGTCTTGTTTATCTTGGAAATGGGAGATTGGGGACGTGGTGAAGGTGCGGGGAGATGAGGATGCGGTTGGGATGGTTCGGTGGTGGTGTCGGAGGGTGCGGACGGTTCTTGCTGATGGTGCTCCTCTGGGGAGCAGAAATTGCGGGATCGCGACTGGCATTTTGTTTTCGTGAATTGGGGGTTGCTTAAACCAGGACAACGGACGACTCCTCTCTATGTATGGCTGTGTATGTTTTCGATGCTCGGATTGCGTCGGTTTTTTCTGCCGGGCGGCCGGGATTTACATCACATGACTTTACGATCGGAAGATATACTCTCGCCGAGAACAAAGGCGGTAAACCCTCCACACCGCCGGGACTAAGCCGAACACGATACGGACCATCCCACGTGATCCAGGATTGGCAAATGGGAAAGTGGCCATTTCCAAGGCGACGGGAGAACGGGATTTGGTGGTTAATCGGTTGGTGAAGTCATGGATATGCCATGATGAGGGCATCTTGCCTACATATACGTTATGCGGCGACAGGTTAACGGTGGTAGTACTAGTAATTGAGCTATATCTTGTTATTCCCTAGGTCTACAGGGATTGAATACCTCATAGTAAGCAAAAGAATGCACAGAAGCCAAAAAGAATCACGAATTCTACGAATAAGATCCCGAACCCGCCCGTTGCGCTCTGAATCATCGACACGCTGATTGGTCTGCGGCTTGATCACGGGAGCCGCCGGGGGCGATTTACGCCGGGCGCTTTTGCAGTACAAATTCTCCCAGATTTTTTCGAGGGCGTCCGTCGCTTCGTTTCCGTTTTTTTCTCTTCTCCTTCCCTTCTATTCTCCAACTTCTTTGTGTGATACCAATTCTTGTACAGTTACTTCTTTTTAACCCTTTAATCACCTTGCATACACATTCATCATGGGAAAGCCGGCCTCTTTCGCTCCCGGTAGGTTGTTTTCTTTGTTCTTGTTGGTTTTGCAAGTCGATCAGGATTCGTGGGTGGTCAACTGGAAGCAGTGAGGGTGCTCTGGTCTTAGTGAGAGGATGCAATTCGAGTGATTTGACTGCGTCTTGTCTTTGCTCTTGTTACCTCAAGACCCGTTGCGACTTTATCAACTGTCGCACGCTTTGTTGAGACTCGGGAAGGAACAGCGAGAAGAAAGACCTAGCATCATACCATGACCAGCTGCGACAATTCCTGCTTCCTCACGACCGTCGACTGCGCGAAACCGAACTCTAACTCGAGATCGAACAGACTGCTAACAATTCCTCTCTACAGGTGACGCTGGCAAGGGTGCTAAGCTCTTCCAGGTGAGTATATACGCGAAAACAGACGAGTCTAACTGTGAACGAATACTAACTGTGCGTTTTCCTAGACCCGTTGCGCTCAGTGCCACACCGTCGAGGCTGGCGGTGCCCACAAGGTCGGCCCCAACCTGCACGGTCTCTTCGGCCGTAAGACCGGTCAGGCCGAGGGATACGCCTACACCGACGCCAACAAGCAGGCCGGTGTTACCTGGGACGAGAACACTCTGGTATGTTATCTACCACAAATCAATTCTTCTAGAATTCGCCTCTGACGCAATTGCAGTTCTCCTACCTCGAGAACCCCAAGAAGTTCATCCCCGGTACCAAGATGGCCTTCGGTGGTCTCAAGAAGCCCAAGGAGAGGAACGACCTCATCACGTAAGTTTTCTGTCTTTCGGATTGACTAGCTTGTTTCATGTTCGCTAACCTTTTTTTTTTCCACGACAGTTACCTCAAGGAGAACACTTCCTAAAATTACGCGATGATGTCTGCATAAAAATTTCCTTTAATGTTCTCAACCCGTTCCGTGGATCGATTGCGCGCCCTGTGGTAATAGCAGTTTGTGGATGGTCTATCGGACAGGGCATGTAATATTATCACGTTTCCTTGTTTTTCTCTTCTCTCTACATGCAATAGACCGGTATTTCTCTGTGCTGGGCCTGGATATCATTATAGTCATGTTTTATTACAGGACTTGGTTTATGGGTTTCCTTTTTTTGTTTGTTCATTTGCCGTGTGTATCATGATTAACCGTTAGGTCAACGAGGCCAGTTCCTACTGAGCCAGTAACGAATACAAAACATCTCCTCTCATGAGTTGTCTCTTTGACTCTTTCTCTTGTTGCTCACCGGCAGATCATTTTTCGGAATCGGATCGGAGTGCCGTTCACATCACGTGTGTTATTCACTGCCTGAACACTGCCTGAGGTGTTTATCTGCGAATGCCAACGAGCGATCCCTTGTCCAGCTCTGATTGGCGGGTATTATTGGACAGACAAGTCATGTGCCGGTCCGGCTACTGCGCATTGGCTGTTTGTCTGCACTGTGGGGATGTAGCAGGTACCTCCTTAACAGCGTGCCCTGCAGCCCAAACGCAAGTACCGTCGACGTGCCCTCGCATAACTCGATGCTGGTAACTACGATGGGTATGTACGCCACAGCACGCCACGCAGGGGCACATGACCAGCAGGTGATTGGCCCAGCCACCGCCTGCCTGATCCGAATTGGGATGCGAGGGGTATCTTCTATCGCAATCTCAAGTTGTTCTTCTCTTCTTCATTTTTATTTCTCTCTACCTCACTCGCTGGTATCTTTTATTCCTCGCTAGTCCCGCGTATTGCAGTATAACCCTATCAGGCGTGAAAACGACCGAGTAACAAACAGTAAAACACACGTGCAGAAACGAGTGACTTGGCCCCCGGAACCCGGCGGTCCTCAGGCATCGATCAACAGCATCAACTCCCTTGGGTGCATCGATCGCAGTGTCCCTCCCATGCCTCGCGTTGGTTTACTCCTAGCTTGGGAATCTCTGACGTGCAGACTCTTCCGTACTATCTTTTGCTCTACCACTACCACTACTATTCCCCTCTCATCGTCTGTTCCTGCTGCCGGCGCATACTACAGTGTTTTATATCACTCGTGCCCGCTATCGCTATCTTATCGCAGCGACTAACCTCATTATCATATCATCTATCAATATCATCATCTTTCCATCCATCCACCTCTCTCCCTTCTGCTTCTAGGAACCATTGCCTCTTTTGGCTGTTGATTTGGGTAATCCCCTACAGAAACAATATTGCTGCTCAGGATCTGCGATACGCCGTCCATCATGCTGGACGAGCTGGATAACGTCTTCGACGATCATCCATCCTTGGATGCATCGCTCGAGGACTTTGAAAACAACAGCAATGCTCATCGCTCTCCCGTCTTTGGTCTACCTTCACAGCACTCTGGCTTTCGCTCTGAAGAATCAGACGTCGAGGAAGATGATACGACTCCCAACGGCGAGCGCTGGTCTCCTCCTGGCCTACGTCAATACGAGGGTACTGGTTGGTACCGTCATCAGCCCTATATGCGCAAGGTCGATCACGATCGCCTGCTGCTGAAGCCCACCGTGGGTCTCAGCCCGAGAAACTCGCGTGAACCAAGTCCTCAGTATGAAGATGCCAACGAATTGCCTACGGTAGGAAAACGCAGTGATACAGACTCCAAGGATATCATCGTCGCTGCCAGTGTGCCTTTGCCCAATGGTGGAGATACCCCGCTGAAGGGTCGATCGCCCAGTCCCGGTCCTGCTCCACGAACTAACCACGATGGCGGCCTTGAGTTTGGTCCTGACAACAATCAGATTAGCAATTGTAGGCATTTGCCCTCCTAATCTCTTCCCCTCCCCCCTTCCTGTTTGACGTAGGCTAATATTTGTCATTTTGGCTCCCTCAAGACATTCGATTTGCCGTACGCGCAGAAGTCCAGCATCGCGAACCTCTGGCTGCCATTTGTTCCTATTTCCGGTCCAAGTTTGATCGTATGACTAGTACCAAATCTAGCGCCACCCTTTCAATCGTCCTACTATTGCTCTCCTTTGCATTCATGCGCGCCCTGTTCCTACCTAGCGTCCCACAGGCCATTCCCGATCTTGTCAAATTGTCCGGCTTTGCGCGCTCCTTTGAGCCTCTGATCTATTATTCTGAAAATGGCGTCCAACAGATTGGAACGCTTCAAGAAACAGGTGTTGCCGTCTGGGACTTGAGTGAATCGGTGCGCGGTACCAACATGACCAGCGCGCCGATTATCGTTCGCCAGCTTGATGAGCTATCTGAATCTTTGAAGTCGCTCTCTCTGGAGTTGACACGGTTCTTTGCGAATGTTGACTCTGATATCGATTCGATTCTTATTGTCATGGATTGGGCTAAACGAGAACTTGAGACACTGTCATCGCAACCGCCGCGCACCTTGCCTTCCATCGTCTTTGATAATATGAACGATATGCTGTCGCAACTCGGCACTCTGGAGCGCATTACCCTGCCCAATCGAAGCGAAGCAGACGGAGACGGCAGTGGTGACAGTGAAGACGAGCTAGCTACCACACCCACTGTATTCGGAAACATTGTCACCACTATTTTCGGGCAAACCGCAGCGCAGCGCACTCGGACTACTCTCACACGAACGTTCACTGAATTCCTATCTGTCCTGGAAGAATCCATCAACAGCGAACTAACCCATTCTACCGCTCTGTTTGCGCTATTCGAATCCATCGATCGCCAATTCCTAAATCTGCAACGTACAGTCGTTCGCGAATCTGATGCCCAAGAACGCGCCGAAGGCGAAATGCTCAGCTCTCTTTGGACCCGTGTCCTGGGCCCCGATGCCGCTATCGTTCGCAAATACGATAAAAACAAACGTCTTCTCGCCAACGTGCGCAGCAGAACAGTGGCCAACAAGCATCTCCTGATGGACCACCGCGGGCGTCTGCTCACTCTGAAAGTCAACCTTGAAACGCTGCGTCGCAAACTTGTCAGCCCACTCGTCCGCCGCAATGACTCTGTCAGCTTTGTTGGCGTTGAGTCTAGCGGAAGTCGCAGTAATGGACGGATGCTGGGCCCTGTTGAAGCTGTTATTGATGGACAGATACGCGGATTGGAGGGGACTTATGATTACCTTCGTTCTGTCAGGGAGCGGCAGAAAGCGAAGCTGATGGAAATGGTCTATGGGGCCGGGCGCAGGCTTCCGTCAAATTCAATTCTGACGGGGTCGGATGATGGTGCTGATACCATTGATGGGTATTGATCTTTGAACTTCGCCTTCTACGCATTTTGTCTCTTTTTGTCTACGGGATTCGCACACTCGGCGTCAACGGCTCCTCGAATTGGTATCGGTGTTTCGACAGATTTCCTTATCATCATCACGCGTATTGGCTTGGTGTCTCTCTTTAGCGACTTTGGCGTCTACTCGGACGGCCGTCTCTTTTCATTCTGGTTATTCCCTGGAGAACCTGGCGCACACATGGCGAATTGGTAAACTAAAGAACCACGCGGTCGGTATTATGTTATGATTGCATCTCCTCTTTTTTTATCTCTCCTCTCGTCTCTGTCTTCTATTCTTGGACATGGACATGGTACGGAGTACATATGGTTTACGGATCTCTTTGTCTTGGGTGGGTGGCTTATCTGTCGATCTATCTGGGCAAGGATATGGAAAAGGTTACGGTTAAGGTCAGGGCAAAGGTACAGGTACGGTGAAACGGTCATGGCGCATATTGGTGCTGACTGCATTGCGTGCATTGCATTGCGTTGCGTTGCGTTGCATTTGCAGTTGCAGATGCAGTTTGGTATGACGGGTATTCTTTCGTTGTTGATATTGGTTTGGTTTTATTGGTTTTAGGCAAGCGTTTTGCTTTTCTGGATTCGGTTATGATTTTCGCGTGGTATGTGGGAATGTAGGATATGCATTGCCATGTGCGTGGATATTTGAATGGAATGGATTTCTTGAGCAAATATAGTGGGGTCAAGATGTACAAACAGGAGTATAAGATTGTTGTTTGTGGACTTCCGCTCCTTCCCGAAGGATAAGAAGGGGTACAACAGCATCTTTGTGATTGTGGACTGCTTTATCACTACCAGAATGACTGGTCAGAAAAGCCCCTATGATGGACTTCGCTGGCACACTATTGGTGGGTGAGTCCACTGAGACTTCTCCTTTCCTCATCGACAGCGGCTACACCTCCAGGACATCTTTCGATTGGATGTCAAACTTTAATGGAACAGTTACAGAGGCAAACTCCCAGCAACAACTACGACAATTATAGGAAACATAAGACTGGGTGCAAGAGCGAATCCGCACTGCCCAGACACGCCAACAGCGGAATGCAAACCGCTCAAGGCGGGGAGGTGGATTTCGATATAGATGGCATGATAGTGATATCTACAAAGAACTGGAACACAGGCTTTCCGAGCAAGAAGATTGACTATCAGTGGACAGGCCCCTTCCGGATCCTTGCAAAGGAAGGAAACGCGTTCTGCATTGACCTGCCAGCCTCTATCAAAGTCCACCCAGTTATCAACCCAGAGCACCTCCGAAGGGCCTCCACATCTGAACCTCTTCCTGGCCAGCACGCAGACGCACCACCACTGATTACTGTCAATGACCAAGATAAATGGGAAATGGAGGAGATCCTTGCCTCCTGCCTGAGACACCGGAAACTGCAGTACCCAGCGAAGTGGATCGGTTATGACGATGACCTGAACTGGTATCTTGCTCGGGACTTCAAGAACAGCCCAGTGAAGCTGCAAATTTTCCATGCAACGAACCCAAAGGCACCAGGGCCACTTTGTTGATTGCTTGAGTGGCTCCACGCGGTGGAAGGTGAGCCCCTGGATGACCACCTAGGCGATGATTATCCAGTTCCGAAGGACTCAGAGCAGCCCTTCATCAGGAGGGGGGTGATACCACGGAGCGCAGGCGCTCACCAGCAGCGTAATATGTTGACTACTTTGGCCTGTTTGGGTATAAGGCAGAAACCACTCCGTACACACTAGGTAGCGTAGCGCTAGCAGGCCCAGCTTCTTTCCTTTCCTTCTCCGTGTTAGTATTTCGCTAAATAATCTACCAATAGACCTATATTATTTAAGACCGTCACAGTTCTTGCACCACTCATTATCAACAATAATAGAAGAAATAAGCAGATGGCTAACTGAGAGCTGATTTTTGAATATAAGTAATAATTTCTTTGAAGGTTTGGCGTAGAAGGTTTGGCGTAGCGACAGGTATACTCATATACAACCGTTCTGCTGTCCTTCCTTGGCTCGTCCCACGCAAAGATGGGACCGGTAACGCCATTTTTGCCCGGACAAGTAGATGATGCTGTTATACTGTTGCCGTGTAAGATGGTTACCGCAAATAGGTTTTTCCTGTGCAGGGCTATCAAACATGAGGGGCTTCTCGCGTCATGTCTATATAGGTAGAGAAGAGAGAAGCTGTCATATTATTGAGTATTTATAGGTGTTCTGTGGGCTTGCGTTCATCGTTGCTGCGATAGTGCTAGCTTTACACTGTCAAAAAGCTGAGGTTCATTGCAGTATTGAAAATTGCACGGCCTTTACCGAAGACTGGCATCGTGCTTGCCAACGCATCGAAGCTCCTTGCCAGGCTGTTATTTATCTTGGCCTTGCCGCGAAAGTGAGAGGTATGTAAAAACATACTATCTTGTAAATATTTCATGTCATTAATGAAGACAGCCTATACCTCCGCTGATGACTTGATGACTGTGTCTATCGTGGTATCTGTTTCGCAGGTGAATGTGCTTACCCCGAGGACTGAGTAGTATGTCAGCTCTCCAGTGTTCAATCTTGCCTTTCAATGTGCGCATAATATACGAACTCACATCGGTACCTATGGTATAGCTAAAGCCAGCGATTTATTGAATTTATATGTTTACCACCTCGCGAAATAATCATGTCTGGTTCTTGTATCTAACATGTCTTGAATGAATCCATGATGTGATATTCTCACGGCCTTACCATATATACTCAACTGACGAGCTCTAAATATACTAGCTGCTACCGTAATTAAAAATCAATCGAAAAATTGTCGCCAGCTGGATGCCGATTTGCTCTTTTTGGGGGGAGATGGATGTGGTTTTGTCTCGGGCTCCGGCTTGCTCTCTGGCTTCTTTAGGGGCTTGATGGCAGGCCTAATTCCCAGGTCCGGTATCTGCAATGTTTCCGAGATTGCTTTAATGGGATTGGACTGTTCATAGACTGCTTCGATTTTGATATCAATCATGTAGTACTTGGAGGTACTATTGTGAATCCGGGGCTCGGCACCCACACGAACAATATGATTATCCAATGTGATCGAGTTTCCAGGATTGTTTCGGCTCATAGATCTGACGGATGGTCTCAAAGTCGTCAAAGTCAAATTTCCCTGGATCTTGCACATCGATGGCATCAAACCCAACAGTGAATCCTTCCTGTGTACCTAGCATCATTATTAGAGCCGGTCCACCCATTCGTTCAATAACAACAGAGCATAGGAGATGGTTGTCGAGTCCCTTGGTCATTCTGAAGGTCCGGGGGAATTGGTAATCACTGCTTGCAGCACGAGTCGATGTTAAGTTTGCTGGTCGCTTTGCTTCAATTGGGGCAAGGACATTCATAATTCGGTACCGGTTCCCAGACAGTCCCCGTAACTGAAGGAAATGGCTTCGAAAAATGCCTCCTAGGTCAGGTATTGCAATTTTCTGACGCACATAGATAGTTTGCATTGGTCCCCGTTCATGGACTTCTGCCAGCCGGTCCACTTTGACACGAGCATATTGTTCGTCAACTGTAGAAAGCCTTCTCAGAAAAATAGCCAGGAAGCTCGTGTCCTCGTACCGCGGTGGACTCGGACAGTCAAGCGCCGCAACGTATTCGTCTTCACCACGCCGGATAATTGGTAACTCAATTCGAAGACCCCGGTTTGTCATCGAATATGGCTGTCGTGGCGCCTAGTCTTGGTAGGCGAGAATGTCATGACAGCCTGCAAACATGGATGGGGACGTTGCCAATAGCCCACGAAGAGAGAGCCAAGAAGCGTCGCGGTCTACCCACGCAAAGATTGTGTGGTCGTCGGATTGCTTCATTATTTCTTCTTGCAGGCGCAGGAACGCTTTCTCAGCCCCCTCACCGTACAACATGGGCATTTTGACGGAGAATACGCCCATTAAGCAGTATGCTATATCCTCTGGGCGGGTCGTCTCGCGATGGGCGGCCCAGGACATACGCCTAGCTATACTCGCAAGCTCCAGAGGTTTTCGGTGTATCAATATATCTTCATCAATGCGAGTAATTCTAGACAGAGTGCTGCATAGCGCATTCCTTTTCGCTGGTGCTCTTCTTGCCGATTTCAGTCCAATCTCTGGAGAAGAAGAGTATATTAACAGGAGCGAGTAGTTTCTGCAGCGTCCACCCGCGGGTAAACCACTTGCTATGCTCAAATGCAGAGCCTGGCTGATTGGGATTGCAAGCAGCGGGCACATCATTCAAATATGCATAGCAAAACTGCGCCTTCTCATACCACGCATACATTGAATTCAAGGATTCGGACAGTTCCGCGCTGCTGCTTTTGTTGACACAACAACTATCAATCCAGACATATTCCAGACCGTCGCTCATTGTACAATGGCAAGAACCTTGCACCTTGCTCCATGATGGTTTTTTAGTTTTGTCTGTTGTGTTGTGTTGGAAGTCATCGTATGTCACCTCCTCTGTGTCCCAAGTATGCGAGAGAATAGCATACGGTGGGATTCTGTTTGCGGGAAACTCCTCGAGCTCAAATGTGGACGCTTTCAGGAGACGCATTTCCGAGGGCAGTAGTTCCGTGATGAGTGGTGACTATGCAGACTGCGCTCCAGCCTTGTTTATTTCCCTCCCACTTGCCGCCCACGACAGCCCATATCCGTTGTCCATTCGCTTATACAAGCCAGAGTCCAAGGCTGTTAAAAAGGGGCAGAATGCAGGGGTTGCGACAATAGGACGATCAGCAGCTATGGCCTCGTATTCCTCCGCTCAGCCCTCTATGGCTACCGCAGCCTTGTAGTACATACCGAGGCATAGAACTGGAAAGCATAAAGTAGCAATGTAATCACTCATTATGCTTTAAAATTATTCGTTCTTCAATTGTCTTGCTGCCTGTGATCCAAAGTCGCAGCATCATGGAGGAAACAGACAACAAATCGTTACCGGCAGCGCCGGTTGATACACCAGGGCCAAAGCAAACAGACACCAAAGAGCCTGTAGAAACTGACAGCCCACCGTTTATCGAGTCACTACCGAATGTGACACCTGGAACAAACCAGTATGTCTGGTATACTATGTTTGCAGACGCGGACTCGACTAGGTTACTCTAGATCAGAGAAAAAGGAACAATCACGGCCAATCATCGAAAGCATCACACAACTGGATAAGCCAGCAAAGATTGTTCCTATTCCACAAGCCCACAAAGTCACTCCATTAGAGCGTCTCGGCGATGCTCCGGACTGGATTGACTGTCCCTTCTGCCAGCGCATGACAAAAACAAGAGTCACCAAACAGGATTTCGACACTACGATGCAAGTCTCTTCGCCTCCATAACTACGCTTCGCCTATATCCAGTGTGTGCTAATGAGTTGTAGGATTGCTGCGATCCTGTGCTGCATCTCATGTGGTATCTGTTGTGCATTTCTACCATGCATACTAGGGTTGGACCAAGACATTTATCATCTTTGTACCAACTGCAATCGCAAAGTCGTCCATAAGCCACATAATGGCCCCCTTCAAGTCCTGGCACCCAGGTCAGCTGATAAAGTGGTATCAAAATATGCCCCTGTGGGTGTGATGCAGCCACTAGACGAAAGGCCGATAAAGAGTCCTCCGGCCGCCCAGGTTAAAACGGGATAGACACTCGAAAGGCGGACTATGTGCCCTCGGTCTATAGGTAAATTATTCAATATTCATATATAACTACATAACTCCGCACCTGAATTATAGAAGCACCTGCAAGTCACATAACAAGTTAACGTAACCAAACCCTGAGCGATGAATATCATCGTGCGGCAAATTCCTGCCATAATCACCAGCTTTTTAATGCTTTTCAGCCACTAAAGCACTATATCTGACTACTTAGAAGATGAAACAATAGCTATTGACTAGGACAGCTTCTTCTAGTATGTTCAACAACCACACTGCCACTGCAGCGTGGTGAAGCACGTAGGCGAGGCATAGATGCCTGCTCCTCAATCTGGTCTTCAGGTCTGTGTTAGGGGGTGAACTCAAGCTATCTTAACCTAATGTTACTTTTTATTATAATACAAGAAGGAATCGTTGAAGTAAGCAAAACAGAGAAGAGACGGGAGCAGTCTTTATGCTCGTACGGGAACAGTTGTCCGGATAGTAATCCCAATGATACCTCTCGAATGTCAGGGGTCGGACGAATGTTCAACGATGGTCTATTCCTCGCTGGCCGTGTTCCGTGCTGGCCTTGGTCAAGCTGTCATCCTTTGGGTTCGTATGAGAGCCCTATAACACCTGTGTAGTCTCAGTCCTATGCTATGGAGATGAGGCATGGTGGCTAGGGCAGAAAAGTCCAAGGCAGGACACTCCAAGCAGATAAAATCTCATCTCCAATGGGGTGGCTGTTCAGCTAGCCTGCATGGATCACGTACTCCGCAGTGCAGTGCTAGGAACCCTCCCAGATTATATAACCACCCAAACAGCCGCACTTCACCGCGAATCAGCCATTCCACTCATGAATTACTCCTTGACCAAAGACGGCGTAGTCTGGCAGTCAGGATTTGTCAACTAGACACCCAACATCCCTTGCACCTCCGTGCCATGTAACAGCCAAGCTGTTACATCAAACCCCGCATACTCTAGGCCATTGATCTAGCTAACTTCTACCTCATTGAACAGGTAGATCCGCTCCTAACAAGCGCCTGGGATCTAAATCTGGCATCTAAAGAGTGACTAACTGCAATCCCTAAGACACAGTCCAGGAAGGGATTTCAGAGGTGGCTTATTTCCACCCCACCACTACCAATGGTAATCTATACAAACGGGTCCAAAAAAAAAAAAAAAAAAGAGGGCGCTGCTGCAGGCATTGGCTGGGCGAGCTACTGGGCCACCAGCGAGATCAAGGTCCTCTATGGGCACATGAAACTTCCCGAACAGGAAGTCTTTGATGCAGAGACTGACGGCTTGACGACGCCCATACGACTCGACGCTGCGTATACGGCTAATAATGACAAACGGCACTGACATAGGCAGAACCCTGCTTACAATGATTATAAAATCCCCTTCATTCTCTAGATAGAATTCCTTTTCTTTTTCTTTCTCCAAATTATATATTCTCGTCAATGGCTACAATAGTTTAGATAGGGATATCATTTCGTTAGTATCTATTATTCCGAGCCCGTGACGTGAAGATGGGCGGGAACCAGAGATGACCAAAAAAGAGAGGTCAGCTATGGTTTGAAAAGAACTCTAATCCCTCCTGATCCTGATATAAAAATTCGCTTGTGCTTAATTGCCATTACTATATCTTTGTTTATTGTGCAATTTTCCTGGTGCTCAATTGGATTCATGCACCAGATTCAGCTTCCATAGTCACTAATGCGTCACGGAGCGCGGGCACTCACCAATAACGCAAGATGTTTGACTACTTTGGCCTGTTTGAATATAGGGAAGGAACCCCTTTCGCACACTATATAGCGCAGCGCTGGCAGGTCCAGCTTCTTCTTTTCCTTCTCCATGTTAGTATTGCACTAGATAATCACCAATAGACTTATGTTGTTTCAGGCCGTCACAAATGCTCCTATCATTCCAATAACAGATCATTTCTACGCATATGGCTCATTTCATAACTCTTAAAAGCCCTAAATGCCTCTTGTAGAGAACTGGGGTCCTTGAATAGATTAGCATCAGCTTTTATTATAGAGTTGCCATTAAGAAATATGTACATTTATGCTACAGGGTTATAACACGGCAGTGATAGGTAGCATAAAATGGCAGGCTTGGCTTTACACATTTATCTAGCTCCCTTGTCGGTTTGCAATGATCCTAGCCTGAGTTATTGGCGTATGCTCCCAAATCGCTCCAGGGACCAGGAACACTCCGATATTACTCTGGACACACATCACTCTGCTCAGAAGCCAAAAGCGGCAAGAAGTTGGACCGAAAACAGAAAGGGAAAGTCTCCAGGCTTCCGCAGGAAACTTCTACAATAGCGTATAACCGAATTATTTTTTCTGTAATTTCCGTCCAGTTGCGCAATACGGATGCCGCTGTTTTTATGAGGGCAGCACATGAATGCCCTGTGAGCGTTCTGAGCCATCACTGATTGCTCACTGAGCACGTATTGGCCACTCCGGCTGCTCTCAGATACCTTTAACAGGCTCAGTGGGTGATCCGGGAGCAGCTCCTCCTTTCCCCATGTTATCTCCTACATAGCTACCACTAGGTCTTTAAAGTATATGTACAGGCTAAAGCTTCCCAATCTCTGACACAGTCATCATTTCATGAGGGCATCACAAAAACAAAAAGCTGAGTAACTTAATCTGGTCACTGCACAAGATGCCATTCAAAGCTTGCTTTCTGGTTGGATTAGGAGGAAGTGAAGGGAAGTAATCGTGGCGGTCTCGAACAATATGAGCATTGGTAGACTCATATTGTTCATGCCCGACCAGAATGGCCTGCGAGTCAGGCTGTTAGATGAGGTTCACTAACAGCTGTTAACTGTACACTCAGGGAAAACAAAGACCAAACAGCTTCTGAAGGAACGCTGTTACTGAAGATTGGTGGCCAGGCGTCAAGACATGTTTTATCGGTACGAGCATAAGATGAAATTCGAAATGATGCCTATTAGCAAATCCTTCAATGGAGTAGATAGATTGAGTCTATGTCGGGATCGATACATGGGTAGAAATATATCATGCCAAAAAAAAACCTGCGTTGAATAGTGCAATATTCAGCTATAAACAAAATCGGGACATCATTATTGAGCTCATTTGTGATGGAGCTGGCCAGACGCCAGTTTTTCTCCGCTCGTTAACTTACAATTTTCTTTCTGTATACCTCTATTAACTATAGACTTGCGTCTGAGTAATGGGCCAGCCAGTCTGCCGAGCCAGTTTCTTGTTGTTGGAACTTGCATTCCGTGGGCGTGCTGGCGTTCAGAGCCTGGTTAGGAGAGGTGACCGACGAAGGGTAAGAAATCTTGCTCAGATCAGCCACGAAGCGGGCAGTCTGCAGAGACTTCATAGCCGCGCTGGGTTGAGGAGGCTCGACAGCCTTGCTGGTCTCCACGGCCACATTACATGAGGCTGTGCTGGTATAATCAGTACAATCTACCGAAGCCCTGCGGGATGATCATAAATTGGCAACTATCCTTTGGAATGGGTTATAGTGATCAAGTACGCACTTGCTCCAGCGTGGAGTTCTTACTCCGCCTGGTCTAGGAACTTTGATTTCTGTGTCCAACCAGTTTCATTTAATCCTGGTGAGTATCGTGGATAAAGGCTGTCTAAAGCCACACTTTTAAAACTTTTGTCAATGCGTTAAAGCTAATTCTAGCTCTAACCCAAGCAATTTTAGCCTGTAAGCAACCTTCTTAAAAGAACATATATAAAGCTAACCCACCTAGGACGAATGCGCTCAACCTCCCAATCTTCCAACAGAAGACCAACAATATGCCTCCCTATCTCCGGCTCAATGTCCTTAAATTTCAGAACCTCTTTGATCGAGGTCGACCTCGACGTTTCAATAATTGCTCGGTGAATGGTGCGGAACAGGTCATGGGTGGATGGAGGAATCCGCTCTCTTAGAGGGCCAACTCTCTGGTCAGATGTCATGATGAATGGAGGGTTTTGCTCCCTTCGAGGGCTGGCCCTTCTGTCGGTTGCCATGATTGACATGGTGAATTTTCAACAGCAAATGTATACAGGATAGAGCAGATCAAGTCATGAGGAGAGATTATATTGCGTCAAAATTATTGAATCGTGATGTCACATGACCGTGTACGAATGTTAGGGCTTGGGATTCGGCGAGCACATGTAAAAAGATAACCCCCTCCTCCAGTTAAACACCGCAAGTACTAGGCGCCAGGTCCGAATCTCCGACAAATAGCAAGTAATAAAGCGCAGGTGAGTATTCTCACAACACTGCCATAGCATGTAGTCACTAAGTCTTGTCCTTCCGCGAGGTCCTGATGATGATGTTCGGCGGGGGATCCCCTTTTGCTTCAAGACGATACAAGGAGAGCTCACGGACCATTCCTGAATAGTAGCTAATAGATGCCGGATGGAGATTGACCTTAGGTTCTTTTGTAGCCCAGTAGACGAGTGGTGCTGGCGTTTTGTTGTAGATTGTTGTCTGCATTCCATGTACGATTTCTCGTCTTCCGCTGTAGGCGATACATATATTGACTTTTCTGGTTAATTGTCAGCTTTTTAATCCCTTTGGAAGTGGTTTATACACAAGATATACCTCCTCTTCTCAATCACAAAATCTGCTCTACGCACGAATAACGCCGCCGCGTCAAAATCACAACCTTGAACTCCATCATCAAAAACAACGACCCAAGCACCAACGAATTAGAACACCTAAGTATCCGCATCTCAACCCACTTTAACGGCCAAGTAGTCCTCAAATACACGCGGCATCTGCAACACCAGAAGGAAACCGGAAACATCTCTGAAGAATCCCTTAAAACAGACGCAATTTCAAAGCAACTGGATCTTATATACGGCCGCGCACCTGACTTCATCCTCATATTCGAAGACCGGCACTGCTTGGATGGTTATCCTCTCTGGCGTATAAAGTATGCAAAGATGAGGAAGGGGAAATAGGGCTTCTGGCGTGTCGTAACATGCATTAAATTAAGGTGATGTGTGGATATGTTTGGCACCGAAGAGGCAGTCTGAGTTAGATTCTTGAATCTGGACCGCAGTATCGTTGGGCTAAAGAAGCTTGGCATTCGGCTTCCTGTTGCTTTGATGAAAGACAATTGTATCAAATCACCATACCACAATATATATGTCCCACAACATGACAGTTAAAAACCCCTGACCCCACCTCAATCTCTTCTCCGAAGTAGACAACGCATTCAACCTTCACGAATCCGGCGGTCATCCCAACATAATCCTCACCGGCGTAGTTACCCGCAAAGGCCTCATATACCGAGCAGGCCACCTGGGGAGTGTGACACCCACGGAATGGCAGACATTGCAACACAACCTGCATATTCCGACGGTGATTAACCTAACCAGTACTGGCGAAGCAGGGGAATTTGTGCAGATCGTACAGCAGATTCAGTTGATATGCAGGGAGACTCGGATATCAAGACCGTCAAGCTACCCCTCAAACAGAATTCTTTCTCCATGAATGAGCCCAATAAGTGTAGAACATATTGTTCAAAGGGACCGGAGGTTCATTCCTCACCCTCCCTCTCCTTCCCCGTTTCTCATCTCTCATGCATATGAGCAACTACTAGCCAACTGATGTATCCAGGCAATAGCCCAAGACTACCTCACCCTCCTCCACTCCGCCACAAACCCCCATCCGCGCAATCCTCACTCAGCTTTTGTCTGACCCAATTACTCCCCTCCTCCTCTACTGTACCCTCCGCAAAGACAACACAGGCCTAATCTTCGCCCTCCTCTTCTCCCTCGCCGGCGTTCCCGCCCCCATCATCGTAGACTAATACAGCCTAACAACCCACGGCCTGGAACTCATGAAACTGACGCTGGCCCGGTTACTCAAGATGGCGGAGCCAGAGCTCAGTGGGGAAGAGGCATCTGAAAAGTTAAAAAAGAGTACGACAGCACATAGGGAGAGTTGGTGAGGGCGCTTGAAACGGCCGCCGGCCAATCCGCACTTCACCGCCTCGCGCCCAGTCGTCTTGCCGCCTCCCATCTATACACGACACGTGACTACGGAGCCCTGTGGCTATGGTGGCGCAGTGTTTTGTGGCTTGTGTTTTCAATTTCCTTATCGGGATACAAAGCCGGAGACCCTCCTGTGGCTAAGGTACGCCGATAACTGGACGAGTATTAATAAAAAATATCTTTTATGAGATGTGGCAGTGCTAGGAGGCGTGAATGAATGACGAAAGGTCATGATAGTGGCTTGTGAGGGTCTATACTAGGCCTGGACAGTGGTAACCATAGCTTCTGAAGGTGAAGATGGGAAGACCTCGGCTGAGCAGATCACTACAAGTCAAACGTGGTTGAGAGATCGAGTCATTAACTCGTCAAATCCTATTGATCTTTTGAGCCCATTCCAGGTAGCTGACCCCGACCCACGCCTATCCATATGCTAATCTCCCGGTAGAAGACAGAACTTTTGCAAAAAGCGAGAAAAAATGACGCGGTGCGGTATTGTACAGATAGTGAGGTGAGAGGTGAGGTGATAGATTCGAACAAAAACGATACTAAGACGCCCCGGACGCCCTAGCCACAACCGTAAAAAAAAAAAAAAATCATACACAGATTCGTAAAAAAGTGCGAGAAACCCGAGAGGTATTCCCAGGAGATCGTTGATCATGTCCGCGGTAGATTCCATGACTGGTGATTCTCCACCATGACAAGTTTTGGTATATAGTACAATTAGGAAAGGTGGGAGAGGTGAGATATGGTTTAAGAGATTCGCGAAAGGTAATCGTCAACGGACTCGTTTAGGAGTTCCGGACAACGCCAACCTTGGCGGCCTAAAGGAAATGGGTCAGCAATGAACTCGGTAAACTGTCAGAATGAATGACATACTCTAATTGTCCTTCCATTAAGGGTGAATCCCTTGCTCTGGGTGTACATAATGTCACCGTCCTCCAAGTTCTCAGACTTGGCCATAAAGGTAGCCTCGTGCAGGTTGGGGTCGAACTTTTGGGGCTTGCCGGCCTCGCCGGCCTCTGAAGGGTCGAATCGCTCCAGACCGTGCCTCTTAAGCGAGTTCATGAGAACATTCTGGGTCATCTGCAGACCGGTGACGAGATCCACCAAGTCCTTGTTCTCGGCCTCAGCACCACTGAGCTTCTCGGCCGGGACGGCGAGGAGGGCACGGTCGAAGTTGTCAATGCTTTCGAGAAGGTCAATGGCGAATTTCTGGATAGCGAAGTTACGGGCCGATTCCATTTCACGCTTTGTGCGTTCCTGGAGGTTCATAAAGTCTGCAACCGAGCGAACGTATTTGTCCTATTTCGGTGAGATATTAGCCAAGCCCCGGGCCACACTTCCGAATGGATTTCCGTTAAGTAATGAATTAATAACAAGAATTCAGCGCACCTTCATGTCAGTAGCTTCCTTTTTCTTGTTCTCGAGCTCTTTGAGAAGAGCATCTTCGGGAGACTGCTCAGCGGCAGCGGCTTCGCCTTCCTTGCCCTCAGATTCAGCGGCCTTTTCGGTAGAGTAGAAACGGTAAGCGGGCTGGCGGATCAATGGCCGGAAGCTCTGGGGGAGCTGCGACTGCAGCTGCGATGGCCGACGGACGGCAAACGGAGCTGTGGAAATAGAGCGGGAGGAGAGCGCAGACCGGGCGGCGGTCTGGCCTTGTCTGAGGACAGTTCTTTGGAACATTATGAAGAGAAATAAGGGAGAAATAGGAAGATAGAGAAGGGGTAAAGCTAGAGGGGTTGTGGTGTGGAGGAGTAAAGATGGAAACCATAACAGAACTTTCTTTCGTCGGCGTCACATCACCTGACTGCCCGCTTTCGGAGTCGGCCGGAGAAACCCCGGCGGACTCACTACCAAGTCCCTCAATCTCAACACACTATGAGACGAGGGATAATGTCAGGCCAGTCTACTGCTATGTGGAAACTTATACAGCGTCAGCCAGCGACAATTCCTGCTTCGCCGGTCAGACTCACTCTGACTGCATCGACAGCCATGACTTTTCGTGTTGACTTCTTGAGCTTTGCACGCAGGGCAGACTTCATAAGAACCATTGTATTTAATCCTCAGCAACCGTTGGCCTATATTAACCCTAGTCATCCCGCCTTCAAAAATGCCTCTCAGCTTACTCAAGCAAGAAAAAAGAGAATCGTGGCATATTACCACCAAATCCGCCGCAGAACCCGACAGGAACGCCTTGTTCTCTGTTTTTACCAGACTAACAAATAAGCTCGTTGTGCAGAACCAATCTCTGCCAACATCTACTCTCACATAGCCGGGATCTTCGTATCTCACCTCATCAGTCAGCATCTCGACATCCGACAACCCGATGCCGACGGAGATAAGGGAAGAGAAGAACGGAAATAACGGCCGAGGCAGATGAGGAGCAAAGCTAAGCGAAGGATTGGAGATCCCCGTATTATGTATTACTGCTATTATCTGGTGTCAGGGTCTGCGGGGGTGCATGGATTGGGTTGGTAGATTGCATCGGCTTATGCTGCAGGAGAGGGGGGCCATATGAGAGGTGGCTAACGGAGGCCGACCCTTGGGTGGAGGGTCCATGGTAGATTGATGGCAATAGAGTAGTGCCCTGTAGTGCCCTGTAGTGTAGTTTTTGGCATGCTCTTGTGCCTGGATATTAAAGAACTATGTACGGATATTCTTGAGTATAAGGTAGCTTGCCATTGTATATCTCGGGAAATTTGGAGACATCAACCCCTCATTGACTTCCCCCCATCGGTTATAAACGTCCTACGGCAACCGCAACTACTCCGTACTTCTACGTCTACATTTACATCCTCTATACATCGCAAATATCCAAAGCTACAATGACTCTCAAATACGACCCCGAATTCGCCCAAGCCGCGGCCCCAATTCTGTCCGCCCGCGCAGCAGCCTCCCCCGCTGCCCTCCACGACGTAGAAACCCGCCGAACACGCATCACAGCCTCCTACGCAGCCGCATTCAAGAAACTCCCAGAAACCCCAGATGTCGAGCACAAGATCTACCAGATCAAGTCACACGATGGCCAACTCATCTCCGTATACCACTTCTACAAGAAGTCCGGACATGCGACGCCCGGCTCGGCGGTTTTCCACACGCACGGTGGCGGTACCATCCAGGGTGATGTAGAGCTGTTTGTCCCACTGCTTGCGAATGAGGTGCAGCAGACTGGTGTGCAGTTTTTTTCTGTTGACTATCGTCTCGCACCTGAGCATCCGCATCCGATTCCCGAGGAGGACTGTTACGCCGCGTTGACGTGGGTGTACGAGCACGCGGATGAGTTTGGTGTTGACCGCAGTCGCATTGCCACGATGGGTGAGAGTGCTGGTGGTCGTTTAGCACTGGTGATGAGTCTCATGGCTCGGGATCGTAAACTGTCGCCGCCGCTGGCGAAGCAAATTCTGATCTATCCGATGCTGGATGACCGTAACACAAACCCGATCACAGCGTTGGAACCGCTGGCACTGTGGTCCAATGATGATAATATCACTGCCTGGACAGCGCTGCTGGGCAAGGATGTGATTGGGACGGACAAGGTGCCAGAGTATGCTGCGCCGGCGCGGGTGCAGAGCCTTGAGGGGCTTCCGCCGACGCTTATTGATGTCGGGGAGTTGGATGTCTTTCGGGATGAAGATTATGCGTTTGCGGGGAGGCTGGCGGCTGCAAATATCAGCACGGAGTTTCATGTGTATCCTGGACTGCCTCATGCGTTTGAAGTGTATGCGCCGGAGATCGATGCGACGAGGCGGGCTGTGGAGCACCGCATGAAAGCCGTTACTTCGGTGTAACCGGCTGATATTGATGAAAAGACAAAGTCTGTTGTATACGGATGATGAGATGAGCCTGAGAAGCCGCCTTGAATATAATGTTGAGTCTATGCAATGAACAGTCAAACACGAGAAGTGCCATAATGCCGTAATGCCAGTTGTCCCATTTGATCCTTCGCCCTCTGTTGGGTCGCACTATGTCGTATTCCGCCTTATCCCGCCCCGAAACTGTTGAGCTTCCTCCTCTGTGAACCAGAAGAGGGTCTCACTCTGTCGTGGCTGAGAACTGCCAGACAGAGGGGGCCATGGTTCCTTTATACGTGCAGGCAGACAAATTTCCACGCGCTAATGGGGGCTGTAGCATTGCATATTAGCAATGTTGAGATAGTCTCAGATAGCCGCGACCGAGTAAGATCTGAAGGTGGTTTGTGGGGTGAGGCTGAGTCCTTGGACCCGGGGGCTTTCCGAATGGGGAAACCGTGAGGCTTAGAAGTTACGCATCTGTATATCCGAGGATGCGGACAGAATAGTAATCAATAGTCAATTAGTTGCGATAATTAAGGATAGCAATGGGGGACTGAATGCGTTTGCCTGGATTGAGGCTTGTCTCCTTTTTTTTTTTTTTTTTTTTTTTTTTTTCTTTTTGATTGTTTTTTGTCAGTTACGGATTCAGATAGCGGACAGGGTCAAGAATGCTGGGCATCTTTGTATGGTTGAGGCGATGAAAGACCACACTCAAAGCAACCATGGCACCAACAACGGTCTACATGAGCATACAGTCTGAGTAGAGTCTAGACAAATACACCCGTGGCAACAAAGTGTCAATCCTGGACTCTGTAACTGGGTCGTGGCGATCCTCAGGGACAATGGCCGCAGGCTGTGCAAACTACTCCAGAGTACGCGTGCGTCAACTGCGCCTCTTTTTGCCGGATCATAGAATTCTTTCTTTTAACTTGTTCCAAGGGAGCTAACCATATAAAAACCCGCGGCTGGTCTCTGGCTGATCTACTTTCTCTGCATTCATCTTCATTGGTTGTACTGAATTCTCTCCTATCCTATTTTAACCGCCTACCGCCTCTACTTGAACATCTCTACCACCACCACTACCACCACCACTACCATCACCACCATTACATTCACAAGTACCACAACAGAACAACAAACAAAATGACCTCCTTCAGCGCCAACCGCTCGCGCTCCTCCTCCAACTCGTCTCGTCCAGCTCTCTCTCTCGACCTCTCCAACCTCCCACCTCTCACCACCCCAACACCACCAACAAACACCCTCCTAATCACCAACCTCCTCGACCTCACTCTCTTCCAACCTCCCTTGATCAATAAAATCCGCGAGACAATCACCTCTGTCGCCCCCCTAAACTCCTTCTCCCCGCTCCCCTCACTCCGCCGCATCATCTGCTCCTTCCACGCCACAGACGACGCCGTCACCATCCGCAAAATGCTCGACGGCGACAATCTGGGCTCCCAAACAGCCCGCGCAAAGATCTACTTTGGCGAACCAACACCAATCCTCGACGAAAACGAAGCGCGCCACCCAAAGAACTTCCTACAAGCACCCCAGGTTGACAAGCTGTTCTTTATCTCGCCGCCGCCGTCCCCGCCGGCCGGTTGGGTGCTGCGCCAAGAGGACCCGCCGAACAAGGAAGTCCACGCGAGTGATCTAGCGTCTGCGCTGGAGAGCCTTAAGGCGGAGAATTCGGGTATTCCTGCTGCACCTGTTGAGGAGATGGGTATTGATACTCCTATCTCGTTTACGTCGGAGAAGCGGATGGGGAGTTGGCCGGTTTCGGACCATCAGCGGAGTCGGAGTTCCACGCTGATTTATGTTCCGGAGGATCATGGGAGTAGTCCTGATCTGCCGGCTGTTATGGTTGAGGATACTACGACGGTGGAGTTGGAGGAGCCGAGTCCAATTGATATGGCGGTTAAGAAGATGCCGCCGAAGACGTCGATGCCGCCGGTTGAGTTGATGTGATTTTCGTTTTATTTTTGGATTTGATGTTTTCTGGGTTTCATGTTAGTTTTGCATGGCGTTGGTGTTCGCATAGATTATTTTGCTTTATGACCATGTTCTTGCACGGATGGCGTTGGCCTCGTTACGAGCATTTATTGGCTACTGTTTATGATCCTGGCATTTCGGCCAGTTGACTATCTGGTATATACTAGAATGAATGATAATTACTCTATCTAAACTGCCTTTCTTCCTTCGATATCTCAGTAAAATTTATTAATCAAACAACACCACAGCACTCTCCTTCACAACCCTCTGTCCCAAAGCCGCCGCCAACTCTGCAATGATTCCTTTGATCGACTGCGGATGCGCCATGGGCATTTGCTCCCATCCCACCAGATCCTACAGTAGTCAGTTTTACATAGTCTCCCAAAGAACGGAAAGGGACATACGATCATATGCACAAATGACCCATGCACCAACAACAACCAATGGTCCAAATCCAGCGCCTTGGTCTCCTCAACCGTTAAAACACCAGGCATATGCAGATCGAACAATGAGACTTCCTCGTCGTTGACCTCGTCGTTGACCTCGGCGCCTGCTTCGTTCTCGCTTTCGCTTTCTTTGCTGGATTCCGCCTCGCGCTGCTCCCGGGAAAGAGAAACGTAGGGTTTCTGGTCGAGTTTCTTGATGAGTTCCCCATCGAGCGGGTGCCAGACGTGGGATTCGGGGTCGAGAACGTATTGCGGGCGGAAGGTGCCCTTGTAGCGCATTTTTTGATTACTGTGGATGTAGTAGCCTGTGGATGGATTAGGTTCTGTCATATGCTGGCTTGGTTTGCAGGACACACCCATGTAGTAGTAGCGGTAGTTGTCCTCGATGGTAAGGGCGACTTCTCTGAGGGCGCTGAGTTTGCCGAATTCCCAGGTTTCGTAGTCCGGGTCGTAGCTGGAGAGTTAGCAAGATTACAGAATGAGGTTAACGATGGAAACTCACAAGACGTAGACAGAGCTCACACCAGTAGGAACCAAATCCAAAACCGCCACAGCGATCAGTTTCCCATCCAGCCGATAGCACTGATGCCAGGAACCAAGCTTTTTCTCTTTGGAATCCGCACTGGCTGGAGAGCGCTTGATACCGGAGCACAGGAAGCGCTGGAAATCTTTGGTTTTCCATCTGGAGACGTCTTCCTTGTGGATTTTGGTTTGGTATTTGAGGAAGAGGTCGAACCTGTAGGTGTCAGCATTGGAAGATTTCCTCGCCGTTCTTGTACGTACTTCGCCTGAGAAACTGAGTCTCCTTCGAGATTCACCTCAAAGCGATGGGAGGGTTCTAAGGGGCGTTTGGTTGACGGGTCAATGGGGCGTTTTACGTTGGCGTATTCGGACTCGTGGACTGCTGTGAGGACGTCAAAGTTGCATTTTCGATGTTTCTTCTCCCTGCTCGATGGTTAGGAATCATCTACCTGAGAAGGACAGAGACGTACTGGCGTGTCTTGGGACATAGGCGAGCTGCTTTGCGGAGATATTCCGGACCTAAGACGAATTTATTCCAGCGATTGATTGCCTTGCGTTGGTCTCGTCTGGCTTTGAATTCGGAGGCTTCGAGTCTACACAGGTTAGCATTACCCAAACTCCAATTGGAATATGAAACTGTACCTAATCGTATAGTGCGGACAGCATGATCTCTCTAAATTCGGCTTATAGTAAAGCGTTCCAGATCTTTAACCCAGCAGTGTCAGTCATGGAACTTCAAGAGCTTAAAGTAGAGCATACCTTCTCCAACCTCGATTTACAAGCTCCTCATAATGCCGCGGCCGAACAGAGACGGAGCTACTGTAATAAGAAGCGCCTAAACGGTGTCAATGGCCCTCTTACGGAATACCGTGAGACGATAGACATACTTCCATCCTCCGATTTACAGTAACCACACGAGTTGCGCTGGTAACCTGGAACAACCGTTAGCCCCTAGTCAAGAAATCTTATTTTCCTTCTTCAAGCATTGATTCATGAACTAGTAGCAGAGCACCACTATCGTGGGGACGCCACGACCCCCACACCATGTACACATGCGCACAAAACCCGCTCTAACTGGCCACTTACCCAAAGGTCGGAACAGGGATAGTTTTCTCGCCTGCTCAGCATCAATGGTGTCCATTTTGCGGTGCAGATCGGTTGTAATTGAAAGAGGTGGTTGGATGTTTGTGGTTGGTGGTTGGCGGTTGTCGGAGAGATGTGCGGGGATTTGATGACAGCGCTCAAGGCGGGAAGTGAAAATACGTGCAGGAACTGGCGTTTTTTGAGCGGTTAACTGATTGTGCATGCGAACGGTTTATTTTACGCCTACTTATTCTGTAAATATGATATCCAGCTATTTTGTAATACTAATACCAGTTACGAGGCCGTACGCTATGATGTTATGATGCTATTCAAGTAGTGTCCGCAGAACTCCAATATATACATGTCCTCCTCGATTTCCAGTATAGGGAAAACGACGTACAACACGGCATATCAGTCGGGCCAGCGCTGCATGAATGCACGAAATAATATTACAAACAGACAGCAGCGGAAACAAACAATATCTAAGTGCTTCAAGCATGTTCGCGTATGGCGAAAGCCAATCACCCCCCGGCGATACGCAAGGATCGCAGATCACCTAGCAAGAAGCGCACGACTATTTCCCTCTGTCATAGAAAATTTACAAAACCAGAGCCGACTGTCGAGCATCCTTTGGAATTATTCTGGGCGTACTAGGCGTCTCAAGTTCTTGTTGTTGAGCGCCAGATATTTCTGCGCCATCGCACACTTGCTCGGGAGAATGATGGGATCGGGGACCGAGATTCTTATAAGCCATGTCTGCTTTATGCCATGATGGCTCTGGCGTCATTGGCCGGTACGGACAAGGGTGATAGGCGATACTCAGCACCGCCGAAAGGTATTGCTGGAGACTGGTTCAACCAGAAAGCAAGGATCTTGTTCGAGGCGGAAACGAGTTCCGTTCCTACGGTAACAATGGTCCAGGCAGCTATTCTTATAGGTTCTCGATATGGTACTTTTGCGAACAGCTCGTTCGGATGGACGTTTTGTGGTACGTATGCTGTTCAAGCTTCAATAAGGATTCCTCTGGGCTGACTATGCCGGGAATTGCTTTTCGCATGGCCACCAAGCTGGGTCTTCAGCTCGACTGCTCAAGAGTTGTTGCTATAGGGGGAATGTCAGAAGCGGCGATATAGAATCGACTAGTGACATTTGGGGCTCATGTATGGAAGACAGGTGAGACCATTTCTAATGTCCCTGTGATGAGTAATGATGCTTTCCCCAAAGTATTCGGTGCATATCGTGAACGATCCATGATACTAATAGACGGAGACACCACCATTGCACACCCTGGATCAAGCTCAGGTGAAGCCATACATGTCACCTAACTATCTCCGCCCACCGCCTCACACGCTGCAGTCGAAATATTCCAATATGCGTTGAATATATATACTATGAGGAGAAAACCATTGGAACAGTCCGAAGTGCATATTTGTTCTCTGATGCACTTGTGCGGACGTCCAGCTCGGTCGACATAGCCAGGGCAAGACATCACCATGACTGAGGCATATATTATTCACTCTAACCTACATGGGTTTGATATCCCAGATAGTGGACCGCCATTTTCAGCTCACGGTTTACATCTGCAGGCCTTCACAGCCCATGCAGTGTTTCCCCTCATGACCTGGGGCTATATAAGGATTGCAGTGTCTGATGGAAAGCATTCATGATCAGTCTGGATTTCAGCTTGGTGACATAGCAGTAAAAATGGAGAGAATCGTCGAGAATCGTGATAAGTTAAGACTGTCAATTCTGTTTGATGCATATACTCATTTTCCAAAAATTGAGGCTGTCGAGAGACCGATTCAGGCCCTCTATAAACAGCCAATGAAGACAGTCGACGACATTGAAGAAGGATATCGGCATCACGGATTAAACCAAACGTCGAACCGGAGTCAGAACCAGAGCCACATGGGTGAGCCTATGGAAAACTTCGCTCAGATAATGTTGCACAGCCTTCCCCCATCTTCACTATCTTCCCCAAGGCAATCGCAAGGCGTCCTCCCAGAACTGCACAGTCTTACGGCAGAAGTGATACTCATTTTCGTGTGCTCCGCTGGCCTCATATTTTTCTCATTGCTCCTGGGCGATGTAGTTCCTTAAGGACAACTTAAAGAAACACTAGGGACCAGCAACGTCGAGTTACCATGGTTTTTTGTTTGCGCTTTCAACGTAGCAAACGGCCTCTATGTTACCCTCTTGGGCTCCTTGATGGATCTTACGCCTCCGAAAAATTTGATGGTGGGTTCTTTTGCATAGCTGACGATCTGGAATATCATTGGAGTCTTCTCAATCCGGCCAAAGACAATGGTACTGTTTTTCATTGTGCGTGCCATGCATGATCTTGCCGTTGATGTTTTGCTTCCTAGGTCGGTGAGCATCTTCGGGGCGTGTGTACAAGCCTTGGTTGCGCAAGAATCGTGTGTTCTCTGCTATGGCGGCCACGGAGCCTTTGGGGTTTTGGCTGGGGTTACCCAGGGTGGTGATCTCCAGGCTCATTTATGATGGATATTCGCTTCGAATACCATGATATCTGCCCTATGTTGTGTGGTTGCGGTTTCCACCATTTCTCCATTGTGCCCTGTGGCGGATATGGTAGGGGAAGAGGCCCCCATCATATAGCAGTTTGACCTGTGGGTCCGGCGGTTGCCATCCCGGGATGCATCTGTCATCTGTTTGGTCTCACCCAGGGCTCAATCACGAGATGGTCCCCGTACACGTATGCCCTAGTTGTCGTCGGTATTTGTCTTCTAGTCGTATCTTCCTTCGTGATCGAGCGCCGTGCCGTTCATTTGCTTACCACCCAGCGCCTTTGCGCATTCGAAGCTTCACACCACTCATGCTAGCTTATTATTATTGGATTTGGCTCTTACGTCGGTGCATAGCAGTTCTACGGCGTGTAATTCTGGCTGCACATCAAAAACACCACGCCGCTGATCACTTCCCTCTAGCTACTACCCAACGCGGTCATGGGCGTCCTCGCCACATGGGTAATAAGCAAGACACTGCTCCGCTTTTCTGGCCACTAAATCTACGCAGCATCCATGCTAGCCTTTGCCCTGGGCACGATATTTTTTCTTCCGCAGAAGTCAGGGACAACATACTGGGCACTATCGTTCCCAAGTGTGCTATTAGTAACCTTCGGGCTAGACTGCATTCGCAGCTGCGTCGATCTTCATCACTAGAAATGTGCCACAATCGTATCAGGGTAGTGCGGGTAGTTTGTTAGTCACAGTGCAGAACCTGTCGACGGCTATCATGACCAGTTTGGCGGATGCGGTAGGGACGAGCGTTGATGTGGGAGCGATTGGGGAGATTGGGCTCAAGGGGTTTGCAGGCTGTTTGGCAGTTTGATCTTGTAGAGGAGATAGTGGGTGGGTTAATTACTGTTGCGTTTGAGGATTCCGAAGGAGAAGAAGTATGTTACCTAGCTACCGAACAGGGAAGGTGAGCAAGTGTTCAGTTAAGCATGGTATCCCTGTCAGCACCCCTGTATATATTCCAGTTGTATTAAACGACTATCAAGAGAGCAAGTAAGATGCGTTGTCGTATCCATTCCGACGTTCAATCGCAGCAGCATAAACAACCACGTGCTCAAAATGCATAAAAGAGCCCCATCCCATTGCCCGACGACCGGACCCGACATCTATCTACAAATGGCCCCATATGCGGCGCAGTCGACGTGGATTACAGGCCTTGCATTCGAGCACAGAGATCTCAAGGCCTTGAAAATCTAACCGACGACGATCAATGACTTCATTTCGCGACTCTTTGTCTTGGGCATTAACGAAGAAAGTTAACTAGAGCATCAACCTCGTATGCCCCGCATTCGCATCGTGTGTCATTCTCGTGCTCACGATTGCTGGTACCCAATGCGTGATATTCAGTGAGGGGACATCAGACGATGACTTACTTGGCAGGACTTCTCTTAATGGTGAGGAATGGAGAGTTTCGCCCCAAGAGATCTCAACACGTAGTCGACGGGGTGCGTTAGGACTGCAGCTCATTTTGATCTGAGCGGCGTCTGTGGGGATGGGGACATGATAGTATACGAGTGTTCAACAGTATGTTTTCAGCCATGAGGTATTCGGTAGTAGTTAGTACGGAGTAGAGTAGTAATACATAGTGGTAGTCGAGATCTATGCATAGTAGATACACGCTAGTACCAAACGGTATGGTACATAGATACTGTATGAATCCAGAATCAATAGTTTAATTAGCAGTGGCCATCATCCCTGCTATGTACTATGCACAACGTTTCATACTAGCAGGTCTACTCGGTGTACTACTTACTGGTATACACCGGTATCCTGTACAGACAGCTCAATAATTTGATGGAATGCATAAATTAGCGAGGATTGTGGGTAACAACCGGATCGGGAGAGTCAGGAAACGGGACTCTCCACCGGCAAGACCAGAACTGTTCGTTCTCTAGGGTTTTCGCTAGACAACCGTGGTTACTAGTAGCAGCGAGGACATTAATAATGTGCATAGTTGGTACTAGAATGGAATATTTCAGTACCGGTCATGACCATACGGTACGGTACCATACTGTCGGTCCCTCCGAAACCTCCCACTTTCTTGTCCTCCGCCCTCCGTCTGTCTGTCTCTGTGTCTAGCCTTCATCCTTCTTTCTACTTCTCCTTCTAATGCTTCTATGATACTTCTTTGATTATGATGTCTCTTCCCATCCTTGTGTCTCTACTGCAATTCCCGTCTATACCGGGAGTGAATGGGAGTACTAGTACCTGATATTCTTTTTCCTTCTCCGCAATCATCTTCTCAATTTGCCCCAGAAGCACTTGAGAAAAAAAAGTTCCTTCCACCGAAACCCTCCCTCCCCCCTTCTCCCGAACTAACACCCTCACCACTTCGAACGAGCAAGGCCCTGTGCCATCTTTTCCCATACGGGGAGCTTCTTCAGGCTCCTGCGCGGTGTCTTGAAAGTCATTGACTTCTTTGTGACATTTGACTTTTTTTACCGTTCCGTTCCTTTTTCTCCTGTCCTTCTTGCTGCCGTCGCGTGGGGTGTAACCGGAGTGGGAGTTTCTCGGCTTGACGATCTTTCAACCCGCCCAATCCCTCTATAAGGAGTGTTTTCGGGGCTCATTTGATCTCCTACGATTTGTCAAAGATCATGGCTCCCAATCGTTCCATGGAGTCGCGCACTGGTCGGGTCAATCAACGTGAGTTCTTTGTCCATTCCACATGTTGACCACGTGTGCCCCTTGGCCAGAAAAAGCCATTCGGGTACATTGATATTTAAGAATTCGATTGGCCCTACAGCATTTATCCCACTCTGTCACTGTGTGAGTCCCGCTAATGTCTCGTGATCATTATAGGCTACGGATCCAAAGGCGAACGTCTCGTGGCCGGCATGGTCCCCCTATCTACAGATAAAACAAAAGTCCTGATGATCCAGTCATCAGGCCCTGGCGGATGGGTGCTTCCCAAAGGTGGTTGGGAAACAGACGAAGACAGTGCCGCACAGGCGGCGCTTCGGGAGGCCTGGGAAGAGGCCGGTGTGATCTGCACCGTCTCAAGAGATCTGGGCCTCATCTCCGACATGCGTCCTTCCACATTGTTGACCGCCAATGCACCAAAGGCGTCATATCAGTTTTTCGAGGCTACTGTCGACCGGGAAGAGGTGGAGTGGCCGGAGATGCACAAACGTGCTCGGAGATGGGTTGACTATGCGGAAGCCGCCCAAGCTCTCGCATGTCGACCGGAGATCTTGGAAGCATTAAATCGCAGTTCCATGATTCGGTAGCGATTGCTTCGGCTCATATATATACTTGGAAAGCACCTCGTTCTGACGGGGTGTCGATATTCCGATTTACGACTTGCTACGATTTTCAGGGACTTTATAAAGAGCGAACTTCGCTTTCTGTCTCATGTTCCCTCTATACTACAACTCCTCTTTTTCCGATTTTCCCTTTATTCTTTTTGCTATATTTGCCATGAATCCGCTGCATTAGGCGTCCAATTGCTTATACACACTTCCTCCCTTTCTTGACACAATCACGGTTGACCGAATGGCTTTGTGCGCAACACCAGAATAACTTAGAAGGTTAAAAGAGCGCAACCGGTGAGATTCCAATGTTGCGCAGGCGCCTTTTCGGGTCTCGGTTAATGGAGAGGCTGTTTGATTACCAGGTGGCAGCATTGGTTGCTTGTTTCGTTTTGTTTCTTTCATTTGCGTCGCCTTTTCTTATTTTGCTCAGAAGAGACAGGACGCAACCTCTGTTGGCTCAGAATATCTGATGAATCGGTCCTGCTTGAGAGAGACCGGCGTGGAATGCTCCAAGTTAGGTATCTGCCACAACCAAGACATTATCATTCTCTGTCTCTCTGTCACCCGTTGACCAGATTGTATGGGTTGTCCAGAGCTATCTGAGACTTGATCATGATTTGTTCTTGATATGTAGTTTTTTTTTTTTTTTTTTTTTTTTTTTTTTTCTCCCTTTCTGTAATAGTAGTATGTATAGTAGTGAATGTATTATAGGATTGGACTGGGTGTATGATATATATAGATATGAAATATGAATGGAATAGATCGATCAACATGTTGCTATGTAAGTGTATAGAGAGGTTGATTTAGGCGTACATGGAGCATCTCGATCGCCCAATCGGGAAAAGCGCCACTCCGGTCTTGGAGTTGAGCCGCCAAAGGCTTCATTCAACCATCGTCAACCTTCGAATCGTCCCCATCCACCACCCACGCTCTTTCCTTCTCACCTCTATTTTTTCAGGGACTTACTCTATTTTCCCTATTATTTTGAATTCCTGGGGTAGAGTTTAAAATGGATTATGAAATGGACATCGAGCCCACTGGGCCTCAAGTCACAGTACGAGAGGTGAGTCACGTTGCTACAAACCAGGAAGAGACGAAGAAGATCAGAATAGAAAGAATCTAACTAACCAGTCAGGCCGAACCCTACCGCGTTGACTTCAAACTCAGCTCCGTCGACCTTGCCTTCGCCAACTCTCTGCGCCGAGTAATGCTCGCCGAAATCCCAACCATCGCCATCGACCTTGTCGAGGTAGAAAAAAACACCTCTGTCCTCCCCGACGAATTCCTTGCCCACCGCATCGGCCTCATCCCCCTGAACTCGAAAAATTGCGACCAGGACGTCGAGTACACGCGCGATTGCGAATGCGAGGACCACTGCGCGCGCTGCAGCGTCACGCTCACGCTGCACGCGCGCTGCTCCGGTGACGAGATCATGGTTGTGTATGCGCGGGATTTGGTTGTGAGCGGTGAGCGGGCGAATGAGTGGGTGGGGAATCCGGTGATTAATGATCCCGAGGGGAAGGGGCCGTTGATTTGTAAATTGCGGAAGGGGCAGGAGGTTAAGATGACGCTTATTGCGAAGAAGGGGATTGCAAAGGAGCATGCGAAATGGATGCCTACGGCTGCGATTGGATTTGAGTATGATCCACATAACAATCTAAGGCACGTGGATTATTGGTATGAGGAGGATCCTGTGAAGGAATGGTACGTTTCCCTCTTCTCTTTTGCTGCAGAGGATATAAGCTGATTGAAAAAAAAAAAAAAAAAAGGCCAGTCTCTCATAACGCCGGATGGGAACATGCTGCTCCCCCAGACCAACCCTTCGACTACGACGCCCAACCGAACAACTTCTATGTCGACATCGAAAGCATTGGTAATCTCGAACCAGACATGGTCGTCCAGCAAGGAATTGTTGTTCTCCAGCGCAAACTTGCCTCCGTCATCTCCGCCCTCTCCGGCACCGGCGACATCGACCGCAACGGCGGCATGGGCGGGGAAGACGAGGACATGATGGGTGTTCGGAGTCCGGACGCCTACGAACCTCCGGAGGGTATTGATGGTGGTTTTACGGCTTATGCCAACGGTGGCGCCAGTGCTTGGGGTGCCAGCGCAGCAACCCCGTACGGAGCTACGCCGTATGGCGGTGGCTACGGATTCTAATCGACGTCTCTTCACCCTTTCCTCCTTTCTCCTCAACCTTCTATTTCAGCTTCGACGGGACTGGCTATTTGGGCAAAAGAAAAGCGAAGAGAAAATTTATACATCGAGCATCTGGATCGGAGTTTGTCTTTGGGATTGTGAGCTGTATAGCAACATCTAGCTGTGTTTATGTGGTTCAGCGGCGCTATTTGGGTGTTTTGCTCGAGACTTTTGTTTATATTGAATATCTAATGCAGGCTTTTTGGCATGATTGATCAAACATCTCGGGGTGTGATAGCCTCTGTACGTTTCAAACCATGACAGACATCTCCGTTGAAATGTATGGATCTGTACTCCCAAATGTCTAGGGACATGGTGTGTACTGAAAGGAAGGTAGAAACATGATGGGGGTGCCGTATACACTTATTGATGAGAGGATTTTTGAGCATAAATGCCCAAAGGAAACCTAAAGGAACGAAGCACGAAAGGAAAATCCTGCATTAATTAGAGGGGAAAGGTGCGATTTTTGTACCTGCAGAGTCATATATCACTCCATGCCCATGAGAACCTCGACGACCTGCGACGCTTGTCAACTTTCTGAACCACAAAACAACCACAATAAAAACGACGGCAAGCAAAATTGATTGGGGCTATAGTGTTGTCGATATTTCTCGGCAACCGTGTTTATCATGACACACAATGATCTTCACAACGGCCCATGCTGCTGGTCTTCTGAGGAATTATTAAGTGACGACTTGTCTGAATTTCAGATCTTGGGCTTCAGAGTTTAGAACTTCGTGTAAAACATCGTTCAGTTTCCTCTCTCTAGCAATTGATCGTGTCTTACCTGTGGGTGGCGGAAACGTGAACAGCCCATCGCGAGCTGCTGTGTGCATTATGAGATGTCGGGCCATAAGCTGGTGATGTTTTGGCAGTGATGTTTGGAGATACTCGACCACTGGGTTAATTCATCTGGTGTACAGTTTCTTATCAAAAAACAACGAAACTCTCATCAGAGCTAGCTAACATTGATAGTTATTCCTATCTCGGAGCTATGTAGGGAGTGTTTAGCTTTGATATATTTGCAATTCTTGCTAACTAGTGGGACACCTTTCTTTCGGGGAAGAGAGATCCGAACTTGGGCGGTCAACCGTCTTTTCTAGGGTAGTAAAGGACGAGGACACGTCTCCTTGCCTTCAACTGGGTGGTCTATAGTTCTTTCTGGTTTGCCCCAGAAGAAAGGATGTCGTCGGCCGTAGGCCCTGTTGCAGACTGAGCTGCATAGTTATGTTGACCCAGAGGGGAATATCATACACATGACAAGGTCATCTTTCTGAAACTGAGAACCACCTGTCAGAGCAGTATCGACTGCAGTATGCCTCCATGTGGTATTTGAACACAATGGCTCGTACAGGAATTCCTTCAAGGAGATTGCCAACTGTGGGTAAGACTGTGTGGGACGGTGATGCAGTCATGGATGAATTAAGTCTCGGGAATGAAAGTCAAAGTCAGTCTCTTAATGCGCATTTTGACAACAGACTTAGTAGCTCTGCTATGAGCGTCTTGGTCGAGCCTTTTAGGTCAGATACTGCATCGCAGCTCTACTCAGGATAGATTATGGCGCTGCTGTGGACGCAATTAGCTGACTTTGGACCATTGCTCAATAGATCTTCTCAAAAATCATGGTGAGAAGCAAGTCATGGATGCCTTTCCATATGTTCGTGTTCTATCCCTCACCCGTACTTCCTTAAGAGGTCCCTGCGGATTTCCTATGATGTGCCCATCTTCGATTTTTATTGGAATCCCGAGGGACCCGCAAATAATGAGCTGGATGAACAGCATGCGAATGTTTCCGAGTGAGTAGACTTTAGCAGGTTGTCTTTTTTTTTTTTTTTTTTTTTTTTTTTTTTTTTTTCGGAGCGTCCATGACTCTCTCGCTTCTATGAGTGCAAGAAGCACTGGTTTGAACAGCTTCTTGTAATCGAGCATTTGCAGATGGTGGCCAGGTGTTTCTGCTTAACCATGTTAATAGTTTCAGTCTGGGTTTTAAGTGACTGTACTTAGAGATTTTGCGTTTGTGCTTGCTATTCAGCTAAAGGAGATGGTGCCGGATCTGTCTTCAATAAGTAAGAGCTACTTGTCCGAAAGTTTCTGGAACAAAGAAACGAGTTGTGATTAGGTTATTGGTTACTGATATTTAGGGAGGTCGACGAAGCTCATGTGGCATCAGAATAGCATCCACGTCGACTAATGATATTACTACTTGGCTAGGCAAAAGAGCTTTTCCAAAGCAATATGAAGCCCTAGCATGTAAAATAACCACATTTATTATCGATGTGTTTCGTACCATTCACCAAGCAATAATCGGACATCGCGGTCCGAGAGTCCCGTATTTGAAGATTTGACATTCCTGAACATACCAAACGGCAATGAACCGTCGAATCCCTATCATGTAATTTTTTAAATTGAGCGCATTCGTCCTAGTAAAGCCCTACAATACTCGTGGATTCAAATCATTGACATTGAAACAAAATCAACTTCAACTCATTAACAAAAACCATCCGAATCCGGTTGGCACCAACGATAATCCGCAATGTGCACCAAGACTGGACGAAGCGGGAACTAGGTTCAATGAGACTGAGATTACTCAACCAGGCATAATATAACAGCCTACTTGTCCGTCTCGGCACCAGTGAATACTTGACTACCATTTATTCCAAAAGTTGTATGCTTATCCATATTCAGCCTTCACGGGATTCGCTCAGCCCTATCAAATGTTCTCCAAAGAGCCAGGCCTATGCATAATTCCAAACCATCCCGAGCATTTTCAGCCGATAGTCGTGGTTGAAACTAGCTGGTTGGGGCGTCTTGGTCCGGTTCTTCTTGAAGATGCGAAGCTCTGGCTTCTTGGCGGCCAGCCCTACGTACAGGTGGTCATTACAATTTGCTACTCTAATGATGATGGGCGAATCAAAAGTGGTCTTAAGATTTATAAACGGGGCGCAAGTAGGAACTCGGTCAAGAAGCAGGAGGTGGTAGACATGTCGTTATCTTTCGTTGAAAAGTTACATGCTAAATCAAGCATCTAGACGATTTTCCCTGCACCTACAAATGGAGCTACCCAGATTATTCAAATAACGCGTGGCCAAACATTTGGCAACGGGACCTTGCCGGGAAGAAATGCAGTTGATATATGGGAGTTGCTGGTAGACAAATTCAGAGCTGCTACGGAGCCGTGTATTCGAACAATGGGATACGTGCCTTCGCTCAATTCAGGGTTTCGTGCTATGAACTCAGAACGGTCAATTATGGGGAGAATTGAGATATAGTGGCCCGCTATAGCATCAATAGTATTCGAGTACTTGGCTTGGCCCCTTGCCTTCCTATCATTATTCTCAAAAAGACGATATTATTTTTTCTTGAAATTGTGTGCCTCTCGTTCTTCCAGGCAGCACGACCGCATGCAGGAGGCCAGAGGTGGGGGGATGATAAGGCTGAAAGCTTCAGGAAGAACCTACTGAAATATCAAGTGACTCGATTACTCGGTCGTGTAATTGCGGCGTGTGAGCATGCTCAAACGGGCAGTTGCTATCGATAGAAAAGAAGGAAAAAGAGTATTTTCAATAGCTACAACTAGGGAATCACCTCACTACCATTGAGGCACTAAACAATTAAAGCAATCGCCAGGTGATAACAAGCTGACATGTTGATAGTTACCCCTAGGGATATCGCAAATTCCATCACAAGATCTCTTATTACTACCGTGCTAACTACTCTTGTTTCAAGTCTGAGATTCAACCTCTCCCTCACTCTTTCTAATATACCTCCATCCCTTTGTCTTCTGAATAGATCAATATCCCCTCATTATCCGAAATCTCCATCTCATCTTCGGGACCTCAGTCTTTCAAGAGAGAGATATTGGGACGTTTCTGGAAAGCTCGAGTCATAATGGGTAGTCGGGTAGTTCTCACATTTGAATTCAGAGTGCATTTACCGGGTGGCCTCGCATTGGTCGGAATCTGAATAGTCGTCACACAAGCGATTCACCAAACGCGCACAGGGATCCAAATCCAACCAGGCTCCATCATCCAGCGCCAAGGTTGGGTTAGCACTCGTTGTGACCATAAGGGTCTTTTTGCATGGTAATCGTCGAGCACTGATTCATGGCATCGCTTCTCACATCAGCTTATGCAGCAGTCCCGTTCGTTGGTCAGAAAAGGAAGGCTTGTCAGAGGTAGCGAAGATATCCAAAAGGACGTTCCTTGTCGAATTGACTCAGCAAGAAGAGAAAATAAGTTGAGATTGGTCATTCAGTAATGACAAATAGCCAAGAAGTGCTGACACTAACCTGTGATTGATGCCAAATATATTAGCAGACTTACCTTGATTAATTTGATATTGACTATGTAGTGTTATCTTCGTTCACGGCACCGATGGAAAGGAGGACCATCGATAATCCGTGGGTATTGGGCTACCCAGAAGAGCAATAAATGGAGCATTCTTACAATGACAAGGGTAGAGACGCTTAGTGGCAGGCTCGAACGGCTATTATTGACGGACAGAACTCGTATCGGTCAATGAACAACCGTAGAATTAGGGTTGTACTCTATACTACGAGCTTCGAGAATAATCTGGGTTGCCCTGCACAGTTTCTCAGTGAACCAGAAAGTACGTATAACATACAGCTATCCAGCTTTCGAGATAAAACTTCTTAAGAAGAGCCATCAGTTCAAACTGCACACTTTACCCCAGAAATGACCAGTTCACCTAGTACAGGGGTGTTTCCTAATATAGAGGTGTGGTATTATACAATACCGTATTACGTATGTAACGGACCCCGCTTATCTAGCCACCCCATAAATATGCAGTGAGATCCAACCTTCCCTCCTCTCCTTTCTTCCTCAATCACCCTTCAAGTCCTGGGGATATCTCAATACCACCTCCTTTCTTTATAAACTCGCCCACGGGCCTGTTCCAGGCCCGTTCATACTATACAGCCATGGCTTGCACCGCGAACAACGGAACCCCAGCGATTCAACTCAGCTTCATCGTCTACCAGCCCCAGCGACTCCAGCTCACAAAGAAACCACCATGGACCTGCGGTGCCGGATCTGACGTTTGAGTCTTTCGCTGACTGCGATGATCCTGGGCTGTCGTCGTTGAATTGGCCGTTCGGCCAGCCCCTTGATGGCTTGATTAACCCGGAGACGTTGGGGAGTTGGAATACAGAGAATTGCGCCCTTTTCCAGTCGTCGGTGGATAATTTGGATATGTTCAGCCATGTGGTTGATTTTCCGATGCCGTCGCAGTCTTCCACAAGTGCCAGTCATGATTTGGGGGGTGGTTCTCTAGAGGGAAGACAGCAAAGACTTGTTCAGTCATCCGACAACGGTCCGATATCTCAAGGTTTGTTCACGATGCATTCTCTACTGGTACTCTAATTCTAACGCCCCCAGAATTCCAGTCTCTGCCGACTCCTTTGCCTCAGCTCAACACATCGACTCCTTCTCCCAACTCATCCGGCTCAACGTCCTCCAAGCCAAAGCCCTCGCGTATAGAGAAACGCGAAAGCAATACCCTCGCTGCGCGTCGCTATCGTCAACGACGGGTCGACCAGGTGAAGAATCTTGAAGCGGAACTCGAGAAGACCAAGCAGGAGCGAGACGAGTTGCGGATCCGGGTCTCGAAGTTGGAGGGGGAGACGGAGGCTCTCAGAAGTCTTGTTCGGAAGTAGATCGCCTGCAGGTTAGCATAAATTAATGGATTGTTAAAGGTTGTACTCTTGTATCGGCTTCCGCTGTGGAAGTACCACACTAGTAGACGTGTTTCATAGTCAACTACTGTCTGACGACTTTAACAAAGGACACAAGCTATGCATTGTAACAATTCAGACAATGCGGCCACGAATTGATCCACCATAAGAGTATCAGATCGGCAAAATGGATATCTCATTGGGTGATATAGTAGGATTTGCAGATAAACTGCATTAGGAAAGGTGGTGACTTTTGTACTGATCTTTCATATTTTCACTTTGTTTGACAGCTTCTCTCTTGCTTTATTCTTTTCCCCAAAAGGAAGATGAAAGAAATTTGGCATATATTATATATACAACTAGGGATCCTCAAATCTGCTATCATATTCTACTTCACCTTGTCCAAACTGCTTTGCTCTACCGTGTATACAGCATGTATGAATACGTATTGTATCATTACCAGCCATTACCGTTAACAATGAGTAGAAATGACTCATGATAACGCACTCTGATTGGCCGGTTGAGTATACTCATTGGGCCCTAACACTTGCTCACAATAACTCGACATGAGCCATCGGAGGGAGACGTCTCTAAATGCTCTCTGATGTATAAAAGTCATATCATAGGACTTTTTAACTATAAGAAAATCTCTTGGGCGCCGGCGCTACAGTGGATTCGGCTTATCCTGGCGGAGAAAGTAAATACTGCGACTACTCCATACAGCTCGTCCTGTTGTCTGTGGTACTACCCTGTAAAGGGCCATTATTGATGGAATCTGGTTCCGCGTCGCAAGGGGATATCTATTTTATGGTAAAGATGGCAACACAGAAAACTTACGTGCAAACATCTGTAGTTCCATCTGCTTTTGGTAGAGCGATTTGGTTTGAGACGGAGGCTCGTGTTGAGTGGATCGATTCTACTATTGTGGTTAAGGTAGTGGGAAGACCAAAATAATGGGAGGCAGTCCAATGCAGTTTGTGTACAGCTAACTTGTTAACGTTCATTTTTAATCGATATATAGCAGAATCACAACCAATATATATATGGACAGATAGCTGCTAAAAAGATGACAAGCACCTTAAAACAAAGCCCGTTGAAGAAAAGCGGCAATGCCATCCATATGCGGACCAGGAGCGATGATCGAGAAGTGATTTACATCGCTCAACACTGTAATCCGTATCTCTTCCTGGCTGACCAAAGACGCCCACCCCTCACCGCTGAAATCCGTCCGGTTATTCACCAACCAAACCATCTCACGGGGAGCATCAGGACCCATCTCAGCCGCCGAGGTAGTATGGTCCAACTGGCTGGCGGCGACGGATTTCGTCCACGTACTTGCTGACCATTTGTGCTAGTGTGCTGGGCATATCCCAGGGTGTCTTCATCCAGGGACAATTGAGTCCATATGCGGCTGTGCCGGACTCTAGTTTTGGTAGAGGGGCGTAGGAGGAGGATGAGCCTGAGCCGGCTGGGAAAAAAAAGACGATCTTGCCTGCCGTCTGGGGATTTCTCCAAAGTAGGTTTGAGGTGGCATGTGGGCCAGATTCCAGCTTCTGGCTAGGTTTTGGAGGCTGGACGGGAGGGGGAGCAACGACAGGGGCTTGCTGTTTCTTTGGCTCTGGCTTTTGCTTTGGAGTCTGGGATATACCGAGAGACTTGCCGAGAGCCTCGAGATTGTCGTTTTCCATGAAAATGCCCGTTGACAGATCAACCTTGAGACTCAGTCAGTTTACCAGAAATCGTCAGAGACAGCAACGAATCAATTCCTAACTCCGCAAATGCGGTAGTCGGCGTCAATTCGCGAACAGGGACACCGGTTTCATTGGCAATAGTCGTGCGGATAACATCGATGACCGAGTCCTCTGTTTCGGTATTGGTTGAATCAGTCCTGTATCCGGAGTCGTCATTGCTGCTCTCACTCTCCGTGGGCGTGTCTAGACCTGAGGAACTCCCTTCCTGTTCTGCTGATCCAAAAAAGGCAATAAGCTCCTTGGGGGTGGGATAGTCCAGGAAAAGTGCTGATGGCACGTCAATACCCAGCTCATCCCGGACTTTGTTGCATATTGTCAAAGACAAAAGTGAGTCAATGCCGTGGTTGACAAAATCATCATGAGGACCAATGTCTGCTAAGTCCACACCAGCCTCCTTTGCGATGATGTTCATCACCCGGGAGCCAATGGACGGCCCTGCTGTTACCTTCTTCGGTACCTGCTTGAGAACAGGACGGGGCTTCTGCTTTTGGACAGTGACCTCCTGTGGAGTTAGAGTCTGGCTGCTGACTCGCTGATGCGGCAACCGGTCAAGAACCTGTCGGGGAATGCCTTGGAACTGTGGACGATTAGCAGATGTCACTTTAGGCTTGCGAGGAACTTACCCTAACGCCTTCATATATCGCCACAACCTTCTGGTCTTCCAGGATGTACGTATCGCCAACATAAGTATTCCCAGTCTGAAACTGCATGCGGTTGTGGACTTGATACTCCTTTCCCTTGACGAAATCACCAGCACACCGCATATGCTCCCAGCCAGTGTTAATAAATACCCCCTTCTTGAACGGACTAGCATCGCTACCGTTCATGATAAAACTGGCGACATGTCCAAGACTGTCGATCCAACACGGGTTGAATGTGAACCCGTTGTCGTCAACCTGGAAGGAAACCCGCGCCGTAGCTTCGTGGTTCTCGTTGTCCAGAATAACCTCTTGCATGCCCTGGAAGCTACCACCGTAATTAACAATGGCAGAGAAGAGTTGGTAGACGATGCGTCGCTTGAGCTTGTTCGCGCTGCCGGCGCTGTCATCAGCAGTAGCATGAAGGGGGGTAATCCGGCTTTGGACGAGGTAGCTGTTGCGCTTGAATTCGTCCACCCAAGCTTGCTTTTCTGTGAGTTGGACCACGAAGTTGGCGTGTGCCACGGTCTTTTGGCCTTGGCTATTGACACTGAAAATCTGGAACGAGATGATGTTGTTATGCCAGTCTGCGGACGCTGATACACAATATAGCTGGGGATCTGCGTCTCATCGGGAGACCAGCGGATTTGGTGCTGTCATGTCGGATACATCTAGGCCGGTAGCCTCGGTATCCTTGTCAACTTTCCGCATCATGTACTTGGCTGTCGTGAACGCAACTTCGGCGTACAGAGACTGTAAAGCTCAGTTAGCTTGCGTGAACAAACCCATATTATACAGACATTACTTACAGAAGGACAAATAAGTGCATTGTTGACAACGTGCCCTTCAAAAATGGCGGCCAGCCGTTCATCATGGATATCCGACTCAGCCAGGAAGGTCGACACTTCCGAATTGTGATTCTCTTCCAACACTTTCTGGACGGAAGGAGAAAGATATTGTGGTACATAAGAAGAATTCTCGACTTTGACACCCTGGATGAGATCGCCTTTGCTCAGGCAGAAGTTGTTCCTGTAAGGGATCCAGTAATTCTTCAGGCTCCAAGCATACCGCGGCAGCAGTAACATCTCTGGCTTGGGCAGATCGGACAGTCCTTTGTGATACTCGTACCAGTCGATATCAATACCTTGCTTATACAAAATCTCCAAACCGGCCGTGAGCGTCAACCAGGCATCTGTGTTTTTCCGTAGCGAAGCAAGCGTGACCCTCTCGCGGCCAAGGATCCCCTTAATCATGCTCGAGCAAGCAGGATGAGATCCTATCTCCAGCCACAGCGTGTTTTCTTTAACAACGCCCCCAGCTGAAGCTGCTTCAATTGCAGCCTGGAAGTTAACGGGTTGGCGGCACGCACTGATGAGATACGGGGTATCAATAGATCCCGTGTCTGCCTGCTGGAATAATCTTTCCCAGAAGCGGCGAAATGTAAGGGACTGAGGGAGCGTTAAAACGAACCCCATCTGCGGTCTTCTTAAAATCCTCCAAGATTGGATCAACTTGAGCTGAGTGAAAGGCATATGGAATTTCCAGAGGAATACTATCAATGCCCTTGTCCGCTAACCGGGACTTCAACTGCGCCAATTGCTCGGTTGGGCCGCTGATAACGTTGCTTGAGGGCTGGTTGCGACAGGCCACAGTACAGGAAGTGCTAGAGAGCTCGGGAAAGATAATGTCGATGGGTTGCTTAACGGCAAGCATACCATAGGCTCCAAGGACGGCCTTTTCGGAGAGCAATCGAGCCCGTGTTCCGACAAGGTAGATCACGTCTGCGGCTGTTAGGACGCCAGCGGCATACAATGCCGGATACTCCCCGAGACTGTGGCCAACGGTGGCCGCTGGGAAGACTCCGAGGCGCTTCCACAGACCGTGTAGTGCCATCTGGGTGCAAACAAGACCGAGTTGTGTGACAATTGGTGGATTATCTTCAGCGCTGTCTGTGGCATCGTTCACAAGGTGCAGAAAGCTTGGGAACCCATGTCGCTCAACGATTTTGTTAAACCGTAGGACATCCTCTTTGAACGAAGGGACAGAGTCGAACAATTGCTTGCCAATTCCTTGGTACACAGTGCCCTGTCCGGTGAATGCCATTGTGATCTTGGGTAATTTTGCTGCTGTGGGGATTGGCCTGTGGTTATCGATACTTGAAATGGTATTTTCCAGGTCGGTCCTGATGGAATTCACATCTGATCCAGAGACGATAATCCGGTATCCGTGGTGTATTCTTCGCGCAGTGGTGGTGTACGACAAGGAACAAAGTGAGACCTCCGGATTCTCCCTGATGTAGGCAATGAGTCCCTCGATATTCATCTTAAGAGACTTGCTACTCTTCGCCGTCACAGCCACTGGAAAGCCTGTACGCCGGTCTTTTTGTGTTGGTTGTGGTCCATGGCCTAGAGGGGCATCTTCGAGAAGCAGGGCTGTATTACCCCCAGCCGCGCTGAAATTGTTTAGGAACGCGATACGTTTTCCTCGAGGCACGTCTTCCCTGTTCCAGGACACAGGTTTCAAGGGAATGTGCACATTCATATCAGCCATATTTGTCGGGCAGGTATGGTTAACCCTGGTCTTAATGCCGCAGTGTGGTGGAATCGTGCTATACCTCATCATCATCAACACCTTGACCAGCGACGAGACTCCGGAAGCTGACTCGGCGTGTCCGATATTAGCCTTGACAGTGCCGAGGTGAAGAGGATTCTTTCTCTGCCGCTGACCAGGCCCGAATACAGATAGTTCTGACTTCATCTCCGCAGCATCACCTGCCTGGGTGCCTGTGCCATGCATCTCAACATAGGTCACATCAAGAGGATCAATCCCAATGCTTCGCATGACGTTGTTGAATAGGCTCGCTTGATCACCGTCGAAGGGGCGGGTGATGGAATCTGTCCGACCACAGTGGTTCGTGAGCGCGCCACGAATAACACCATGGATTATATCGTTGTCTTCGATGGCATCCTCGAGTCATTTTAGAATGACAGTTCCCACGCCATCAGACCGACAGTATCCATCAGCCTCCTCGTCGAAAGCATTGCAGTTTCCTGCAAGCCAAGTTGGTTAGTTAGTCTGCACATCTACCTAATCTGGGAGCTGTACCTTTTTGAGTCAGAAAATGGCCTCGGTCCAATCCAGAAAAACTGTCCGGGCTCGTCAAGATATTGACACCTCCAGCCAAAGCCGTATCGCATTCACCACGCCACAAGTATGTGCAAGCAGTTTCAATAGCTGCAAGACTAGACGAGCAAGCCGTGTCGATACATAAACTGGGCCCGCAGAATCGAAAGAAGTAGCTGATGCGACCTGGTAGGAAAGCACGGTTCCCTCCTGGGATATAGTACGTATCAATCTCCTGCCCACTATGGACTTCTCGCCAATCATCACTTGTCATGCCATAGAAAACCCCAATACGGTCCTGTTGGGTAGACGGTGTGTTATTTGGGACGAGTCCGGCCATCTCGATAGCTTCGTATGCAGAGGTGATGGTCAACCGCTGCGCAGGGTCTGCATTCTCGGACTCCCGTGGAGACATATTGAAGAAGGGCGCATCGAACACTCCTGGCTCCTTGATGAAACATCCATACTTCACACGGCTGGTGTTCTTTCGCTTGCCAGTAGGATCGTAATGGGTTTCCCAGTCGAATCTGTCTTCCGGGATTGTACGATGCACGTCTCGGCCTGCGAGTATCAAATCCCAGAATTCTTCGTTGGAAGCTGAGTCAGGATATCTGCCTGAATAGCCAATGATAGCTATGTTTGATTGGGAAGATTTTCCAGTTGTATTGAATCCAGTGTTAGGCAATGTCTCCTTCCTAATGGTGTCAATGTGGTTGACCTTTACATCCAGGAATTCCGATAGCCCAGACGAGATGAATGGGCCACTCATAGATGAAACCTGATGGATAGTGCAGCCTGTGAAATCCTGTTGTTATATGTCACCGGTAAGAGATGACACCACAGGGTCCCAGCGCATAGGCTTGGTCAACGCGTCCAGAGCTGCTTCCTGTAATAGACCCCTAAAATCGCACGATTCGAGGATATTACCCGAGGAAATTGATATGATTTTCATCCGTTGTTTGTAATCTTGTAGAGCTTGATCATGGAACTCCCCAACAACGTCCTCCAGATCCGATTGGAATAGGTGAGGTGCATGGTAGGGAAGCTCAATTGGCAGGAACAAATGTCTCCATTCACAAGACGATAGGAATAGAGTCAGGAGCCTTGGGGGTCCGCTGATTGACACGCTGGAGTGGCTCATAGAGCTGATGTATAGTTGAGAGACGGGGGGAAGTGACTGACATCTCATTAGGTTTGCGTACAGGGTCAATATGAGGAGAAGGCATACCTTTTCCGCATTGAATGCTGCAATGTTCTCAGCCGCCTCGTTCATTTGGACATCCACCAGAGCTGACCATGACTTGGGTTCGCCAGGAACAGAAGCCTCGATGTCATGACGCACGACGAGAGAACGAAGCCCGAGTTTCAAGGACATCAGAACGGTTTCCACGGCCGCCGGAAGAAGTTCTGGTAAGTTCTGCGAAGTGCTAATCGCAGCTGCGGTAAAAGACCCCGTGCAAGCACCAACCAGATAAGTGCTTGCGGCAGTTGGGTATGATTGAGCGGTCTGCACAAAGTGTCTATGAGGTGTCAGATGAGTGAAAGGCTAAGAGAGCAGAGGGTTGCAATGGATGGAATACCTAATAAACTGGCCAATCTCCGTGGCAGAGAAGAGCGAACTTCAGCGCCGGGGCAGCATATGCTCTCTCATGCTCGAAAAAGAGGTCGAGCAACGTAGTGAAAAGAGGGAACCAGGCCTGCTGGTGGGATGGAAGGCTGGAAACATGACGTCTCAATTGAAAACCGACTCGATCAAAGAAGTCTGTCAACAATACGTCGTCCTTGACATGTAGTAGCTGGTGCAACGTAGGCTCAAATGCCACGGTTTGATCACCAAAGATGAAAATTTCCAAAGGTGCCATTGTACAAATCGGAGCTTCTCTAGTTGTGTAGCTTGGATGTCCTTTTTGCTCTCCTCCATCTGTTTATATATTCGTTTATGCCCCACAATTACTTCTTTTTACATACTACTAGATACGACATACGAATTGAGGCTTATTGTGACAACTAGTCAGCTCATCTGGGATCTAGGAGGTATGTACATGCGCTGACGTATTCTAGGTCTAATGTTCTTTCAAATTTCGTCTTTTCATCTTTGCCGATCTTGCGAATAGGGTATCAGAGACCCCGAGCTTAGTCTAAATTGGCCGAAAAGGAGGCTGAACGGAGTTTACATGAATCGACCTGTGTAAATCATAGGCTGTGAGAGACTTATAACTCCGAATGCAAGCTTGCTGTGAGATCTGAGGTAAGATTATGGATTATTATGCAGCTCAACACTGCATGCATTTTGCTGGTCATACTTGGCGCTCTCTCTTGCAGCGGAGTATTGGTATTTTTGATTGGAAACGGCTGCATAAACCTGCACATGGCTGAGGTAGGTATACCGAGTATTGTCGAGGCTGAGAGTGAAGTCTTATAACCACTATGTCTACACGCGGTATATTGACTGTCGGCATTCACGTATGTGTCGGCAAGGACATCTTCTTTTTCTTTTTCTTTTTTTTTTTTTTTTTTCATCCTCACATCTTATTGCTAGAAAGGGCATAAGGTACACCGGGATGAGTTAGATTTTCCAACTAGGATTGGGATACAAGACCATCTCTGACTGATCAACGAGTATACGAGGCTTGCGTCAGCATTCAGAATATAAAGCCATGCATATTCCTGCTTCCAATTATCCCAATAGTCCTGTTGGGGAAGGAAATAAGCTTGATAGGTTAGTTTTATACTGTTGTAAAAGGGATAGTCCTTGTTTCGCTGAGGCTCAAGTAGATGGTCTAGCCCTGAATACCCATGGATGCTTGCAATTTCCATGATCAGTTAATTTCAGATTCATAGTCACAAAAAGGCAATTAATGGTCCCTGAATCAGCATCGGGCTTGGCTATATCACCGTAATATCAGGGTCTCCTTATCAGTCATACTGTGAGCGCATTATCGATCAATCCAAGGCTGCAAACGATCATGCTCGTGAACCAGCAAAAGTAATCTCTCCCCAACAGTCGCCTTGAAATCACGCACGAGAGCCGGCCTCGGGCTCCATCTGTATGTGATGGAATCCCGCTGGTTCCTTTTGTACGTGTCTTCAGATACAAGGGCCAGACTATCATTGCATAATTGAACAAGGGCCAACTCTGGTTACGTACATGGCTGTTTTACAATTACTAGCTGGCAGAATATCATAACCACATATCGAGCTACTAGTACTTAGCATGTGATTGTCTGCAGAGCGGAAGTTTCTCTAGCTGATAGTCATGCTGACAATCATGGTTAGAATTAAAAGAATACCGTGACGTACTGGGCTATAGTTGTGCGTCTTCTCTTAGATTATTCTTAGCCCAAAACATAAACTGTCACTGGCTGAACCAGGGCGTCAACATCGTGATAGATACGGGGATTGAACGATGGATTAGAAGAACAGTTTCAGACTATTTGTTCAAAACATTTATAGCTTGATACCATAATATAAACCCATTTACATCGCCATACTACTGCTTAGTAGGTAGTGAGATAGCTGGCAGTATCTTTAGCACACCCCTATCAGCCCTAGCCACTCAACGGAAAATGAACATGCTCTGGGACAGGCGAAAGCATCCTCTCCCCAAGCACCGCCTTCCTCGCATTCTCCATAGCCCAAGTTTCCATATTAGTCAACGTTTTGGCCGTATGAGTCCCAAGATGAGGCACCAGTAAAAAAATGAGGCACCAGTAATGCACGCACATTCCTCACCAATTTCACATTAGCTACCAGTTCATTCTCATACACATCCAATCCCACGGACGCTATCTTCCCACAGTACAATTTATCTGCCATTGCGGCTTTATCGATCATTGCCCCGCGAGCTGTCTTCACAAGCATGGCGCCGTCTTTCATCTGGGCGATTTCTTTTACGTCGATAAAGCCTTTGGTGTTAGGGATGGGCGGGATGTTGATGCTGGCTATGTCGCTTTTGGATAGCAATTTCTCAAAAGTGACGTACTCCGCACCAGTGGCTTGCTCAGGGGGAGTGGATTACGATTATGATACCGCGTTTGGACAATAAAAGGCTCAACGCGCTTCTTGATAGCACACCCAATCCGCTCCATCCCAAGTATATTCAGAATCCTCCCCTGTTGATTATGTCCAAAGTCAAGACCCTTCTTAAAAAATTTTTGGGGGGAGGAGCAAAGATGCAAGAGATGGAATCAACTGCCGCAATGCACCTAGCATCAGCCAGATAGTCAAGTCCGCCATCGTTTCAGTGACGGAGTCTGGCGCGTGTATCACTGTTATTCCACCTTTTGTGCATGCATCGACGTCATCTGGTCATATCCTGCGCCGTTGTGGCAGATGTAGTTGCAGGTTGCGAGGAGGTGGTGGATTAGGTCTGCTTCGAACTTTCCGGCTGCCTATATATGAAATCAGTATTTGGATGAATCTTTTGTTTACTAGAAAATAAGCTTATGGCACCGCTGACTGATGTTCTGTAGATGATTGTTATATCCTTGTATTTTCCTTGGAGATCCGAAAAGAACTCGTCTCTGCTCTTGCTGGTCACGAGTTCGGTTCGGGCTATTTTTGGCAATTGTTGGAGGAAATAGATTGCATGTCGAACGGGGTTTAAGAAGAGAATAAAGTGTTCAGGTAAATGCATCTTAAAGGTTGGAGACTTGGTTAGAGTCATCTTTGGGTGTCCTTCGCTTTTTCTTATAGTTTGGTGCACATATGCTTGCGGCTAAAAGTTTAACCTATAGTTATTGTCACAGATGTTAGGGTAGCAGATCATTCTTCCAGCAGATTTGCTGCCATACCTCATTTCTGATGGCTGCTTGGTATTCCTACAAGCTAGGACCAGGCTTTTTGATTTTACTGTCATCAAATACTCTATCTGCATCCTTTTAGAGATCATCTTAATCGACATCACTAGTGAGAAACAAGATATTCACTCAGAATTTCACAGTGCAAATCAAACTTGGATTGATACCTATGTTGGCTACATAACCCTACATACGCTCCCGTAGAAAACAATCTAAGCAAGCCTCTCAATCTCAGCACAGAGCGCATCAACAACATCCTGCGTCTTTGCCTTCCCACCAAGATCAGCCGTGAGAACACCATTCTCACAAACCCTCTCCAAACACTCCATAAACTTCCCCGCTGCCTCCCTCTCCCCCACCCAGTTCAACATCTCAGCCGCAGACCAAAAAGTAGCCACAGGATTCGCAACCCCCTTCCCCGTAATATCAAACGCACTCCCATGCACCGGCTCAAAAATCGATGGATTTCTCCTCGTAGGATCCAAATTCGCCGACGGCGCAACACCGATTGACCCCGCCAGCGCAGCAGCCAAATCAGACAAAATATCCATATGCAAATTCGTCCCGACAATAGTATCCAATGACTCAGGCCTATCCACCATCCTCACCGTCATAGCATCAACAAGCATCTTATCCCAGACCACACCGGGAAAATCCCTCGCGACCTCCGCAGCAACCTTATCCCAAAGGACCATCCCATGCCTCATCGAGTTACTCTTCGTAACGACCGTAAGCAGCTTCTTAGGCCGCGACTGCGCCATTTCAAACGCAAACCGCATGATTCTTTCGATGCCCACGCGCGTGAAGATTGCGGTCTCAGTCGCTGCTTCCCAAGGGTGGTCGATGTGCGAGCGGCCCCCTTGGCCTGAGTACTCGCCTTCGGAGTTCTCGCGGACGAGCATCCAGTTGATTTGCTTGGTTGTGTTGAGTTTGCATTTTGTTCCTGGGAAGGTGCGCACGGGGCGGACGTTGGCGTAGAGTTGGAGAGGGCTGCGGAGGGCGAGCAACAGGCCCCAGAGGGAGATGTGGTCTGGGACGTTGGGGTCCCCTACGGCGCCGAAGAGGGTTGCTGAGCTGTTGTAGTTTTAGCATGGCATCCTCGCAATATACATCCGTTGAATAGAACGTACTACTGGCGTAACTCGTCCAGGGAATTGTCGGAGACGTATTTGCCGTGCTGCCTGTAATATTCAGTTCCCCAGGGAATGTGCGTGAAATCGATATCGAATGTTCCCAGGGTTTGGGACAGTTTAGTCACGACTTGGATGGCGGCGCTGACCACTTCGGGACCGATGCCGTCGCCGGGAATCGAGGCGATGCGGTAGGTTGGTTTCACTGTCATGGTATCTGTCATGGATGTAAAAAGAAGTAAGCTGTTCTTTCTGTAGTGTAACATCGTGATTTCAGCAGGAATGCACCTTTATATACTTCGCTCTTTGTCCGCTTGAAAGTTCAGCCAATTAGTGCAACCGACGATTTTCCCTTATTCGGTCCGGGCTTTCCTATATTTACCACTAAACAATCGGATGAGTGGAATCGTAGTCATACGTTGAATTTAGTCTAATTACAGATATCATGATATAATTGTACAGACATCACCGCAGCTCAACCCCAAGCTGCTTAACCAGCCTCTCCCGCACCTTCTCATGCAAATCATTAACCTTTTCATTCGTCAGTGTGCGCTCCAAACTCCGGTAGTTGATACGGTAGCACATGCTCGTCCTGCGCTTCTTGGGGTGCGTGAACTCGTCAATAAGCATAACGTCTTCAACCAGGTCGCCGCCAATCTCACGGACGATCTCCATGACGTCGTTCTCGTGAAATGGGACGGTGCCGCCGGCTGCTGATGCTGTCGAAGTGGCTAGTGGTAGCCAGAAGGCAACGTCTTTGTAGCATGCTGGGTGCTTGGAGAAGGGCTCAAAGCGGGTGATTTGCCCTTCCTTGAACTGGGAGAGGAATCGCGAATCGCGCGACCAGAAGAGACGAATGTCGGGGATGTTGAAGAGGAGCATGGCAATACGCTCGAGACCAAGGCCAAAAGCCCATCCGACGCGGTTTGACACGTCGGAGTTGTTAAGGAGGTCCTGCTTAATAACTCCGCAGCCCAGAATCTCGAGCCAGTCACCCTGCCAAAAGACCTCGAGTTCCCAGGACGGACTGGTGAAGGGGAAGTATGCTTCCACCCAGCGGACCTTCAATGGCTCTGTCTCAGCGGCACCGCCTGCATGGGCGACCGCTGCCTTGCTCGCCTCGGTGAAGATCTTGATCACCATCTTCTCCAACGACCGCTTGAGATGCGCCGCAATGGCCTCCACTTCCACTTGAGTGTGGTGCCCAGCTTGGAGGGGGTTCCGCTCAGCGTGGATAGTGGGGTTGGGATCCTCAACGACGACATCGTGCGCGGGAATGCGCTTCAAATCCTCAATGATAGCCGCAGCTGTTTCACTCGAATGTTTCAACGGCTCCTGATCAGGACGCTTCCACAGCATAGCACCCTCCATCTGGTGGAAAACGGGGTAGTGACTGCGATCAATCGCATCTCTCCGGTAAACATCCGCAACCACAGTATACCCACGCTCTTCCGGGCGAGTACTCTCATTGCGATTAATCTGTTGGAAGTATGCCTGCTGGTGCGCACTGGTATGTGTTCTCAGAAGGGTAGTTTCGTTGATGTAGTAGGTATCCGTACGGCTGCGGCCGGGATGATCCGAAGGGAAGCCCAGCACATCGAAGTTGTCCCTCGTCGAGACGACCGGATTCGTTTCAGCGTAGTTACCGTAGATGGGGCCGGGAAACTGGCTCTCGATGAGCTTCCGCGTAATCGTAAGAGGATGGTTCTCGTCAAGATAAAGTTGACGGCCAACGTGGGACAGAATCGATTCTCGCGCGTTCGTCCACTCATCTGTCTTGTACGACTGTCCTTCGATCGTGAGGGTATCCTTCTGCTTATTCTTGGGGTTTGTCCCGGCGACCTTGGCGGCATCTGCATTTTCCTCCGTTCTGCGAGCAGCTGTAGAGCTCCAGTCCCTCCGTGGGGTTATCCAGTTCTCCGGACGACGTACCAATGGCAGTATGCTGCGACGAGGCGCCGCAGTGGACCATCTGCCACTGCTAGCGCGCAGGGCACGGCCAGTGGCCAACAATCGCATAGCGTAAGATTTCTGCTGTTAGGCAATGATCAATGGGGGGTTCTGCCATCGACAGTTTAACGAGATTGACATGTCGGGAAAATACCGGACCGGCAAAACGAGTCGCCGAAGTATGGATTACAGCACTACAAGCACATGGCTCTACAGTTACAGAATTTTTTGATTAGGTCTTCAAATGGAAAATAAGGTCTAGCAATGCCCTTCCCCTCCCTTTTTCTCTCCAATGACTGGGGTTCTTGATCTATTATCTCATGCCAAGCTGCAACCAGCAAGATTCGGGGTACGCTCGGTCCTGACTCGTTCTGCCGATGTTCGCTATTCCTCTTCTATGCTCTATACAGAGTTCTGGCACTATGTATATTCTAGTGTTTCCAATGGCTTCAGGAAGAGATAAAGGCTTTTCTATCAGTATCCTTAATCTCAATATTGTCTTCTAAGGCGTCAATAAGAAACGCCGATTACAGCCATACACCCGTATTACCGAAGTTTACCGTCAAGGCCGACAAAACCGAGGCTCTGATTGGCTGCCATGCCCACCGACGGCCGACATTCGGAGTCCTGATCTAATCCCGAACAGGAATATCAGTGACGATTCTCTCTCTTCTCCAGTTTCTTCCCTCTCTCCCCACGCTCAATTCCTGTGGTGCGCTCCCTTGCTAGACAAGATGGCTACCAGCGCAAAGACGGAGGTGTCGCAACCCGTCCTGGCTCCGGCTGCTGGCAAGGTGCATTATCCTTTCTGGTTTGGGGGCTCTGCCTCGTGCTTCGCAGCGGGTGTCACTCACCCGTTAGATCTCGGTATGTCAATTCTTTGATATCGCGCTTGAGAGAGTGCTGTAACTGACTTTGGTGGTTTAGTGAAGGTATATATTGCCTAAATTCCCCACGGTGTTCCTCCCGAGATTTTTTGTCCGATCGCTAATCGATATCGCAAAAGGTGCGCTTGCAAACGCGTGGACCTGGCGCCCCGACGAGCATGCTGGGCACATTTGCCCATGTCGCCAAGAGTAATGGAATCCTAGGGTTGTATAGTGGTGTACGTTTTTCCACCCAAGGAAAACCAGAATGGTGCTAATTGTGTAGCTCTCCGCAGCTGTCCTACGCCAGTTGACTTACTCAACCACCCGATTCGGTATCTATGAAGAAATGAAATCCTACCTCACGGCCTCCGGACAACCCCCCGGCACCCTCACATTAGTCGGAATGGCCTGCACATCAGGCTTCCTGGGTGGGATTGCAGGAAACCCTGCTGATGTTATGAACGTGCGGATGCAGTCCGATGCCGCACTACCACCCTCCCAACGTCGCAATTACAAGCACGCCTTTCACGGGCTCGTACAGATGACTCGCGCAGAAGGACCTGCGAGTTTGTTCCGTGGCGTCTGGCCCAACTCGACACGTGCCGTGCTCATGACGGCATCGCAGCTGGCTTCGTACGATACCTTCAAGGGACTGTGTATTGACAATTTTGGCATGTCGGATAACCTGCTGACGCATTTCACGGCGTCGTTTTTGGCCGGGTTTGTGGCTACGACTGTTTGCAGTCCTGTTGACGTTATCAAGACCAGAGTTATGAGTGCGTCGCCGACGGAAAGCGCTGGGCATTCGATCCTGGGTCTGCTGCGGGAGATCTCCCGTAAGGAAGGCCTGGGTTGGGCTTTCCGGGGGTGGGTTCCCAGTTTCATTCGGCTGGGACCGCATACTATTGCGACGTTTTTGTTCTTGGAAGAACATAAGAAGATTTACCGTAAGTTGAAGGGTGTCCCGGAGGCTCAGCATGCATAGACTTGATTTTCTTTTTTCTTTGCCCGTGAGGGAAGGCGACCAGTACAAAAGTCTTGTTTTTTTGGTTGTACATATTTTGATCTATTTGCATTTGGGTTTTGTGTTTTTTGGTTCTTTTCTTTTTCTTGTCGAGGACATACCCATCATTGCGGTTATCGGATTCAGGATCTAGTGTTATATATACAGGTGGGATTGGATAGACAGAATGATAAGACTACATATCAATTGTTGTTCGGGACTTCAGAACTGCATTTCGCATTTGATAAGTAGGCTACGGTTCGCACGTAATCGAGGTTTTTCAGATGGAGTAGTCAGGAATTGATTACCATTGTACCATCTGGCCCAAACGAAACCAAGAAGCATCCCCCAGTGAACTGGTATAGAATTGGCAAGTGCCAATGACCTATGCTTACACGTTCAATTAGACCATGGAGAGAAATGAACTCTGATCCTAAATACAATCTGTTTGGGTTGAGGAGCTCCACAGAAACTGAATCCATCTCCGCTTGATTCAAGTAGAATACATGTTGACATTGACTGGAGTCATACAAGATGAAATGATCTACCGGTCCAATTGAACGGGGAAGTTACCGCCCTCTGCAGCATGGTTAGCTCGGTTGTCCCTCAGAATGCGAGTTATTGTGACTAGAACATACCGCGTTGGCCGTCCCATCGGTCAGTCCAGGCCTTGGGGCAGAGAGCACGGTAGGCGTGGTAGAACTAAACTCGTTAGACTATTGGCTCATCAACCATGAAAGGATAGAAATACCTGGGTGCAAGGACGGAATTCCTCGCCCTTAGCCTCGACACACTTGTAGTAGTCGACGTAGTTCTGCCAGCAGTGCTTGGTCCTGTGCGCGTCAGTGCTGGATCCGTATAGTAAAAGAGTCCCACGCAAGTACGTACTGGTTCTGCTGGGGGAAACGAGCGTCGTAACCTATAACCGGAACCGTGTTGTCAGTTTCCCACCATGCCACCCATTATCACCTTTCGCGATGACCGGCAAAAAGCCTCAACCAACGCGGGGCACTTCAAGTCGACGGGAAACCTGCAATAAACGTACCAGCTATAACCACATTAGCAATTGAGTCTGTTATGCAGCCATTGGACCATGACATGATCGTAGGTGGAGTAATTTTCCAGCGGGAATCAAAGCTCACCTGTTACGAACTTGAAGGGCTTGGTGACTTGAGGCTCATCGGGGTCGGATTCCGGAATAGCACCCATTTTGACGAAGAAGTTCTTAAAGAACTAAGAGAATCAGTTTAGTTGTGGTGACGGAGGGTCGGGAGTGGGAGAGAAAGAGAGAAGAGGGAGGAGAGAGCCTCCGTTGATGAAACCAGCCGGGAATGGCCGCGGGCGGTCTAGCGAGCCACTCATGCAACGAGATTTCCTAACCACCCGAACTCTCGTTTATTCCCCGTCACCAAGACTACGCAGTCCTCCCACTCTCGGGTTCTTCTCTCTACACTGCTCATCTCATCTTTACCTCAAGCTCACCATGTACGCTACTCGTATCATGCGGCTCCAGGCCACCCGGCCTTACTTCTCTCCGGCTCCTGTAAGTGTTTCCCTCCGACCGTGCGATGAGATAATTCTGGCGTGAAGCTTGCGATGGATGTGCTGACAGTTGATTGCTCTATAGAAGGAGAACCACAGCGGTATGGAGGACCTTTCCAGAGCTCTGATTGACCTATTGGGATATGAATGGGTTTGAGGGGGAGCTGGAGCGAAATGATGTAACTAACGGCGTTTCTAGCTCACACCATCTCTCAGCGTTTGCGCAGCCTGAAGAAGATTCCTCCGGAGTTGATCCCTCTTGGTATGTCGCGTTATGGGATTGCTATCATTCTAATTCCGGTCACCTTGCTAATTGTATTCTTCTCAAACCAGGTGTTGTCCTTGCGTATGTTTTCTACCCACGATCCTACATGCACATTGAGCTTCTGCCCCCCACCCGCCATTCTCCCCCTTTAACCCCGCTAATGAATACTCCAGTGTTGCCCTCGGAGCTGCCGGTTACTCCCTGACCAATAAGCTCTTGACCGACAAGACCCTGCGTCTCTACCGCAACAGCCCCGAGCAGCGTGAGCACTAAAATGTACTGCACAATGACATTCCGTCGTGCCGTTGAGGCTTTGTATTATGCATATGGAAGTTTGTTGTTGCAGAAATAGCAAGGGCAGAAAACAAATAAAAAAACAGTCTATGCTCGAATTCGGGGCGCGTGTGTATATAGTACGGATCGTGAATGGAGGGATCTGTCGGAAATAATATCCTACCAGATCACCGGTCGTCGGGGTCTTTATCCTTTCTTTTTGGTAGGCTTGGTGCTCATTCGGGTTTCGGACCTGCAACGTCCAGCTGCTCCAGTCCTTGCATGGGGTCCTGGGGTCGCTCATTTGATTCCTCCTCAGCTTGTTCTGTCGCAAGCTTGTCTTCTTCACTGACGGCGTGCTTGGCCAGATAGCCCTCCTGTGCATCCAACGTCAGTAATTTGAATACCAACGTAGTTGTGTGTAACTTACCTGTTCCCAAATCGCAGTCTTACTACCCAGTCCCTCATTGCTATCCTTCTGTGGCTTGGCTGCAGCAACCTTTATTGTGCGTCCGAAGAGCTCGCTGCCATCCATGTTGTCGATTGCCTCTGTCGCATCTTGCGGGAGGTCAAACTCCACATATCCAAATCCCCGATGAAGATCCGTCGAAGAGGGAGTATCGGGCTTGGGAAGAGTAATATCCACAATTTCGCCGAAAGGTACAAATGCTTCTGCCAGTGTTTGTGTTGTTACGGCCTGGTCAAGACCTCCGGCATAAACGGTGCTTTTGAGGCGGGCTGTTTCGCTCATTTTCCCGCTTTTCTCAGACGCAAAAGAAGAAAAGGTAGCTCTCGTATATGTGTTTAATCCTATTAAGACTAAAAAAAGCTCAATTCCGGTAGATAAGAGGAAGGCGTTCAGTTGCTATTCGCAGAGTTGTTGTATGTCGCTGTCTAGACTTTCCGCCGCTGATATCACGTGCCGACCTCGAGCACCCAAGTGGGTTTAGGGCGGTTCGTTCCCCCAGTCCCTCCAGGAGGACACTTGGTTGCTCGACTTTACCAGATCGCTTCAACTCCATTACTATTAGACACGCGAGAAGAAGGAATTCAGTGCCTTTCTTCGACTGGTAAAGATTCATTGTGCGTTTTTGTTTTTTGACTTATTTATTTACGCCTACGTGTTAATATTTATTCCCGCTTCGGTGCTCTCCTGATCCGACTACTATATTAAGCAGCATGGTACGTCTGAGGGACATTCCCCGGACGGCCACCTTTGCTTGGTCTCCCGGCGCGGCCTCGCCATTGGTTGCTACCGGTACTCGGGCCGGTGCTGTCGACGTTAATTTCTCGAACGAAACATGCCTGGAGCTGTGGGATCTCGAGTTGGGTCGTCAGGACGGTGAGGAACTGCAGCCGGTGGGCAAGATAAGCACAGACTCGGGGTAAGCTTAATCTAGTTATTCCTTCGAAAGCAATTGGCAATGGGCTAATTAGGTGTTTTTCTAGTTTCAATGACCTCGCATGGACTGAATCCGAAGACAACTCGCGGGGTGTGATTGCCGGTGCTCTAGAGAATGGCTCGTTGGATCTGTGGGACGCTGATAAGCTGCTCAGTGGTGCAAGGTTTGTTAAACCTTGCGAATTTTCGGGGTGATTGTTAGTTGGGCTGATTTATGGTATCCAAACCAAGTGACCCATTGATTTCGAGAACAACCAAGCACTCGGGGGCCATCAAAGCGCTCCAATTCAACCCCAAACACCCCAACCTCCTTGCAACCGGGGGCGCAAATGGAGAACTTTATATTTCGGATCTCAACAATATGGAAAGCTCGTTCCGACTGGGAAGTGCCGCTGCCCGTGCCGATGATATCGAATGCTTGGATTGGAATAAGAAGGTCGCGCATATTCTGGTCACTGGTAGCAGTTCAGGTTTTGTGACCGTGTGGGATGTCAAGACAAAGAGGGAGACTTTGACCCTCAACAATGTGGGACGGAAAGCAGTCAGCTCTGTGGCTTGGGACCCCGAAAAGCCCACGAGACTCGTTACTGCTACGCTGGACGATCCGATGATCCATGTCTGGGATCTCCGCAATTCCCATGCTCCAGAGAGGGTAAGCTTGAATTCTTTCAAATGCTGTGAACAGCGTCTGACTTGTTTCCCATAGAGCCTCAAAGGCCACGAAGCTGGTGTCCTGTCGCTTTCGTGGTGTAACCAGGACCGCGACCTGCTCCTCTCCTCCGGCAAGGATAACCGCACGCTTTGCTGGAACCCGCAAACCAGTGAAGCCTATGGAGAATTTCCCGTGGTCACTAACTGGACCTTCCAGACTCGCTGGAATCCTCACAACCCCAATTTCTTCGCCACCGCCTCATTCGATGGTAAAATCTCGGTCCAGACTATTCAGAACACCCGCACCGAAGCCACGGAGGCCATTGCCGATCAGAACCAGGCCCTTGACGGTGAAGACTTCTTCGCGAGGGCACAGACTCAGCCGCAAGTGTCCAACTTCTCGCTCCCGAAGGCCCCCAAGTGGCTTGAGAGACCATGCGGTGCCTCTTTCGGTTTCGGTGGGCGTGTAGTTTCCATTGGATTGGCTGAGAAGGGCAAGCGTGGATCGAAGATTAAGATCACCCCATTCGAAGTCGACGAATCCGTTGGGAAGGCTACCGAAACCTTCGAGACTGCTCTGAAGGAAGGTGATCTCCGCAGCATTTGCGAAACTAGGGCTACGGATGCGGTCAGTGACGAAGACAAATCTGACTGGAAGGTCATTGAGGCTCTGATCTCAGAGAACCCTAAGAAGGGCATTATCGAATACCTTGGCTTCCAGGATCAATCCGCCGATGAGGCTGCCGACAGTTTCGCCAAGCTTGGATTGGACAAGGAGGAAGAAACCAACGGCGAAGAGAAGGAGCCGGGGAAGGAACCGGAGAAAGAAAAACAATCCCGCGGGCCGGGAGCGAGGAAGCACAAGCGCCTGCAATCGATGTTCAATGATACAACTCCGGAAGCTGATGCCTTCCTATCGGACATCGCAGCGTCCAAGGAAGCCAAGATCAACAATCCATTCCAGATCTTCAACGGCACCGAATCTGATGCGGAGAAGGGAATCACCAGGGCTCTTCTTTTGGGAGACTTTGAGAGGGCTGTTGATGTCGCTCTCAAGGAGGACCGTTTATCCGACGCTTTCATGATTGCCATCTGTGGTGGTCCTAAGTGCGTCGAGAAGGCCCAAGAGCACTACTTCTCGAAGCAAACTGACGGTCCGAACTACATCCGCTTGCTTGCATCGATCGTTGGAAAGAACCTCTGGGATGTTGTGCACAACGCTGACCTGTCCAACTGGAAGGAGGTCATGGCTGCTCTCTGCACTTTCGCTGATGAGAAGGAGTTTGCCGACCTCTGCGAGGCTCTCGGTGACCGTTTGGAAGATCAGATTCGCGCATCGGATGACAAGGCTGCCCGCAAGGATGCTTCTCTCTGTTTCTTGGTTGGCTCTAAGCTGGAGAAGGTGGTTGGAATCTGGACGGAAGAGCTCCGCGAGAATGAGCAGAAGGGTCTGGAAACCGCGACTGACAGCTCTTCCTTCTCCGTCCACGTTCGTGCTCTCCAAGGTTTGATTGAGAAGGTGACCATTTTCCGCCAGGTCACTAACTTCGAGGACACGGAGCGGGCCAAGGAGGCAGACTGGAAGCTCAGCAACTTGTACGACAAGTACATCGAATACGCGGATGTCGTTGCTACGCATGGACGGCTTCAAATCGCACAGCAATACCTTGATCTCGTGCCGGTGAAGCACCCCGAGGCTGAGATCGCCCGGAGCCGCATCCAGTTGGCGATGAGACAGGCCGCTCCTAAGCGGGGCCAGGCAACTACTGCTCCTGCTACCAGGGCACCGACTACCAGACCTCTTCCTCCCCAGCCTGCCGCATTCCAGCCTCCGACAAGCTTCACGCCGACCGCTGCTCCTCAGAACCCTTATGCCCCCCAAACTTCAGCAGCCACCCCCTATGCCCCGGCTGCGGCTCGGCCTGCAAACCCTTACGCCCAGCCAGCTTCATCTGTGAATCCCTATGCCCCAACTGCGGCGGTGACACCTCAGCCCTCCACGAACCCTTACACCCCCGCTGGCGCTAGCAGTTATACTCCCACTGGATACCAACCTACTGCGCCGTCAGCCTTTGGTGCTCCACCCCCTGGTGCCTCCGTTCCTCCTCCTCCTCGTGCGTCGTCTAGCCAATCGCCTGCAAATATCTCCACCTACACTACTGCGACCAACCTCCCCGCATGGAATGACTTGCCAGATGACTTCATGAAGTCGTCGCGCCGTGCCACCCCTGCAGCTGGTGGTCGTGCAATCGGTTCGCCCTTCCCGAACCAGTCACCAACCCTCGCCCAGGGTCCTCCGCCAGTTGGACCTCCGACGGCTCAGCGGCCGCCTTCGGTGCCTCCGCCGCCAAAGGGCCCTGCGCCTCCGCCACGCATGACGTCGCCGCCCTCGGCTGTTCCTCCACCTTCAATGGTTCCTGGCCCAACTCCTCCTGCGAACCCCTACGCTTCCTTGCCCCAGTCTCCCCAACTTGCAACCCCAATGGGTGCACCGGGGCCAATTCCTCGTGGAGCTTCGCCTTACAACCCTCCATCGTCCATGCCGCCGCCAACGAACAGGTACGCTCCGAGCCCGGCGGCCCAGAGCCCACAGCTTCAAAGCCGGGTTCCGGTTCCTCCCCCAGCTCAAGCTGTGCCTTCGCCATACGCACCTCAGCAGCCTCCTGTGGCAAGCAGCCCTTACGGCCCCACTCCATCTGCAGTTGTTCCCCCGCCACCAGTGCAGCAGACCCCTCAAGGCCCTGGTTCCCGGCCCAGCACCGCATCATCGCAGAAGCGGGCTACCCCAGCACCTCCCAAGTACCGTAAGTCAAACACGTCCTCTTTCGTATAATAATAAAGCTCACCTTTCAAACAGCACCGGGTGACCGCTCCCACATCCCCGCCGATGCCATGCCAATCTATGAGATCCTCTCTGCAGACATGCAGCGCGTCAGAGGCCGCGCCCCGTCTTCCTTTAAGGCACAAGTCGATGACGCTGAGCGCCGGTTGAACATTCTCTTCGATCACCTCAACAACGAGGATCTGCTCAAGCCAAACACCATCGCAGACATGACGCAGCTAGCACAGGCTATTCAGACTCGTGACTACGAGACTGCCCGGACCATTCATGTTGAGATTATGGCCAACAGGACGGAGGAGTGCGGTAACTGGATGGTAAGTCGCTCGGATTACTCGATACATAATGCGACTTTGCTAACAGTGGAATAGGTTGGTGTGAAGCGTCTCATTAGCATGAGCCGTGCTACTCCCTAAAAGGTCTGGTTGTTTGGCACAGTATAGAGATGATGATGTTCTATTGTAGAAAAGACGGATCGGTTGGGTGATGATGACTCGCGAGTGTGATATAAACGTTGTATGCCTTCCTATTTGTTTTAATTTATTCTTATGGCTTGTTATCCTTGTTGTGTGGGTATCCACATTAAATTATGGAGTTAGACATTCTCATCGTGCCCTATACAAGAAAATTTTAGCCTTCTTTTTCACATAACCATCCATTCCGCCTAAGTCTACGGGATCACGCGTTTTGCGCATTTGTCGCCTGGCTTTTTACGGTTATATGCTCGAGGCGGGTCCTTTCATTTGTATGTCATGTTTGGTCGACTGCCCATTCCACTCTACGACAGTCCTACTGAAAAGCCACCCAGTTCAAGGAATATGTCAAACCTAAACCCGACACAAAAAAAGCCCAGTATCTCACCAGTTTGGAACCTTGAATATGAAGTATGAAAAAGAACCATCTAGCAGCTCCCACATCAGAACCATCTCGCGCTAAAAGGTGCGAACCTAGTCCAACTACCCACTGAAACCCTGTGAGCAATCATAAACTACCTTCCGCTCCAGGAAGGCATCTATGCCTTGCTGGAAACAAACCGTCACATATGCAACATGTTCAATAAGTTTCTATACCACTACAACAGTCAATATCATCGCGGGGCTGTCCTCTCTTTTGCAATTGAGTACAAAAATACCTCCCAGATAACAAGTCTATTAGATGATCTCCGAGCTACCCGTAATGAGGCGCATTCACTATCTCTTTACCCAAATGCACGGGAAAGCGAAGAAGACGAGGAGGAATGCCCCGACAACCATGGTGCCATTCTACACCCCTACTGGACAGACAGATATCCTCACCCACCCCTCTATCATCAGGCCTACAGCACCCAGGGCATTGTGAACATCCAACGCGCCCTACTCGCCGCCATTGGCCGCAGAAACGTTGGCATCTTAAGTTTCCCGCTAGAGCTCAGGGAGCGGGTTGACTTTTGTCACGGGATTGTCGCGTTCAGGGTCTATTGCTAGAGGATACCCGCACCAGGCCGCGAACTCGTGAACTCAACCCCCTTCCCCCTCCTCTTTTCGCTGCCGCACAGCCCAGACACCTAGAGCTGGTTAGATTGTTGCTTGATTATGGCGCAGATGCAGAGCTGTGCATGCCACCTCCGTTATATCGCGCTGTTTAAGGATAACTGACAAAATATCATAACTCTGTTATTGAGGTACGATGTGGGGCCGCAAACAGTCGCATTAAAGCTGGTTGTGCTACACGAGGCTAATAGTATGGTGCGGTTTAAGGTAAGGGAATATGGGTGTGTTGCGCTGTATCCTGCTAGAATGAAAGGTGATCGGGATATGGCTGAGTCGTTGGAGTCCCGAGGTGCGACTCTAGGGTTACTTGCTGAAAATGATAGGGAGAATTGGGATGAAGAGGATGGGAATGGTAATTGGCGTCTTGATCGTGTGCGTACTATGTTTGTCCATTGATGTGCTGAGGTAGTTGGGGAGAGCTATAGTGATGCGGAGGCAGATAATCGATTGGGTCCTAGTGTAGGAATGGAGAAGATGGCTGGTTGTTAGGGTTTAAGGGAGTGCTGATGGGATGGTGTAAGATATCTGCGGAATATAAATGTCGGGTGTAGGGGGATCAAGTAGAAAGGATATAGAAGAGAAAAAGAGAAAGGAAGCGTTAAATTAGGAGATGTATACACCATGACTATCAACTTGCTATATATCAAAGCTACATATGTACTGAAACCCCCACGCAACTACCGACTGATGGGAATACCACTTCCCACTCTCCCACGGCTAGTAGGGAAATTTTTCGCACTCAACAAAGCACCCTTGACGCCTCGAATTTCTGATCTAAAGCCAGAAATTGCATCTTCCTCGCTCTTAGCAACTCCCGCTGCACCACTAGATGAATCGCTGGTCGAGCTCCATGAGCCGTATCCCGTTGTGTAGCTGGGGCTACTGTAGATCAAGCTGTCCAAGTAGTAGTGCATGTCTCTGAGGCTGCTGCGCAGGTTATCGTCCTGGGTGGTTGATTCGTCCTCTGTGCTGGCAACCTCGCGCAACTGGGAGTTGATGTTCTCGAGACGGCTGATGTGGTTCGTTACCGTTGTGTTGGGACTGGGTTTCTCCGCTGGTTTGTCTTCTAAAACAGGGGTTGCGATGTCTTGAGGGGCTGTTTGCGTGCCAATATCCCGGTGGAAGAGTTCGGCCGGGTCTGAAGTGATAGAGTCCAAATCATCATCGCGATCAAAATCTTCTGAAACCCTACCTGCACGGGTGACGAGCTCGGGAGGAATGACGGAGACGTTCTGCTCAAGTTTCTCATTCAAACTGCGCAGGTTATGTTTTGTGTTCTGGGCGAAGTCGTGGCGCGCGCTCGTTAGGTTGGCAATCATCGGCTTCACGAGGTATTCGCTGGCACCGTACATGCTAGCCCCTAGACCCAGAGCGCCATAGAGAGCGTAAAAGATGCTGTTGACTGACACAAGCGGAGGTGGTTTGGGTTGCTTAGTGAGGAATTCGGGGTAGGTGATGATCGGCGGCACATCGCGTGGTGGGCTTTGGGTTGTTGATGACGATGATGATAGTGCTGGCGACGGTGGCGAAGAGGTGGAGGGAGTTAGGATTTGAGATTCCTGCGACGCGGACGATACAGATGTATTGTCGGCTGTGTCTGATGACTTCTCATTCTTATCTGAATTGTTCGTAGCATCATTATAATCGGTTGTAAACGTGGTATCGCTACCACTGGCTTCGGCATTTCTCGAGACTCCAAGAAGGCTCTCAATCTCGTCCCCCTGCAGCCCCTTCGACTCCAGAAAAGCTATCTTGCGCCCGATAGCCTCGTTCTTAATTGAATCATCCTCTAGAAACTTGGCTGCTTGCTCCAGGAGAGTTGGTCGCGAGATTGTATCGTTATCATTGGAGGTCTGCGATGGCGTTTCCGAGGCAGAAGAACTAGATCCCGTGTTGTTTGCTTGTTGCCATGTCGGAATGGAAGGCTTCTTAGACTCGTCGTCAGCCATAATGCCAGCTAGAGGGATGTCCTGCGATGTTGTTTTGTAGAGAAGATGGAGAGATGAAGAGACGGTGACGGTGAGGCTGGCATATGAAATGCGACCTCGGCTGTAATGATCGTATGGTATTGTCACGCCCAGGTACACCGCCCGACAGAAACAAGCACGGCGTCAGGGCCAAATCGCCGACAAGCACCAGGAAAGCCCTTTAAAGAAACACGCCGGAATCGAATCAAAAACGCCGTGTGGAAGACCAAATCGCCTCCACAGATCCCTGTTGATTTCTAAATTGCAACAATTCGCTTTCCGAGTGGTGTTGTGGTCTCTGTTGCCGTGTCGCATTCACTGATCCCAAGTAAGCCACCACCATCCTTGTCCATCAGCCCCAAAGGAACAATATGCGCAATCGCATTGGCAGTGTCTCGTTTATTTCCGCGTCAATTCCCCCGCTTCTGTGTCTTCTGATTGCCCTGCTATGAGTTGTGACAAGATGAGGGTGGACGGTCTGTGTGTATCCGGAGTGCATGCGCTTTGAATGTTTGCTGGTTGGATAATGGGATCAGGTTACTACTATTATACGGCAATGAGGCTTCATTCACTTCTTTCCTTTTAGCCATTGCGCTCACCTGATTCTTGCTCTTGCCGTTTGGCTCCCCTTCATCACATTCCATCATCACCTGGGCCTGTTCTCCATCGCTCCTGCCTGTTTTCTACAACCGAATGCGACGGCTATAGAAAACAAAAGAACGCCAGCATATTTATTCTCAAGCTGTATTACGCTTCTATTTATCCACCATCAGTTTCCTTTTCTCTTTTTGACCTGCCACCATGTCTCCACGTCGTTCTCTGCGTCCTCATGCTTTGCGCGCAACTTCCCAGGAACTGGATTCTAACATGGAAAGCAGGTCGACCAGGCATACTCGCTCCTTCGCGAACTCCTCGAACTCCTCTCCTTCTGTGACGATATTCCGAGCCCCAATTTCCCCAGGCCAACTAGAGAAGTCTCTCTGTTTGATCATCAAGATGCGTTCAAGCAAGCTCCGCGAGGCGACCAACGCATCAAAACGCAACATTTTCACGGAAGACCCTATCGTGTCCGGACCACGCACGAGCCGTCCAAGAAAGAAGCTGGTGGAAATCAATACGAGCGATGAAGAAGATTTGAGCGACCAAGAAGAGGACGAGGTTGATGACGACGACGCAGCCGGTGATGAGGACGAGGATGCCGACGCTGATGGTGACTTGGACATGGATGACGCACCGCCTCAACCACCATCTAGACGACATGCAAGAGCGGTTGCGATTTCTACGCCGTCTCGAAGACAAGTCAAGAGCGTTGAGGCCAAGGAGATGGAGGTAGAAAATGATGACGATGATGATGATGATGATGATGATGACGATGAAGAATTGTCTGAGTTGGAATCGGATGCAGAAGGCGAGCCTAACGACGATGGAAATGCAGAATTGGATGAGGAAGACGAGGAGGGTCTTGATAGTGATGACGCCAATGCAGACATCGGCAAAATGACAAAACGGCAAAGAGGGTCATTGGGCAACGACTTTTTGCAACTGCCAATGGGTGAGTACTACTGATACTTCTTTATAAGTCTTTCCGGCTAACAATGAGTAGAGCCCCAGATAAAGAAGCATCTGACGGCTGAAGAGCGTGCCATGCGCCGTGCTGAGATGGCACGACGGCGGAAGAACCTCAGCGAGAAGCGCAACGAGGAAGAGAAGGTACATCACATAGCTGCTACCATATTGCCTCACTATATTCTAACATCTATGTAGATGGACACGATCAACAGGCTCTTGAGAAAACAACCCCCCAAGAAGCGAGGTCGCGGCGCCGCTGAAGGGACAGACGCTACTCCTGGCGAACAAGAAGCACAAGAGCCTCGAAAACAGAAAGCGGATCCTACCATGATCAGATGGGTTAGCAATCGTCAGGGAAGCCAGCTGAGTGTTCCTGAGGAATGGCTCGGTACTCCTGCAGGGCGTTTGCTTGGGGAAAATCCAACGGGTTCTAGGAAACTTGTTGAGGAAGTCTGATGGTATGCACATTATGAAATGGGTGGAATGGAGCCCGGCGTATTTGGGATATGGTTCATTGGTTAATGTATGGGGATTTGCTACAATTTTCATCTTCATTTTTCTTTGCAGGCTAGATAAGCAGCCACAAGAAGCACTACACATCATTGTTAATGTTATGAAAGGCGTCATGCAATACTTGGATACTAGCATAATCGCCAGCGTGTATTCCATGCCAGCCAGTCATGTAAGATATCTGCAGTCCATATCGAAATTTGTAAATCAGCTTCTCCACTGCAACTTGCTCTCTCAATACAGAGCTCAGGTGATATGATAAATCGATATTATGCACTATCTTACCCCGTGCATCTTCCTCCCAAGCCGGTCATGATCTTTTTGATAGAACGGCACGAGTCGACTTCCGTCGTCTAGCAGCATGACCTAGCGACGCCATCCTCAATGCCCATGTTCTCCGCATAAGCCGGTATCGATCCTTTTGTTCACCTCAATTCCCGCGAAACCGATATCCGAATGACGGCCCATGGCCCGTTATAGTTGTTTTGCTGACGGCTGAAATAATCGAGAGAATAACTATTTGCCGGAATTATTGGAGTAATTCACGAGGTCAGATGGCATAGGGGCTGGTGCTTCTTTCTTTTCTGTTGATTGCTCCTGCTGTCTGGGTTTCAGGTCACTTTAACAATGCGGTATCAGTACTCGTATGCTGAGAGCAGAGGACATGTGACTGCAAATACGTACTCTTTTGAAAAGTTTTTCTCATGCTCTAGGTCTTTCAATGCAGGCTGGAAGGTGTAGTATCCTGCGAGACGGTCATGTCAATGGTGGGCACCGTAGTCTATATGCGTACTAAATACGTACCTGTGAAAACACCCATTCCAATTGCCAGAACGGCCGGAATGAAATTTCGACTCATATTAAAGAATATAGAGTGAGATACTGTGGCAAGGGTAGAGCAATGCTCAACAGTGGTGGTAGTTGAGTGTCCCTGGCCCGAACGGGTTTAATCGCCAAATTCCGCCGCCATCGCGTCTCCCACATTTCCGACGCGTCTCCCGCAAAGGGAAGCAACTTTTCGACATCACACCTTGAACCTCTTTTTGTGCCCTTTCAACATCTTTATTTCGACAGTTCTCGTATCTGTATCGAGAAACGGATCGGCTGCGAGACAACCTCTACCTGCGAAAACCGCAAACGAAGTAATGACCGCCTAAGGAGATGGGCCATCAGCGCCAAGCATACAAATGGAATCATGGCGGGAACGAGGGTATGTGCCAGACTCGGACGAGGAGGATGGGCTGGACAGTCAGGAAAAGTTGAGTGGGGAGGACGAGAAGAAGAAGGTGGTGGATGGGTCGCAGCAATGGGGGTCGGGGAAAGTCGTTGCTCCTGCTACGGCTGCGAGTGGGAGTGGACAAGGGCTACAAAGTGAAGATGAAGGGGATGAGGAATCGCAGGACGAGCTTGTGGAAGATGGAGACGATTTGAATGGGTCTCGACAGGATACATCCGCCCAGATCAGTGACGGACCGGCTGGGAATAAAGGGGAGGACCAGGATGAAAGCGAGCGCCGCGAACCGGCTTCAGCGGCAGAAACACCCCAGGATGACACGACAGATGACGAGGCCGATATGCAGACTACGCCAAATGCGAAAAGGAACAACCGGAATGCCGCTCAGTCTCCTAGCTTGCCTGCCGGCGACGCCAGTCCACCTTCGACTCCGCGAGCCAAGCAACCGGCGAGCGATGAATGGGATGTTCCTGATTCTTCGCCTGATGAACTGCAGACGGAAGTTCTTACCACTCGGAAATCCAACCCCATTTCTCTCCCCCCTAGGCCTGGTCGTGCGCCTAGACCTGCGCCTAGCAGACACTCACCCGAACGAACACCTACCCCTGCACCTACAGAACACGCACAGCAGGCCAACGAAAACGAGGGAGTTGAAGATTCTCCTCTATCCTCTGCGCCATCATCTCTCCATTTGGTACGCCTGGATGATGAAAATGAACAGAATAAGCCGGAAAGCCAGCATGAGGACAACCTGGAGGAAATTCGACCGGAAGACAACTTGGAAAATCTACTCCCTCACCTTGAGATTCCGGATGATGTGCTCCAACAGCTATCCCAACCAGCACGAAGGTCGTTAAGAGAACGCAATCCCATTCAGTTACACCCGTATCTTCTCGAGGACGCCAAATATCAACGCCTTATGAAGGCAGGAGGCATCAAGCCGGTGCGCATAGCTCAAATCCAACAAGCACTACGTGAACAGGCTGCTGCGAATGAGGAGAGTCAAGGCCAAGATTTCGCCAATGCTGAACCCCCGTCAAGCAGCCCGGCTGGTGATTTTGAATTCCCATCTTCTCCTGCAGAGCCTCGGATCTCTGAAAGACGAACACGTCAAAGCACCCCGGAGTATGGCCGTCAGCACGAGTTTCAGTTCCCAGGCTATTTGCCGAGAGTTCCTCGCTCAGCGAAGCGGCGAAAGGTATCACATCCGAATAGGACCCACCATCGCCAAAGGGAACAGCCGTCACATGCTAGTTTCAGCATAGATAACAGTGTCACCAATCGAGGCGACTCAGCTTTTGATATCCCGCTTAGCCCACCACGATCGGGGAGCATCTCTTCAGCGCACACCGTGCAAGCCCAGTCTGGTTTCCGGTTCCCCCCAGGGTTTACGTCGCCTGCGTTGAACACGCCGGTTACAGAACCGAGAACCAACAGAAGAGATATTGGCGATGGAAGCGCCATGGACATGTCTGGCCCCAATGCTGACGTCCAGTCGGTTAGTGTGGGATCAGCCTCTTCTTACAGTCAACCATACTCAGATGTTGAAGATAACCAAGAGGACCAGGAACGCGCTGTCAGAGCTTTGCAGCGTAAGATAAAAGGTGTTCTTCCGGCATCATGGCTTCGACTTGATAAAGAAAAACAGAAGGATAAAATTAGCTCGACCCAAAGGAATCGTGATAGGGCTGCTTCCCACAGACCAGAGAATGCGAAAGGCGTTGCGAAGAAGATCATGAGAAAGACTGACTCGGGGACCACACCAAATGCAAGAGCGCAGTTAACATCTTTGAGTCATCTCGCTGATGACGATAACGATGAAAGTGATGATAGCGACAGTGGCAGACCCCCGATCGAGCAGGATCCGCAATTAACGCTGGCGGATGTGGTCGGTTTCGAAGATCCATCCTTTGATCAAGATTTGGGCGATGGCATCCCAGAGGACAATCGTATTGACGACATGTTTCTGCCAATCCGTCGAGACCCTTCATCTTCCAGCAGAACGCAAGGTGCGAAGCGTCACAGGTCCACAAAGAACGCTATGCACACTGGGAACGAGAGGAAACGGCCTCGTCTTAAACAGCAAACCAGGCTTACCGATCTAGCTTTTGAAGGCCGGAAAACGAAGCAATTTTCTTCTAGGGCTCCCAGGGTTTCCAAGTCTTCCAGGGCCCCGAGAGTCCCCAGATTGGGTATATTGGATGTCCCAGACGTGGTCGAACGGCCTAGACAGGAACAACCAGCCTTCCTTCGTATTGCAGCGCGGCAGGCGCGTTCACGCCGTGATAGAGGGAGACAAAGTCCGACTAGAAAGTTCTTTGACTTAGGTTCGCGGAACGATACGGAAGACGCTAATGTGTCTTTGCATAGCTGGCGACGAGGGAAGCTCCGTCAGACTCGGTTAGAACCACTGCGCAGACCTCAAGTAAGACAGCCTTTAATGGATCTTTCTACTAATGGGCGGGATTTACGACATAGCTCCGAGGGTCACAATATCCAAGAGGCCAGGGCAAATAGTGTCCACATAACAGGAGCGGCCGTCCAGCCTGAGTATAGTATTGTACCAGAACACGTTGCGGGATCGGATGTCCCTGCACCTGTGGCAGCAACGTCGAAAAGAAACATCACGTCGAGAAGGCCTGGGTTACCTGAAGTACAAGGCAACAAATGGATCGTCCGTCGGAATCTTGCTATCACGTCCTTAAAGCGAAACACCCCAAGGCCAGCGGGGTTGGAAGCGGAAAATCTCAGCAGCAACATGTCGTCTTCATCGTTTCAACGATCATTGTCAATCCTCAATCAAGATTATTGGCATAGGCGCGCACATCAATCACAGAGGCCGAGTCTAACACTGGATCGATTTCTTTCTGATAGTGTCGCATCAGCTACTCCACGTTCCGTTCAGAAAGCAGCAATTCCGTCTGAACGATCATCCATATTGAATGATGTTCCACTGAATGCCCAACCTGAACCAAAACGCCGTCAGCTAAAGAAGCGTCCTCCGCAGAGGCTAAACCTTGACATGATTGAGCGCCAGCAGCCACCAACGATCCTGTTCCCTGATCCGGTCCCTTCTGTGATAGACGCAGGTCCCGGTGACACACAGCCTACCCACGGAGCATCTGGAGGTTTATCTGGATTCCAGCGCATGTACACAATTGATTTTGATGTCGCGCCTTTGTATCCCGGGACGTTCTTCCATGAGTCTACATTCGTGGGGAGTGGTGAGTTTGCTCGTTCTCTTGAGCTGGGCTCGCGCGATATGGATAATGATACTGGTCTTTTCCACATGACAATTGGGAGCCGGAATTTCCGCTGGGGCGCTTGGAATGATACCGTATCCTCGGAACTTGGGGCCGCTTTTGAGAAACTCTTTGAACGAATCGAAACAGATAATGCAGCCAGCCCGGAGCCACATTCGGAGAGCTCGTATCAACAGTCCTACAGAACATACAGGTCGATCATTAAATACACCACCGAAATCTTGTCATTCATCGATCCAATTGACAGGTCAGAGTTTGTAAGACGAGCTCATGATCTTGTTTCCAGTCTCAGCGATCATCTCGCGACCTTGACCTTGACCAATCGCAGTACTATCCACCACTTCACGAAGATTGCTTCGTATAATGCAGTATTCGCGAACCAGATATTTCATATTGCTCGCGATGGCTTGGTCAATAGTACTATTGCAAGCGAGGCCATAGAGCTTGTCAAATTGGCTTCCAAACAGGTCGTTGCTTTTCTGTCGAGCCCGTTGGGTATGGCAGATATTCGCAAATGCCTCGATGAGCAACGACTATGTGAAAATCGTGAAGTTGGTATCCGTGATGACCATTCGGCTGTCGAAGCCTACGTTATTGCGCGGCACGTGTTAGGGGGCTCTGATTCGTTCAAGGGATGCTTTGCAAGCTTTGCCGCGGAGGCTTACTTGCTGTCGGATGCCATGGAACTGACCAATTCGAAGGACGTGGCATCACTTGAGAAAGGATGGCATAGCCTCTTGACGACATTGCCTTTCAACGAAATCGACAAGTCTGGAATCGTTCGAGTCGGGTCCCGATTCAGACAAGCGTATGACAATTGGTCGGTTGTCAAGCAGCTTCTGCGCCCCGTTCTGGATGACTACGATCCTACTTTCATGGCACAGCCTATTTCGTATAACAACTACTGTCGGGCTTTGTTCCACCGGTGCTTCCATCTCATTAACGCCTGGGGATGGCGGGATTGCAAACCAATACTGGACACTCTTTACGACTTCTTCGCGAAGAACATGCTCTACAACCTAAAACATGAGGAGAGCTTTGGGTCTCCCGCTTTCTTGGAAGAGCTGGATCGCAATCCTTCGCTGGAGGTCAGACCAGGAGAGCCGTGCTTCCAAGTTCTATTGAAAATTATAGCGAGCGGGTTGCGCTTCATGTCCAAGATATACGATAAGAAAAAGATACGGAATTCCGCTTGGCGACTACTACCCAACCATGGTCGAGTTTATCCCAAGGAGATGCCCATTCGGCATGAAGACCTGGATGCTCTACGGAATCATCACGATCTTCTCTGCACTCTGTATTACGCCGTTCCTGACGGATGCCGCCCTCGACTCGAGGCGATCAAAAACCTTGTGCATCCCGCCAGCTCACACCGCGAGACGTGTGATATCAGCATACGATCATGGGTCAGACTCATTCGGTTCAAACTATCGACTGACGAAGATCCCTCAGGACTGGATCCATTTGCCGATTGGCACAGTTATTTTGTTACTGAGCTCCTGAAGCAACACTCCCTAGCTCGAAAAGAGATTGAGGCGCAAGGTAATGCAGACAGTCGGTTCTCCAAGCACCTAATCGAAAGCACAATATCACAGAACCAGCGGCAAATCGAGTCCTTATTGAAGGTCGCCATTGGTGGGTTGCAGAGTGCTGTACAGTTAGCGCCAACTTTGGACCATGCGCGGACGGTTGTATCCAAGTTGCCTATCAAGGCGGTAATGGGGCTCTTCAACTCTAGAGTTTCTCGTGTGAATACTGTCGTTTCTGAGGCTCTACAGGTCGTCATTACTTATACCCAGAAATGTGATCCTCCTGCCCCAGTTCCGATTTCAGCGCCAGCTCCAGCTCCAGTGTCTACAGATGACGACAGCCAAGAATACGGGGACTGGTCTGCGATTGAAGCCGCCGCCTATGGGGATGATGGAAAGGAGTTGATGCCGATAAACGAGGGGGTTGAGCACGTGGAAAAGGTATTCCACCCTGCCGTATCTCGTCTTGTATCAAATTGCTTCGGCGAAGACCACTCTCCGGAAGACAAGATCCTTTTCGATGTTGTAGACAGCTGGACCTCTGTTGCTCAAGTGCTTGTAAATCACAAATTGCGGCATTGGGACAATTTTCTCGGTCCTTATGCTGGTGATTCCTGGGCATCGCTTCGGTATACGATGCAGACTAGGAAGTTCATGCCTCAATTCCTGGCGAGCTGTATTCGGAAAGATGCTGGTCTTCTTGCTCAATGCAAATCTCTGGTTCTGGGTATGTGGATATCGACATTGGTGGAGAGGACGTCGATGTTGAAGTTCCAGCACCGTTTGACGGAAGCTTTGCTGAATGAGCTCTCCATGGACCCATTGCTTGAGAACCTGCCGTTCTCCAGAGATCGACTCGATGGCTATGCCATTACACTGGAAGACTTCAGCCAACGGAGACTGTCACTCATCTCAAGCCTCCTGTCCAACATGCGCGAGCACCTCCAGAACTTGGAAGACACCAAGAGCCCAACGCTTTCCATTACGAAGCAGGAGTATAGGGAACTTATCCAGAAACTCATGTCATCGATGAAGGCCAACTACCAGGAGCTGGGCAACAGCGGACAATCTGTGCAAGGTGCCTATGTGGACTTTGTCCACCGCGTTGTCGGATTCCTGCAGCAACACTCAAGAGAAATCAGCCCTGTAGATCCATTCTTCACCGATCCCACCTCGTTTCCTCTTCCATCAACAGATCCATCGTACATTGTCGCGAGACTGAAGAGCTACGAGCCAAAACTATCCATTGAGAAGGTAGCAAGAACATTGATCATTTTCGTGCAGGGGGTTTCTGAACGAGCGGCCATCGATGGTCAGCAGGTGTATCTTGTTAACCAATTGCACGCATCCATGACAGATACCTATGAATCTGGGACTTCTGTCCGACCGACGCTGCGGGGAGTCCTGCTCCAATGCGTCTTCCCGGCCTATCTTGAGAATACGTTCAGCAATTCGGCGGCGTGGATTCTAAGTCTTCCCATACTGCAAGCAATCTCGCGCACGCTCAAGGACTTGCCGTTCAACATGGATACGACAGATCCGAACTGCGTCTCGTCGGTGCTCAATATCATCTGCTCCATATTGCAGTCGTCATACCTTTCCCTGCGTTTCATAGCAGATAATCCTGAATCGCTCAAGCAAGCACCCGTCCTAATCACAGCAACATCCTTGATCGAGACAATCACAGCCACCTTACCTACAATCGACTATATAGACCGCGTCACTAGCACGGCGGCCACAGCTATCTCACAAGCTCGTGCTTTTCGTCCCTTCGCCCTCTTCGCGGTCCTTCACCTCCGCGGTCTTTCCTTCGACGACCTCATAGAGGACTTCACCCGTTCATCCAATGCATTCACGGAACGAACACACACGGACACGGCTACGGTCCCCCGCTTCTTCCACGAAACCCGCCACTCCGCATCTCGTGAATTACGAGCGTACATCAATGAGAGCTGGTCCAGACATCAGGGCAAGTATTTCTTTACGCGGCGGGGCGCGCACCAACCACAGGAAGTGGGGATTGATCCTTCAATCATGGTGAAGCTGGAGAATTCACCGGCTGCGCTGTTTGAGGATGCTGTTGAAGGACTACTGAGGGCGTTCAAGAATCTTGATGTTTTTGATGATAAATATGATTAGATTGGGGTTTGTTGACTTGGTTGTTAATGTGTTTTGTAACGACTTCGGCTTTGTCGTATAGTACCAATGATGATATGATTCAGACATGGATTAACAGTGGGAACCGTGGGAAAATATCCAAGGAGCCCTGTCCGCATCCGCACATGAGTACTACCTCATCGCTGTACATATTTGGACCTCGTCAAAAGATTCGACCGTTGGATACAGATGACAGATGCCATGGTTGGCTTTGGATACATTATCCGGTTTCCCACCGGGTAAACCGTCATAAATGCATGCATACAGTGGGGTTTTCTTCAGCTTTCTCAGCTGCGGCTGATAGGGACGATCAAGGAAACTTCAACCTACAGCCGTTGCGTTTTCTGACCTAATGTGCCTGGCGGATTGAAGCGTTGGCAACCAACATGGGCAGGATTGGCTATTGCTTATAGTTGGGTCTTCGGGCGGTCATCCATGACGGTTCATGATGGATATTTCTGGATCGCGTACCGGACAGGCGGCAAGGGCCAGGTAGATATGGATTGGCTGAAGAATGGAAGATATACGATCGTTCATACCAACATTCACGTGGTGTAGGATACGACTTTCTGCCTTGCCGGTAACAAGTTGATCCTGTCGTTTTCGCACATGAATTCTTAAGGGGTAGCTTGTATGAAGGCTTATTGTTTTTCTATAGCAATTCGATAGCAATGAGTTTGTGATATTACTTGAGAGTGAAGCAATCTAATAATCGACACTGATCTTCGTTCGACAACCCCGGCCCTTATCAAACAACAACGAAGCAAGCAAGCAAGCAAGCAAGTTATTCACACGGAGCACGGAGCACGGAGCACGGAGCACGATAAGTCGGAACTTCTTCACGCCCACAATAAAACCACGCTAAACTGAAATCCATCAGGGAGCAACGCCGGAGCGCCGCGCCAAATCAAACAACAAAAACCGATTCGTTATCTTCTCAAACACCACCACATCGTCTTCCGGGATCTTCTGCGCCTGCGCCTGCGCGTCCTGAACCTCCTTGGTTTTCTTCTTCGGCTTCTTCACGATAGTTTGTGGAAGGCTATGGTTTCGTCAACAGTCATTTTAGAGTCCTCATCATAATTACAGGTTGTGAAAGCTTCAGACGAAGCCATCCACACGCCTCCAGAAACATTCTGAAAAGCGCTGCTGTCGGTGGAGATACTAGTACTCTTTGATATCGTTCAGAGTCTGAAATTTCGCAGCGAGCAAATTTTGGCCAATAGGCAAGTGGTTGCATGGGGAGTTTGCGGCTGTTGGTCGAATGCTAGCGATGGGATCCCTCATGTTAGCATCGAACAGACAGGGCATATCTCGAAGCAGAACAGTCCAGTTGGCGCTGAGCCGGGGATGGATGATTTCCGGGCTCATTTGCCCCGCGCCGTGGGCTATGTCCATTAACTGGTATCCTGTGATTCGGCCCCCGGTGACGTACCGTGGAGCTATCTGGTCCAAGCTCGTGGCAAATGAAGTCACCAGGTCTCCGAGTGTAATATACTCCCAGGTAACGAGTTGGGCATCCCTGAGCAGATAGTCCCGAGCGTTTTGGCCCTCGGCGAATGCGTTGGGTGGGGGAACCTGCTTGCCGCCGAAGTCTTTACAATATATTGAGACCATGTAGAGTAATAGGGATGATTCGGGAACGAGCCAGGTGCGTTTTTCTGGGACGTCGTAGAGAATCCATGGATGTAAGTGACTGCTTTGTAGCATGGAATAATGATTTGCACTTGGGGGCATCCGGATAACGGCCGTATTGGTGATGTTAGGATTCCCTTGGAAATGTAGCAATTGCTGTGATTCCTTGGGAGCCCAGGTGGTATTGTAAATGTGCTTATCAGTATCAATAAGTAATTCGCCCTCCATGCTCCAGCCTATATGTGCTGGTACATTGATGAGGAAGTCCAAGTCAAGTGTCTGATACCATTCGCTCCTAAGGCTTTCCAAATCATCGACTTGCAACTCAGCACCGTGGGCTTCTTTCCTCTCATAATGCCACAGAACAGACCCATCAGCCTGTCTTTCAACAGGAACCATAGCCGAATAAGCACCGCACAGAATATACCCATCTTCCACCTGCACAGGACGAGTCACCCCAGCAAGAAGAGACATAATATCAGGTCCCGTTTTGAGCAGCGGCCGCCCCGGTATCAATTGGCTCAGACCATTTAGAAACTCAAATTCATCGAAATCATCGTTTTCGTTGTCGTCATCGTCACAGCCATCACAGTCACCAAGATCAAGAAGGGAAGCCACGATACCAGTATTAAACATCTTTGTCCAACAGCTCCGCAACCAATCCGCTGGGACTAACGGCAGGAGAGCAAAACAGTTTCCTTCCCATGCACCCCAGGATATGCTTATTTGGTTGGTGGCAGGGGTTCGCCGGAGCATAACTAGCCAACCCAGCGCAGCCTTGAGAGTGTTGAGATTCGCTGTGGTCATTGAGGCGTAGAGGCATTCGACGTATTCGGGGCGGTATGTTATCACGAATCCTTTTTCTGTACCCTGTCAGTATAATGATCTCAATCAAACCAAGTAAAGGGGACCATACGACTAAAATAATGCCGACTAGGGTTCTCAGCAGCAGCCAAAACATCCAGCCCTATAGGTCCATAGCGTCTCTCTATCTCCTCTCTCAAAATCCCACCTTGCACATGGCCATCCTCAAGTGTGAGACAGAGATGGGTGAGGTCTTCGGCATTTTCAATTTTGTCGTTCAGATCGATTTGAAGGCGTAGCATGCCCGAACGGGCATCTAGCGGGTGTTCTTCGCCGCTGCCGTTACCATCTACGATGCTCATTTTGTATGTTGATTGTTGGATGTCTGGTGTTGGGTGATTATAATAACTGGCCTCAGATGGTTGACGTAGACTTTGAGTTACGTGGTTTTGCAGTCTTGGGGCTTGGGGATGACAATGTGGTGATGCTTACAAATGTGTTCCACCCTTGTTTACAAGAAAGATGGTATTTTAGTTATTTGAACTATAGCGACAGTAGTCGACATTGTGCCGTTATAAATAAGGATGCAACTGTCAGCATATAGCCATTTGTATGCCAAGGCTGTAATCGTTCTTTTCTTGCATTCAACCTCTACCCATCGGGCGTTAGTCTTTCTTTATGAGATGGTCTATAAATACGGCCATTCTGTCCTCCTGTATTCTAGTTCTTTATATAATTCAATCCCTTTACTTCCTCCCTAATATATCACTTTCATATGTCATCCGGCATACTCCTTACGAACACCCCCGCCTATCGTCTACAGCAAAGACAACAGCAACAGTAAGAGTGCTTATGGTTCAGTCCACAGATATCAAATATCCCTACTACAAAAGAATCCTCCTCAACCCTTCCACAACATTCCCACGAGACATCCACGCTAGCCTCCCTGCAAACCACATCGATCCCACCAGAACAACCCCTCCCATTGCACTAACCGCATACAAATCCCAATTATTCGCCTTATACGCCGGCATCCGCATATCAGCCGTCTGCAGGTGCATCGGCCGCAATTCTTTCCCGTCATCATCAAAACGCAACTCGTTATCGTACATGAGTTCCTCCACCAGGTCAGCCGCATAGTCCTTACGCTTCGCGGCAACGTGGGCGATGCGTTTCATGCGTATGACGTTGCGCTTGTAGTGTCCATCCTCATCGCCATTGGATTGGAGGATCTGTTTTGCTTTGATGTACAGCTCATCAGATGTAAAGTGGAACTTGTTGAGGGATTCCGCGACACCGGCAGCAACAAGTCGCGTAGTATTCGCAATCTGGTCGAAGAAGAAGCCCATGGAGATGCAAGGTTTTCCGTGATAGAGCGCTTCGTTGGCGCTGGAGCCACCGCCGTGGGTAAAGTAGAGCTTGGTAGAGTCGTGGTCTAGAATTGCGCGCTGGGGGGCGAAGAAGGGGAATAACCAGTCAGGGTGTTTATTGTTGATTAGTTCATTTAGTTGGATGGTGCTGTCTTTCATATCGGAGGTCTGGTTTGTGTCAAGATCATGCCGACTGTCCTTGCCAATGGCCCAGATGACTCCGTCGATCAGCTGCTCCTGCATAAGACGCGCAACTCCATTGATGATCTTGACAGCGTCCTGATTAGACACAATGATATGCGTTCCCAGCGAGATATACAAAACCGACTGATGTCCACTTAAAAACGCCTCATAACCCTCATCCAATGGAGTAAACGCAGGGCTCAAAAGCGGCCCCACCGGCATACACGTAGGCGGCAAATCACGCGGAATCTCAAGCCCAAAGAACGAATTGACCAGGACCAAATAATCTGGTTTCTCTAGACGATGCGGGGGCTTATAAACACCGTTCGTCCGACGCATCCGCTTCGTCCAATTCATCCACTTCAGAATAGCCCCCAGACCCATCACCACGACCAACTCGTTTTTGATGCGTAGCCACATAGACGCAGTCTCAGAGGTAAGCGTGCCATCGAGCTGGAAGCCCGGCTGGCCGGGGATGTAAGGGCAAGGTAGCATGAGGAAAGGCATGTTAGGCCACACGACTGCGATGGGTAACCGGTACTCGACGTGAATATCCTTGACTGCATCGACGAAGAAATCTGCAATTATCATGTTGGGCCTAGACTCTGCACTGTCCATCATTCTCTTGAGACCGTGGTAAGTCTGCGGCCAGAACGAATCAAACATGTACTTGGACTCCATTGACGGCCCTAGTCCTTTGGAGATATCCCATGCTTGTGAACGGCGGTAGTGCGCTTCTAGTTGTTTGTCTGTTGGGCCGGGGCCTAGGAGATATACTTTGGTAATGAAACCATATTCTTCCTTTCCCTGTACCCAGCTCTCCTGGCCCTCTAGTGTTGCGAATTCGATGGTGTGGCCGCGCGATGTCAGAACTCTGCCGATTTCTAACAGTGGGGCTGCGTGTGTGAATCCTCCTGTTGTCACGACGAGGAGGATCTTTCGGGGTGGTTGTACTGACTGGTCCATGGTGGAGTGCCGTGGTGAGAGAGTGTGTAGTTGTGTAGTGCTTTCCGGTTATATATTCCGGAAGGATTATACAAGAATGACTCTTTGATTGCACCCCCACTCCAAACACGAGGTCATGCCAGACGGCCATTTCGGAAGATATCATAATTAAAGAACAAACGGTAGATGCAATATCCTATAGTGAACACTGCCATATCTATGACAATGTTTGGCTGCCACGCATACAACACCGAGGGCGGGAAAAACCCAGAAGGATCATAACGAATTACACACTATAATAATAGTATGATATACAAATGCAAGTAAAACCAAGCACATCTCCAGATATCATTAGAATCACTTTGGCCGCCATCAAAATCACAATAACTAGCTTGCGTATAGTATCAAAACCCAAGATAGATCCAAAGTCATCACTCATTTTTTCACATCATAACAATATTTCTTCAAGTCTTCGTCACAGACAGAGCGTTATCTTCCATTCGACGGCCCCGGGCTTCCCGGATGTTCATGATGATGCCCACTCCCATGACTGGACCCCCTGCGATGGAACGGATGATGATGTGGATGGAATCCTGAGAAATGCAGAACCTTGCGCACAGCACTTGCAACACCCCCCTTCTTCTTTGTCTCTTTCTCCGTGCCGTCATCCTTCTTCTTTACCGTCGCGTCGTCTTGCAGGACAATATTGGTGGCGGCAGGTTTCGGCGGCCACTGCCCGTCTGCTTTCCAGCCTTGTACCATGGCTTTTGTCACGTCGGCGAGGTTGATGGGGACTGTTGGGGTGAGGGATTGCACGATGACTTTGCTGTAGATGGAGGGATACATGCTTGATGTGATGGAGGCGCGGATGGGGTTTGTTTCAGAGAGGATGGAAGGGACGATGGGGATGTAGGATTCATCGGCAACGGAGTAGGGTGTCGAGGAGTCTGGAGAGGGTATTTCGTGGTGCTGGTGGTCGTCTTCAGGTAGGGGATCTGATTCTGTGATATTCGACTCGGTAGGTTGCTGCGGTTTATCCTCCTGCGCATCACTCCCAGCAATAGTAAGCGATTCCTCCGTCTTCGCAGCAAGCGCAGAACCATCACCATCCGTCGCATCACCGACACCCGTAGCAGCATTATCCCCACCACCAGCGCCATCAGCCGCATCACTCCTTAACCTCTCTTCCCTCTCATTAATCTCCCTCTTCGTCCTAGCCCCCGACCATGCCTCCCTCCTCTCAACCCAAATCCTCAATCCCTCATTCCACTCAATCTCCTCCTCCACCGCCCTCCTCCTCCTCTTCCTCCGCTCCTCAGCCCCAGACCCCGAACTCTCCCTCTCCAGCTCTGCATCCCCATCATCGCTCTCGGGCTCAAACTCAGAGCACGAATCTTCGTAGTCACGTGGTCGCCATTCCTTAACGTCACGCTCGGAGATCGGCCATGCGGTTTGGAAGCGCGGACCTGTTGTGGTCGTTGAGGGCTCGAAGATCCAATCATTGCGGACGATGTCGCGGATGTAGCGCTTTGCTTCGCGGATTGCGGCGTCGCGGGTTTCGGGGGTTGTCATATTATGGGGGGGAGGGGGGGATATGGGTGGGTATAATAGGTGCGGGTATGAAGGGAGGGGTGACTTTTCCGACGGTGATGTCAAACAATGGAAGATAGCGGAGGTGGACTCGTTCTCGGCCTGAGTCTTTCTTCTCGTTTTCTCTTTTTTTGCTATATGCTTCTCTTGACTAGGCCATAGTAATCTGGGGAAGAGGAAGAAGAAGTAAGACAAAAGCGACAGTGGCGGAGGAATGACAAACGGAGAAAATTGTGTCAGGCGATATACCGCGGGATTCCGCCCCGCGCAGTCCCGAGTTGTAGATGCGTGCCCCTAGTGCGGAGTACGGGTAAATATATATATATATATATATAACTATAGATTTATTTCTATGTTTTGACTATTCGTACATATCGCAGTCGCATCAAGTTCGGTCATGTCGTTAATATTACAGAAAAAGAAAAAGAGAACATGTATAGAAGTTTAGCTCTCGGCCCATATCCCAACCTACAAAAGCCATTCCAAACAGAAGTAAAAGCAAAGCAAAGCATTCTAAGTCCGTACACGCGCTGTATCAGGTCCTCCTTCGTCCCCCTTCGCAGGAATGAATCCCCACCCCGGGCTCTTCTTGCGCCGACCCTTGCGGTCTCCATACTGTTCGTCGAATTTCCGGATCGCGGATAGCGAGGACATGTCTTCGCTAATCGATGCGCTGATTTCTTCCATGCCGCGCTCGAAGTGTGTCCAGGTGAGTGTTCGCCGGGTGGGATATTGATAGGGCTCTGGGCCCTGGTGTCGCGCTGCTGCGTCGTTTTCTTCGCGGACGCAGGCCAGGGCTGCGGATACGGACAGGTTCTTGAGGTCGGAGCCGGAGTATAGGGGTGTTCGACGGGCGAGTTCAGCAAGATCGACTGCTGCGTCTAGGGTTTCCTCCTTGAGATGAATTTTGAGGATCGCCAGACGGTCTTGTTCTGTGGGGAGATCGACGAGGAGTCGTCGCGGGAGACGGCGGAGGACTGCATCGTCCAAGTCGAAAGGTCTGTTGGTAGCGACCATGATGAAGGCTGAGAGGTCGTTCATCCCGTCCCATTCGCGGAGGAACTGGTTGATGAGTTCACGATGCGATGTGCGGCTGCTGGAGCCGGTACGCGAGCAGAAGATGGCGTCCGCTTCGTCGATGAACACCACGCACGGACTTAGCTTCTTGGCTAATGTGAAAATGGCTTTGACGTTCTTTTCTCCTTCTCCGACGTACATGTCGTAGATGTCGGATCCGCTGACCTCGAGGACTGTCGCGCCACTTTCGCGTGCCACGGCCTTGGCCAGGAGGGTTTTACCGGTACCGGGTGGTCCGTAGAGAAGTAGGCCGGGGATCTTGTCTGTCGACAAGACACCGTATGTGAAGGCTTCAGGGCGGATGAGGGAGAGCGAGGTGAGGGTCTTCAGGGCATCGATTGCCTCGGGCTGGACGTGAACATCCGAAAAGGTTGTGCGGATGTTCTTTGCGTCCACAACACCGTTCAGTAGTTTCTTTTCATGGGTATTGCAGGTCTTGCGTAATGATCCTAATAACTTTTCTCTGTCGCTATTGGAGTCCGAAGTTTTCGTTTTCGGTGACCGTTCCTGCAACCACGCATTCTTAACGCGGTCTGTTCGCTGCATCATCTCCAATCCCTTTTGGACATGATCAAAGCCAAATGCTTCCTCCCCTTTGACACTTCCCAATGCGAGCGTGGCGGCCCAGTGTATTTGGCCATACGACCAATACCGCTCCTCAAGCCCGGTTTCCTTAATCATCGTGGGATCTAACGGCCAAACACGAGTGTTTAAAATATCGTCCTTGGTAGCCGATGCATGTTCATTAAGTCGTGTCCGGAGCATTTCTTGCATATGCCGGATGTTGATATCCAAAGTCCGCCGCTTTCTATCTTGCGTAAAGGTCTTTTCAACCTCTTGCGAGCTCGTGGCCGGCGTGATAACGAGCATTTGTGAGAAGTGGTCATCGAACGCATTCTGCATGAGTCTTGATGCATCCTGTGAGTCGGGACCAACATCCTGGGCTGCTGTCCCAATCAGCAACACGCGCGAACCGGCTTTCCGTCGCTCTTGGATAGCCTGTTGCAGTAGGGATACAAAACGGGAACCTTCCCGGGTGCCTTGGATTTCGCCATAGTCCTGAACCTGGACAATGATGTCGCGAGACGGTTCCTGCTTGGGAGCTTCAGAAGAGTCTTTCGCTGGTACTGGCGATTCAGATGGTTTTTGTGCATGTTTGTCAGAAGATGAAAGGAGTTCATTGAGAAGCCGTAGTCGTCGGTCCTCCACCCGGTCGCCGCTTGATTGTGCTCCAGACGCACCGGAAGCGTCTGCAGGGCCGCTAATCGAAGCCACAAGAGACTTCAAGCCAAGCCAGTTCGGCAATGGAATATCTCCAGTGTCTTTCGAGCTTTCGATGGTGATGAATTTCGGCATCCCTGAGCCTGGCCTGAAATTTGACGATGGACCGGAAGTGTCCATCATATCTGAATCGTCGGCATCGCTATCCTCCTGCCAGACCTCAGAAAGCGAAGGCCGGTATACTTCGTACCCAAGCGATCTAATCGGCGAGGTCACGCCGTTATCTGCCAAATCCTGCTCACTGCACAGCTGAGAAATATCCTGAGCGTTGAGCGTCACCAAATCCGTACTCAACTCCTGCGCTAGCCTTTTGACCACCGCATCCAAGAAGACAATTCCATCGTTGCCGGGGTAGTGAAGAACCAAATGCGTCTTCTTAGCCGAAGGTTCCTTTGCATATTTTGCAGGCGGAAGCCGTATTCCTGCCCTAGCAGACGCACACAATTCCTCCCATAATGCTTCCGACAAGGCATACCGGTTCTCCGACGGAGGCTCATCAGCTCCAGGTTGGCCTCCTTCTCCGTCACCACCTTGCGCTTTCTTCGGGGTGTCCTCCGCCTGTTTATCAGTGCTTGTTTTGTCAATAACGACCTGCTGCGGCGCCTGAATCGTAGTTTGTCCTTCACCCTTATGAATAACCGTATTCCGCTCATGAAACCAGTCGGGAATCACAGCAGCCGGCGCTGTCCATTCCTTGCCCGGTTTCCGATTCCTCAAAGCCCTGCGTATCCCCGACCCATAGGGCCCGGGCTCCTTCTTCCCTGGGGCACCTATAGGCGGCGTCGCAGCGTGCGAAGTCTCGTTGTTGCCCTCGGGAAACCCATTCAGCGCCGAAACGTCATTGGCAATATTTTCCGGCACTGGATTCTGGCCTCCAGAAGGATCCGACGGCGTCGAAGACAGACATCTCTGCGAAATATGAAATCGACGCGCAGGAGAACACGACGCGAGGACGGCGGGATAACGACGATGGGCGATAAATCGACACGGACGGACACGGGCAAGTGACGAAAGCAACTTGCCTTGATGCATTGATGAGTACATCCGGGGCGAGCGCAGCCACCGGGATTTTTGTAATTTTTCACAGACTGCTGATGCTGTATGTAGCGAGTGTCTGCATCAGCTGGTTTGGGGGAAACGAGGGGTACGTCAATGTTCTGTCTTTTTTGCTCTGCTGGGTTTCCTTTTCGGGCGGAAATGTCGGGCACGTGACTGATTTGTCATCACAGCAGATTCGAAGTTTTTATATCTCTTCTTTTTGCCGTCAGTTGTACATACAGATATACGGGGTATTGACTGATTGAGAACTAAATTGCGCATTCAGGTTTAGGGAGCTCAAGAGCCAAGCTGCTAAGCGCTCATGTTCGTGCGTAGAGGAGGATCTAACCATAACAATCGTACCCTAACTACGTAGTATTTCCATCTGAACTCCATCATCAGATCTATACCATTTCCTTCTAGGTATGCTATGAGACAAACCCATCCAGGAAAAGAGTAGAGTATAGTGATATTATCTTTCCAAGTTCTTTCTGAGAAAGTAGGAATCGACTGCCAGTGCCTGTGAAGCAAACCTAGGGTCCAAGCAAAGCAGTGAATGGGACCATGACCTCAGAGCAGCGTACAGCGCGTACAATTTTCATCTGTTCTCCTTCTATTGTCTCAAACTTTGTTACCTCATTGTTTTCATCCAATGAGTGGCATAATGCCACCCGTATCACAGAATCAGCTTAAGCTGACACTTACACCAGTAGCTGGAATTGATCATTCAAAACAGCGTCAGCGTCAGCAACAATGAAAATTTATCAAGAACCAACACTATGCACTAAAAAAAATCAGACGAACCCCTCCTCATCACCCTCCAGACAATGCAAGAGCACCTAGACGAGCTCGACACAGAAATTAACGCCCAAAACGCCCGGATCTTACGACTCACAATCCTCGGCAAACCCTACTTCGACATCAAAAAAATGCTTCACCACGCACTTGCGCAGCTTCTAGCGCGACTTTATCATTCAGTCGGACGTTGAAATGACATTAGGAGAGATCCGGGCCATAATTAAGAACCTTGTCGGGTCGCACTGTGGACATGCGGAGGCTGATGCGATTACGTGTGAGACGGCCTGGTAAAGAACTTCGGCCGTTTATGCATATCTATGGCATGCAGCCTGCTATGATTAGGGAGATTGGTAGGTCTTGATTGGTCTTTACAGTGGTCTTGTTGCTGATACATGTTTCATGACAGCGTCGACGGGATATAAGGGTATCAAGAAGATGCTTGATACTGTTGGAGGGTTTCATTTACTGAACTGTTTTCTTATGAGCAGAAGGCCTTTGGTTAGGTTAAGGATCCGGTAAAGGGCGAATTGGGTCAGGTGGTGGTTAGCTGGGATTTTCCTTTCGAGTATTGAGCTTTGCCAGCGCTTGAGACCATTCCTAGTCATGGCTGAGGCAGGCAAAAGCCCATCACCCTTCAAATACATAAATACGATGAAGTCCTACAGTATGCGAGTTCCATTGAGGCTCGAGAAAAAAAAGTAATCCATTAGTCCATTCCAGTCTATCCTAATATGCTATCGACAATACGTAACTCGATCCCTATGCTCGAAGGTCGTTAGCAACATTTCACCAAACGACTGAAAGTAATAAAAGCAATAAAAGTTCTCAGACAAGGTATACTGGCAAGTAGCAGACCAACCGGGAAAGGAAGGTCCGAATCTCTCTTCATGGGCGATTCCAGAGTGTAAAGAAGAAGAAATGGGTTGTCATCTTCGAACGAGCGTAACAGAATTGCAGAAAATGGAAATATGCACCAACCTTATGAGGATTCAGGGTCAAATTGACCTGTCAAGTGAGTGTGGTCTGATTAGCTGCATCATCAGACACAGCGACCAGTCGTGTAGATAGATCCAGTTGCAGTGGGAAATAATGTCACATCATAAATGCGGAACAGACCAGCTGCCCATTGTATAATCCAAAAGGACGACAGATGATGGGAAAGAAGATGAGAGAAGACGGAAAGAAAAATCGCGAAAAAAAAAATATAGCAAAGCAAACCCGCCGCAACAACATTACTCCGTTGCACGTGATATACTTTCCCAGAACAGACTAGCGTGGCGCAGGCGCCGGAGTGGCAGGGAAGCAGTTAAGCGCCTCAAACGAAGAGAAGAAAAAGGCAGAGTCAGAGAGACACTGACAGAGAGAAAAGAAAAGACACGACAAGATTTACGATCGCGCCATGAACCGCTCCGTTGTCGATTTCCGCTGGTGCTGATCCAGATCTCCATCCATCTGTCCTTGTACAGTATTCTGTATCTTCTCCTTTTTGGTCTCTGGACTCTATCGCTCTGCCTCCTTACGCGCTATCAAACGAACCCCTCCATACCGCTTGGACTAGTTCCCTTCTCAGTGTTTGTGTCTATCTACTCTACTATCCTTCTATCTCCATCTCTCAGTCTTACCTCGTTGGAGTCGTCTCCCACTCCCCCGAATCTCCACCACTACCACACTACCGCTACCGCTGCCACAAACCACCACCGCCGCCGCTAGCCACTGCCGCGATCTTTATTCTTTTTTTTTTTTTTTTTTTTTTTCATCAGATTATTCCGTACAGAGGGCTCAAGGAAACATCTTCCGAATATCTGGCGCTTAGAAAGAGTTCGAGTTGAGAATTGCACATTTTGGTCCGATATCGACGCCGATTTCCGTGGCTGCTTTCTTGGCCTCCGCCCCGACGCTAAAAGCGGCCCTGTTGTTCGCTCTGTCTTCCTCCACGTCAGGCGCGCTCTCGATCGTCCCCCAAGACAGACGCCCTCTAGATCTCTCTTTTTTATACCCCGATACCCGCTCTTCCTACTCTATTTTTTACCTCTTTTTTTGTTTTATCTTTTCTTGTTGTTTTTTCTTTCTCCCTCGTGTTTCATTCATTCCTTTCTCGCGCGGGTCCCCGTGCTCGGTGATTTCGTTACCCAGCAATGATGATGGCGCAGTCATTCGCTGCCCATCAAGGCATGCAGCAACATCCTGGTCTGCCTCCTGGTCATCCTATGGCTCACGCTCAACATCCAAATGCTATGCACCCCGGCGCTGGAATGGTCCAACAGGTACACCCCGGTGTGTCGGCTCCTGGAGGACCCCAAGTTAGTCAGGCTGGCCCCATGATGGGCGCCATGCCTCCAGGTGCCGCGACTGCTGGTCCTGGGGGTCCGGTACCCAATGCTCATGCTCTCTCCCACCTGGGCCCGACCCAGGCGCATCTCTTTCAGCAGCATCAATTCCCGCAGAACTGTAGGTGAAACGATTTTTTTTTCTTTTTCTGATTGTGTGACAGCAGACTAATGAGATCCATTTTCGCCTCTATAGTTGCGAACAACCCCCAATTGATGCAACAACATCAACAGCAGCAATTGCTCCGTCAAAGAATGATCCTTCATCAGCAACAGCAGCAGCAACAACAGCAGCAGCAGCAGCAGCAGCAACAACAGCAACAACAACAGCACGGAGCCCTCCCCGTCTCATTACCCAATGGCACGCAAGGCTTGAACGCGGCTCAAATAGCGGCCATGCAGGCAAATCCCGCAATGCGACCGGTCATTCAACAGATGCACCTTCAGCAGATGCCCCACGGACAGCCTCAGATGCAAGCACCACAGCAACAACAACTACTCGTACTCCAGGCTCAACAGGCACAGCAAGCGCAAGCGCAGGCTCAGCAGGCGGGCAATGCTGGACAGCCCGGCCAGCCTACACCTCAGCAACGTGCCGCGGCACAACCTCAAAATATGCATGAAACACAGAGCGTCACTCCTCAACCGCAACCCGGCCCTCCCCCTCACCAAGGAAGTAGCACGCCGCAGTCGAATCCGCCTCAACCGCCGTCTCAACCCCCGGCGCCACAGGCGGCAACCTCCCAGGCCCAGCCGACTCCGAACCCGCCCCCTCAGCAACTTCCACAATCCCAGCAACCAATGCAGCAGCCGCAACATACTCCGCAGCCACAACCGCAACCGCATCCGCAGCAAGGTCCGCAAGGCCTCCAGCAAGGCCCCCAACCCACGCCAGCCATGACGCCTCAGGAGGCGCAGCTGAAAGCGCAACAACAGCAGAATCTTATGTTGCAGCAGCGTATGGGCATGAAGAGCACGACGACCTTGTACCTTAACGCTTTCGCTGAGCAATTGAGTAATTTTAGAGTATGTCGTGTTGAAGGAAAGGTTAAATGATTTAAAAGGGGACGAGTTGCTAACATGGAACAGAGTCGTGATGAAGCTCAAGACCTTCTATATTGGCAAGAATTTGTTGACCGGTTCTATTCGCCGGGGGGGGTTTTGCGACAGGGCGTTTACAACCGCCAATCCGGTTCCAAGCAATTCGAAATATCGACACCCGCCTTAGCACGTTACTACCTGACGCAATTCAACAGCGGTATCCGTCATATCCAGATGCTTGTCGAGGGCGTGCGGGAGACTGCATCTCCGAGCGGTGGTCACATTGTGGAAAGCGCAAAGACTTCGTTTATTTACTGGTTCACGAATGATTCACAGGTTCGTATTCGCACCCGCATGGCAAGGCGATTACCTCTAACTGATTTTTCTAGTTGTTCACGAATGGGCGGTTACGGGCGTACTTTGATGCCAATCATAAAATCGAAATGCTTGACATTGTGGTAATGAATCATACGGAATATCTTCCACGGCCTCAGTTGCAGGCATTGGAGCAGGCCGAACAACAGAAGCAAAGTCCCAAGGTGTCCAAGAACACGGGCAAACGGGGCCAGCAAAAGCAAGCAAACACGCCCTCTTTTAGTTTGCCTGAGTCGATGGTCACAGATCACGGGGTCCCAATTGCAGTATTGAGTTTCCTGGAGGTAGGTCCGTCCTCACCATTTCTATAACCCGGACCAGCTGACCACTCATGCAGGTCGCCGAGACCATCTCGCATATGCAGATGTTGTTTCACCACTCCCAACAGAATCCTCAGATGTCTGCTACGGAGTCACTACGGAATCTCGTTAATACTTTACAAACTCAAACCCTACAAACTCAACAGACCCCTAACCTAGGTTTCATGCCAACACCCATGAATCCAGCATTACAACCTGGACAGCCCCCACGAGGACCTCCAATGAATGGACCGGCGCAGTTTGCATCACCGGGGATGCATCCTCTAGGGTTGCCACAAGGCTCGCCACACATTGCCGGCTCAGCGCACGCTAGTCCAGCTCCTAGTCACTTGGCCGCGCCTGGCATGGTCCCGCAAGGGCAAGTTCAGCACAATGCGCACAGCGCCAGTGCAAGTCCTAATGTGAGCAACAAACGGCGGCGACAAAGTGCAATCAAAGTCGAAGATGACTCTGGAGCACCCGAGGTCAACGGGACTGGGCCTCAAGGAGGAGCCAAGGTGAAGGCCAGTCCTCGAGTGACCAAAAAGCAAAAAGGCGGCGCATAGTCTTCGCAGTCGGTCTTTTTTTCTATTCTATATATTTTCGCATCACCATTATTTGCGATGTCATATTTCAGTTGAAGAGGCGTGGAACTGGCGTACCATTGGATACCAGTGCGAGACTATCATTAATCTTGATTTACGTTTGGGTTTTTCTCTACTTATTGTTTGCGATTCTCCGCCGATTGGACATATTGGAGGTCTCCATTTCTTGGCTCTTTTGGCTTTACCTGCTTTGATATCCTGTTTACAATTGGCGACAGACTCTGGCGTTGGGTTTGATTGAATGTCTGGAAATAATTTCTTTATGTTTTGGAACGGCCTGGACAGCATTGCTTGTCACTTATAATCGTCTATCACTTGTATATCCGGGATTATTTCTCTTTATGGAATGAATGAGGCTTGATACCGGCCATATATACTTTCGGCAATGTTGGCCGAGTCGGCATTCTTTACGAGTACCATTGGGTACGATATTCATACATAGTACACTATCACGATGAATCATTTCCTAATATCGTATGCCGTAGTACTTATTTCCGAATGCGAGTGTAGTATCCGTCGTATCTTAACAGCCGATCCGGCAGTCTCCGCCGTTCACGGCGTCAACGATATAGGCCCCGCATCCCCTCACCATTTTTTCTTTCCCTTCCTTCACACTTTCTCTCCCATAACAAACCTTACAAAACACAAGACCACAAAATGTCCCACTCGCACGACAACGGTATCTCCCACTCGCACGACCACAATGACCCCTTCAACGGCCACGGCCACTCGCACGACATCCTCGACGGCCCGGGCTCGTACGCCAACCGCGAGATGCCCTTGATCGAGGACCGTGATTGGAATGATAGAGCGTTTACCATTGGTATCGGAGGGTATGTTCTTTTTCTTCACTTGTTGATTGATTTAATTGGTTTAGAGGTGTGTAGCTAAGCGAAGCAGACCCGTTGGATCAGGCAAGACAGCCCTGATGCTGGCACTCAGTCGTGCCCTCCGCGACGAGTATAACATTGCTGCTGTCACGAATGATATCTTCACGAGGTACTCCCCGCCCCTCAACCCCCCTCAATTCAATACATAGATGCTAACAAAGAAACAGAGAAGACGCTGAATTCCTAACCCGCCACAAAGCCCTCTCCCCCAGCCGCATCCGCGCAATCGAAACAGGCGGCTGCCCGCACGCCGCTGTCCGCGAAGACATCTCCGCAAACCTACTCGCCCTGCAATCCCTCCAAAAGCAATTCTCTACAGACCTGCTGCTCATCGAATCTGGCGGCGATAACCTCGCGGCGAACTACAGTCGTGAACTCGCCGACTTCATCATCTATGTTATCGATGTTGCGGGTGGTGATAAGGTTCCGAGGAAGGGTGGACCGGGGATTACGGGGAGTGATTTGTTGGTTGTGAATAAGATTGACTTGGCGGAGATTGTGGGGGCGGATCTCAGTGTTATGGAGAGGGATGCGGCGAAGATGAGGGAAGGGGGGCCGACTGTTTTTGCGGAGGTGAAAAATGGAAAGGGAATGGGGGCTATTGTGGATTTGATTCTGAGTGCGTGGAAGGGGAGTGGTGCATATGAGGTTAGTTTGGGGAGGTGGAAGGAAGGGGCGCCGAGGGGGTCTGGTAGCGTCGACGAATAGATCTTTTTTGAGGGTATTGATGGAATTGTTCAATACAATTGTTGATGTTATGTATCTATGGCTATCCATTAACTAGTCCAACGCCGAATATGCAGAACTTTTTGACATGACTGAGATCATCTTAGGGTATCTGATTACTTCCCCAACAGAGAAAGAAGCAAGCAATGAATGAAACAAACACAAAGCTCGTAGAAGCCTACAGCTCCTTCTTCGCAAACCTCCCCAACGCAGGCCCCAGCGCCTCCCTCTCTGCCTGCACCTTGTCTTTGGTCCTCGCAGCATGTTCCTTTCGCAACTGCTCCGCCTTGAGCCTCCGCTCGTCGATAACATTGCTGCGGCCCTTCTTGCGCAGATATTTCCGCAAAGCACTGTTCCTGCCTCTCCCGCGATTCTTGATTTTCTCCATCGGATCCGGCGCCTTGTAATCCGGATCCCTTGCCTGTCGCTCTTCCTGGTTTTTCTGGTCTCTGATGGTATCCAGTTTTCCGATGAAGGTCGGGTCTAGCGAGATCATGTCTGGCTGGAGCTTGTTGAGCAGGCCGTGGACTTCGGCCTCTTGGCGCTGATGCGTGTTTTCGTAGGGGTTTGCCTCGAGGGCGTCGTAGTTGGGTTCTCCGGCTCCTGGGACGAGGAGGGATGCGAAGCCCTTGTCGTGCGTGACACCTAGGACATCTTCGTAAGGACACCAACGCATGTTCTCGATGCGTTGGCCGTCGCCGCCCCAGGCCATGTAGGGGCTTTGCACTTTACCCTGGTCTGCCTGTGCGGCGTCGAAGAGGCCCCGCCAGACGCTGACCTGTGTGCCCCAGCCGACAGCTGTGAGACCGCGGTCGCTGATTGCGACGGAGGAGCCTGGTTGGTAGCAGGAGTAGGAGTGGACTTCACGGAACATGCGGATGTCCCAGACGTTCATTTTCTGGTCCTGGCCTGTTGACACCATGTAGCGGCCTTGGCGGTCCATTGCGAGGGAGCGGACGGGGCCGCGGTGAACGAGGGCTTTGACGAGGGGGGCTTGGGAGTTGGGGGACCATAGGGTGACGGTTCCATTTTGGTGGCCGACGTGGAGGATTGCGTTGTAAGGGTTTTGAGCGAGGGCTGTTGGACTGCCTAGGCGGGTGGGGAGCTCTGCGACCATTTGGCCGGTGGATGTGTCGGTGTATTTGAGGAAGCCGCTCATTTGCTGGTCTTATTAGTATGCTGATGTATAATCAGTGAAAGAGGAGACTTACCGCGCTTGCAAGAAGAAAATGGTAGGGAAGGAATTCCAAGAACAGCGGTTCGAGGTGCTTGTTGAGACAATGCAGTTCGACACCCTTGTGATCGTAAATATAGACGTTCCTCTTCTGCGCGACAGCAAAGAACTGGTTATTATGCAGCCACTTCGCATCCCGAACAGTCTCATTCAACTGCAACTCGCATCCCAGCCTGCCATTCCGCCAATCCATCGTCGCAACATGCCCTTTCCTCCCAGCCAGCAGCAATTCGCGCCCATTACGAGAATAATCCGCGCGATACGGCCCGAGATCCTCCAACTTCAACTCAAATCCCTTCTTCGCCGTCTCAATCCCAACATTCTCCCGGATATCGTCCTGGCGAACCTTATACGTCCTCTCCAGCTCTCCCTCGGGCTCGAGGAAACCCGCTTCATGTTCCAACAGGATCTCGGCATCTTTGGCCTTTAGAGTCGCATCCTTGACTTTGTCTTCGACGGCTTTGAGGTTTCGCTTGAGCTTTTGGTTCTTGATTGTTCGGGTTTGGACTGCTTTGCCGCGGCCGTAGGTTTTTTGCGCTTCGAAGAGGCGTCTCTTTTCTTCGCGGTTTTCGGCCGGCGTGAGGGCTTTGTCAGCCATGGTGTCAATTACTCCAATATAATAAGGATAAGAAATAAGTCAAGGTAGTCAAGGTAAGATGGTAGCAAAGCGCAGGACGGAGAAAAAGATGAGCGGACTTTTTTGCGGGTCCGCAAAATTCATGCCAAGAAATCCACTCGCTTGTCCACCACTTTTTTTTTTTCCTCTTCCTTCAATACAACGGCTACAGCGTTATCTACCACAGCACGTCTAATTAGGTTGAATTGCCTATTATCCTGCTAAAATAGTCAAGCTGGCCTCTATTCCCTTTCGTTTTAAAGGGTCCAGTGATGCCAATATGGCGACCCAGGTGCATCACCACCGGTCCACCACCAAGGCCTCCAACAAGCCTTACAAGAGCAAACATGCCTCTAAGAGTGCCCTGAAGGACCAGGACAAGGGTGCGCTTCCCTTTAGTTCCAATGGTCTCAAAGAAAGGAAACTGATAATGTACTATATACAGGCAAAGTCGAGCGGGGTGTCCGCAAGACCCCCCACCAGCAACTCATGTCCAAACTCGACCGACGAAACCAAGCTCGCCAGAAACAACAGACGAAACACCAGGAAAAGTCGCAGACAACGAATATCTTCAATGGCCAGAATGGAGCCCCCCGCCAGGTCGCCGTGATCCCACTTTCCGTCGATATCGATGTGACCGCGACTATCTGTGCTTTGAACGAGAGTGTCGATGTTTCAAATGATAATGTCTCGGGGGATCAGGTTTCTCGCGTGCGGGTTGATCGGTTCCGGCAGAATTTGCAGTACATTCCTGCCAAGTTTAATCTGATGAATGCGATGGATGTTGCGCGGATGGCGGATTTCGTGGTTGTGGTGCTGTCTGCTGAGGCTGAGGTTGAGGAGCAGGGGGAGTTGCTGCTGCGGTCGATTGAGGGTCAGGGTATCTCCAATGTGATGACCGTTGTTCAGGGCCTCGACAAGGTCAACCCGGCCAAGAAACGCCCCCAGGTGGTGTCTTCTCTCAAGTCCTTCATGAACCATTTCTTCCCCTCAGTCGACAAGGTCCTCTCTCTGGATTCGAGACAAGAGTGCTCTAACGTTATCCGATCCCTATGCACTGCGACACCCAAGGGAATCCGCTGGCGTGACGAACGCAGCTGGATGCTTATCGAGAACATCCAGTGGCCCGAGACCGCCGCGGACGTTGTCGACAATGTTGTGGTCACCGGTGTTGTTCGCGGAAAGGGTCTGAAGGCAGACCGTATCGCACATGTCCCCGGATGGGGTGACTTCCAGATCGATTCGATTACTGCAGCACCGCTGCCAACAGGTCGCGCTAAGCGGGATGACGCCATGAACATTGACGACAACGAGTCGACCCAGGTCTTGGACACACCAACCGCGGAGCAGGACGACATGGCGGTTGTGGCACCCGAAGAAATCGAGATGGAAGATGAGATGCTTCCCGAGCCCGAAACTGAGCAGAAGGGTGTGCTGCTGGATGACCACCACTATTTCTCGGACGATGATTCGCATATGCCCGCCAGACCCAAGAGACTTCCCAAGGGTACCTCCGACTACCAAGCCTCGTGGTTCGTGGCTGACGTCTCCGACTCCGGCTCGGATCTCGAAGATGAAGACGAAGAAGACGAAAAGATGGAGATGGACACCGGCGGTGCACCAGAGGACGGTGTCTTTCCCGACCAAAACGATGCCATGACGGAAGCTGGACCTTCCGAGTATCCCCAGTCAGAGATGTTCGTCGACCAAAATGAAGAGGAAGAAACGAAGCAACTGGAAGAATACCGCGCCAGCCGCCGCAAGGAAGCAACCGACGACCTCGAATTCCCGGACGAAATCGAACTGCATCCCAACGTGCTCGCGCGTGAACGCCTAGCCCGCTTCCGCGGCCTCAAGAACATGAAGCTCAGCGCTTGGGAAACCGCCCCAGACCGCCCCCACGAGCCCGAAGACTGGCGCCGCCTCCTCCAATTCGCCGACTACAAGGGCTCCAAAAACAGGGCCGTCCGTGAAGCCCTAGCTGGCGGTGTCAACCCCGGCGCCCGCGTCGACATCCACCTCCGTGCGGTGCCCTCCTCCCTCCGCACCCGCCCCCAACCTCTCTCCCTCTTCTCCCTCCTCCGCCACGAACACAAACACACCGTGGTCAACGTCAACATGACCCTCAACTCCAGCGTCGAACAACCCCTTAAATCCAAGGAGGAACTCATCATCCAATACGGCCCCCGCCGTGTCGTCGCAAACCCCATCTTCTCCGCAAACGACAACACCCGCAACAACATCCACAAATTTGACCGCTACCTACACCCCGGCCGCAGCGCAATCGCCTCCTTTATCGGCCCTCTAACCTTCGGCTCCGTCCCCATCCTCGTCTTCAAAACCCGGCAATCTCAAAACGATGACCCTGAAGTCCTCGATGCCGCAGACTCCGAGCCCCTCGACATCAACAACCTCGACCTCATCGGTACAGGCACAGTTGTCGCACCGGACCAAGCCCGCGTCGTCGCCAAGCGCGCCATCCTCACAGGCCACCCGTTCAAAATCCACAAGAAGGTCGTTACCATCCGGTACATGTTCTTCAACGCCGAGGATGTCAACTGGTTCAAGGCATTGCAGTTATGGACGAGGCGTGGCCGTAGTGGGTTTATCAAGGAGAGTCTGGGTACGCATGGGTACTTTAAGGCAACGTTTGATGCGAAGCTTAATCCGCAAGATTCGGTGGGGATTAGTCTATATAAGCGGGTTTTCCCGAGGAAGGCGAGGGCTTTGGAAGATGTTGTCTATTAGACAAGGTGAATTTGAACTGGCGGTCTTTTTGTTTCGGTTTTATTTTCTTTGTTGGTTTCTGTGATGGATGATATGATACCACAGTGTGACATGATTTGATGATCAATCTAGATGTCCTGGATAGTTTAGGACAAAAAAAGCATTTGAGTATATAGATGAATAGTTTACGAGCATGATTGCGCTTTTTTATATGTAGTTTGAATCTTTCTGGGAAGAAAAAGTGGCATACTACGATAAACCAGGGCATCACGTAACAATAATCAAATCAAGGCTAATTCAGAAAAAGGGAATAGAATCGTGGACATGAAATAACTAACTGAATCTACGAGAAATCCTCAGTCGCCTCCTCGATATTATTCTTCACCCGCAGTAGTAAAGTGGTCTTCCACTTGTCCAACTTGCTGAGCTGATCATATTGGAAGAGTTTGTCCGCGAATGCTTCCTGGTCACCCTGCTCGATGGCTTGCACCAAGTCGACGAGAAGCTGGTGCTCTCTCTGAGAGGCAAATGTGGTGTCGATGTCCCGGTAGGACTCGAGGGCACGGTTCGTTGCGACAAGATCCTGGGTAAGTTAGCATGTGTTTTAAGAACAGAAGGTGCGGGGAAACATACATTCGTAGCGAGATGGCAGATACCAGCCTTCAGGAAGTAGTCTTTGACAGACCATTTCATCAAGCTGTTGTTAATCGAGGACCGGCCAATTCTCTCATAGTGCTCGATGGACTTGTAGTAGTCGCCCTCGAGGGCAGCCAGATCAGCGACCTTCAAGTAATGTTTGTTCGCAAGACTGCCATATTGTCAGTAACAATCCACAATCACACAATCACCTAAACTTACGCCTCAGCGTTGTCCCCATCAAACCATTCCGCAGCTTTCTCGTAAGCCTCGACAGCCCTCTTCATATCTCCTAGTTCCACTTCGTACACCTCAGCCAAGTGTTGTTGCTGTGTAGCAGCCCGGCGCAGGTTTCCTTTTAATACGTAGTGGTTGATAGCACTGGAGAGAACGCGGGCGCCATCTTCGGGGTCCGATTTTCGATACACTTTAAAAGCCTCGTTCAACGAGTTTGCGGCATCGTCTGGTTCGTTAATGTTGTCTGCCTGAATCGAAGCAGCCTTTTCAAACGCCAAACCAGCCTCCTTGTCTAAAATCACATCGACATTAATCTCCGCAGCTTCTATTTAGTCTCCGGGAACCGTACTCAGCTTCTGGATTCGGAACGCATTTGCGGCCTGTGTATACAAATCCGCTGCATTTTCGTACTTCTCTGTCCGCCCACCAAAGAAACTAAATCCGCTTGACGCGCTGTGCAACGTTTTCTCTGCCTAAATCCGCGCACATGTTAACTATCAATATAGATAAACCGCGCGGGGTGGATGAAGAGGGGAGATAACCTTTTGCAGCAAGACACGGGGATCTTGGGCGGCCATGGTGGATAGTCTGCGTCTTCCACCGAATGCAAGAAGGAGAAATGCGGAATTCGTTTTCGTTAAATACTATAAATCTGCTTGATCGGAGATGATGATGACGAGCGTTGATGGGTGGCCAGTCCGACGTTATGATGCCAGATTCGGCGTGAAGGCGGTGTAAGCAAAAAGCTGCCTCCGCTGTCGTTGTTTTGCTCCCCGCAGTGTTCTGATGTCGTTTTCTATTTTGCAATAGACAGCTTTCCTGCAATTAGCAGTTTAGTCCTATACTTTGCGCATAACCTGTATTTGGTTCGTTTCTACTCAATCGTTGAAAAGCTACAATGTTCGCACTCCGCAGCACTTTCCGACTCGCGGGACCGAGATCTCGACTGCTCCGACTGAATACGCTTCGAACTTGTTCGTCTTCCTCGGAGCAGGATATTGAATCTATTCTGGCGAAACCGACCTGGTCTGTCCGGTCTCTACTTCCCGACTCCGCCAAAGAATCCTCCCCGTCCGTCACGCCAGAGCAGCTCCACCACCTCCTCCGTCTCTCTGCTCTACCCTTCCCCGCCAGCCAAGAAGAAGAAATTTTCATGCTCAAGACCCTCGAATCGCAAATCCATTTCGTGAAGGAAATTCAGCGCGCGGATGCTACGGGTGTGGTGCCTTTACAGAGTATCCGCGACGAAAGCCCGGAGGCGATAAAAGAGAACACCATTGGATTGGACAAATTGAAGGAAGCGCTCTCGACAGAACGGGTCTTTGGTCGTAGGAAGAAGATACAACGCATGAGGACCGAAAGAAGTGAACGTCCGGATGGGAATGCTTGGGATGGAAACGCGCTTGGTTATGCGTCCAAGACCAAAGGCCGTTTCTTTGTCGTTGAGACAAGCAAATGCAGCGGTGACCAATGATGCCCTGGCCCGTTGGTATCTGTCTGAGCATCTGGCAATAAACCAGGAATCTCGTTCCTCTTCTGTCGCGATTCATGCTGGAATGCCCAGCCTTTTCTAGGCGCTGAGTCAGCCGGTGACCTCATACCTAAGACCAACAATTTCCTTTTCACTCTTTCTTCTCGATTTAGCCTTGTCCTCACTTTTCCATCGCTAGTTAATCTATGCCCCATTATGTTCAAGGACTTCAAAGAAAAACATGGCAGCAAATTCGGGCTGGGGCCTTCAGACGACGATGCTCAAGCCCCGGCGACCGACCGCGGCCAGGATCTGACAACCATCTTGGACCGATCCCAACGTGGGGATTTGACAATACTAGTCGCTTTAATCGCCAAGGACATGCGAAACGGGATTGAGCGGAATTTCCAGACACAAGGGCCAAACAGCAGAGGTCCTCCAACCGATCAATCAGCGCAAGGGGCAGGCAACCAAAAAACCACTCCCAGTTCCGCATCCCCACCTGCCGATGAGCCAAAATATGGCGATGAGAGACCATGGTTTGCTGAATCTAGCAGCAACGAAAACAAAGAGGCTGCATCCAGCGCGCTTTCGTTCTTCGACGATTGGAGGGACTCGCTGCTTCTTCGGGTAGGAGAAGTGGTCAACCAAGATTATGAAGGTTCGGAAGAAGAGGGCGGTTCAGACTCTCAAGATCTTGAGTCGGATGTGCCAGTTGAGATAAACGAGCGCTCTTTAGATAAATTACGCAAAATATATCCTCCTACGGATACTCCACTTGTCGACCTTCCCAAGGCCAAGAAACTTCTGATTCTTCATTCACTTCTGCTGCTGGTGCTTAGTCTTGAGCACTACAACGGTTTATCCCGGGTCCTGATGCTACGCGTTGCGTCCAGCTTAGGCTTGGATGTGAAACTTCTAAACGACAATGAAACCAAAGTTGCACGAGGCCTCCTAGACATGGCATTGAAACAACCTTCGAACGCAGAATCCGAAGAACAAGCCAAGAAGAACGATGTGGCACGGAAGGTGAAGGTGGGAATAGCCTCTGTTGCTGGTGCTGTTCTAATTGGTGTCACTGGCGGGCTTGCTGCGCCGCTTGTGGCGGCTGGTTTGGGTACTGTTATGGGAGGTTTGGGGCTTGGTGCTACTGCCGTTGCAGGATACCTTGGTGCGCTTGCTGGTAGTGGAGTTATTGTCGGCGGTCTTTTCGGTGCATATGGAGGTCGGATGACTGGGCGTATGATGGACAAATACGCACGCGAAGTGGAAGACTTTGCCTTCATTCCTCTTCGCGGTCCTCGACGGAGGTCTGAAAACGAAAAAGAAGCTGCCCAGGAAGATCACCGCCTTCGAGTTACTATCGGTATCACCGGTTGGGCAGAGGATGCAGCTGATCTTGTTGTCCCGTGGCGAGTTGTCGGCTCTGAGTCGGAGGTGTTTGCTCTCCGTTGGGAATTGGAGTCTTTGCTCAAGCTTGGCAATGCCATGAGTGCATTGGTTACCAGTGCTGCATGGACCTTTGCCGGTCGCGAAGTTCTATCCAAGACGATCTTCGCGTCGATCATGAGCGCTGTTATGCTGCCAATGGGTCTTGCTAAGGTCGCGAGCGTGGCTGACAACCCTTTCAGTGTGGCCAAGGCACGATCAGACAAAGCCGGTGTGGTCCTTGCGGATGCATTGATCAACAAAGTGCAGGGTGAGCGACCGGTCAATCTGATCGGATACTCGTTGGGTTCTCGGGTGATCTTCTCCTGTCTTCAGACGCTGGCGAAAAGACGCGCGTATGGTCTTGTGGAGTCAGTCATTCTCATGGGATCACCAACACCATCCAACACTGAACACTGGCGTCGAATGCGCAGCGTTGTTAGCGGAAGGCTAGTCAATGTGTACTCCGAAAACGACGGCGTGCTTGCTCTGCTCTATCGGACCAGCAGTCTCCAGTTCGGTGTGGCAGGTCTTCAGCCTGTCGAGGGCCTCCCGGGAGTTGAGAACTTGGATGCGAGCTCAGTGATCAACGGCCATTTGCGTTATCAATACCTCCTCGGAAGACTTTTGAACGTCGTTGGGTTGCAAGGCATAGACTTCTACGAGGCATCCCGAGGAGAGGCAGCATTGGCAGCCCAGGACCAATGGGAAGAAGAGCAGCGCCGTAAGAATAAGCGTGAAGTGGAGGCTGAGGCTGGGGATAAGTCGGCAAAGGAGATCCTGGAAAGTGGTGAGGGCATGGGTAGTGAACAGGAGCGGCTACGGAAGCAGGTGGACCAGAAGACGCAGGAACATTTGCTTCCCCGCAAGATGGAACAGGCTAGTGTGCGTGGACATCAGGATACCCATAATAATTAGATTAGATTCGCATATGTAGTCTAGACATAAAGGTGTTTACATTGTTCACAGCATACTTTACTGTGTATAGGCGGCAGTAATCCACCGCCAACCCCGCGGAACCATTATTTTCCTCTTTTGGAAGTGCAATGACTACAATCCCATATTGTTCCAGAATGCAGAAACCAGCAGGTGAAGTGGATGTCACTTTGGATGTCCTCGGGCAACAGCCGTTTCTCAAGATCTACACGCAAATATGTCTCTGCTTCTCAATGCCTGACAATGACTCCGATTCAACCATCATCCACACATTAACCAACGGTCTCGAACGACTAACAGCAAGTTTCCCATGGATAGCCGGCCAAGTCGTCAACGAAGGCGCCAGCGAAGACAACACAGGAATCTTTAAGATAAAACCATTGGAAAATATCCCTCGTCTAGTCATCAAAGACCTGCGAAATGATCTCTCAATACCGACAATGGACAGTCTCAGACAAGCCAAGTTCCCTATGAGCATGCTGGACGAAGAGATTATATGTCCCTGCAGGACACTCCCATTGCCTGGGACTCTTGACGAATTTCCTGTGTTTCTTGTGCAAGCGAATTTCATCACCGGCGGGCTGCTGCTCAGTATGGTTGCTGAGCATGGTGCGATGGATATGACGGGTCAGGGCCAGATTATCCGTCTTCTGTCGAAGGCTTGTCGAAACGAGTCCTTTACGGCTGAGGAACTGTCGACGGGCAATCTATGCCGTCACGATATCATCCCGTTATTAGACTCCTACGAACCAGGCCCTGAGCTCTCGTATCAAATCACCAGGCTCCCCTCAACACCTCCAGCACCACCAGCAAAAAGCACCTGGGCCTACTTCTCCTTCCAACCCAGCTCTCTAGCAGCCCTCAAATATTTCACCATGCAAACAGTTCCAACAGGCTACATCTCCACCGACGACGCCCTAACAGCACTCATATGGCAATCTGTCACCCGCGCCCGCCTCCCACGTCTCAACCCCGAAACAAACTCAACATTCGCCCGCGCAGTAGATGTCCGCAGATTTCTAGACATCCACCAAACATACCCAGGCCTGATCCAAAACATGACATATCACACCAACGTGCTTCAATCGCTAGTCTACGAGCCATTAGGCGTGATAGCCTCGCGGCTGCGCTTGGCTGTGAATCCTAACACATCGACGCTGGGGTATGATTCGCGAGCGCTGGCAACGTTCCTAGCTCGTTCGCCGGATAAAACTATTTTCTCATTCTCTGCGAATCTGGATCTGTCGACGGATATGATGCTTAGTTCATGGGCGAGGGTTGAGTGTTATGACCTTGATTTTGGTCTGGGGTTGGGGTGTTCTGAGGCTGTGCGTAGGCCGCAGTTTGATCCGTTTGAGAGTCTTGTGTATTTACTGCCGAAAACACCTGAGGGGGAGATTACGGCTGCGATTTGTTTGAGGGATGAGGATATGCAGAGAGTAAGAGTTGATGTGGAGTTTATGAGGTATGCGAAGTATATTGGGTAATGGAACGACCTTTGAGTCATTCTGTGGCAAAGATCGCGTGGCGATGCAACAGACATGACATACGACATATGACATGGTGCATAATGAATAATGAGGCGGGTTATTGGCGAGCTATCGAAATCGGCGCAGACTTGTTGGTGCACTCACTCCATAACGCGCTCGCAGCGAACAAGGCACGAAATTACCGGGCTCTGCACCCTGTAGGGTCTCAGAGATATTCTCACATCCCAACGGCACAGAGCTGGCACTAGTATGGGCCATTTAACAGACTATTTGAACCTACCACCCACCTCGGTACACTCAGAATACGATGCGATTCAGTTCGCATTCATACCCGGAATAGGAGGGTGCAATACGTACAGAACGCACGATACACAAGCCGTATATATACTACCCATGCGACGGCACATACCCATCACAGCAACCAGTCCACTCCAGTCCGATAGCTCAGCATCAGATTTACAATCATATGCTTAACCCTAAAACGGCTAGCCTAAATAACTCTATCCGGAAATCCCCCCGAGCCAAGAAAAATCTAAAATAAATTAACGTGGGGCAGCACGAGCGCCAATTATATTGGGGATTAGGGGATTATTTGAAGATGAGCTAGACTGAATCTGGGATAGGGGAATGCGTGGAAGGTTCTCTGCGTTTTCGGATGAAGGATGGGTTTACGTCGATTTTGTGGCTGACACTGGGAAAGCACGTGTGGGAGTATTCCGAGTAAATGTCAGTGACCCAAGTGAGATACCCACGGAAAAGGCAAACCCATCTATTTACAGAACATCAATTCCAGGGTCCGTTCAGGAACCGACCAATCGATTGTTTAGTGGAGCAGAGCACACACAGCAAGCGAAAAGCATGTAACCGAAATACACGCACACACAATAGTTTACCCACGGCCAGCGCTGAAGTAAGCTTCTGCTGTGTCGATCAGAAAAGGCTTACCTGGATCGGCCACCTAAGAGATCGGGTCCCGTGTGTGTGCGAACCCAGATTTCAGCTAACCAAGGAATCGATCGATTATGATGCGGGCTTGGCTGGCGGAGTCGCCGGTAAGACATGTCTACGGTAACACATAGGTCCACGGTATGTAGGAGGAAATTGAACGAGATTAAACATTAGGAAAGTACAGCGAGAGAAGCGGAAAGGATCAAGCTGAGCTGCCGAGGGCTGGTACATACACTATATACATTTCTGCGCGGCTCAACGGATTGGGAACCCATCATCATAACACATAAAGCAAAATACAAAGAACGAAAAAGCCGTAGAAAAAAAGAAAGAAACAAGAGAAGGGTATGGAGTAGAAAGAAGCCTCACAACGTATCGAAATGGACATTCGATTTTCTTCACAGAACAGATACACCGTACTTGGTACTGCTTGGACCAAGGAAACAGTAAAGGGAAAGAAAGTAAATCGGGTATAGGGAACGTAATGGAGATAGAGATGGCGAGAGTTGAAGGAAATTATTCAAGGAAGTCGATGCTGCTGCTGCTGCTTCAACTGGTCTGCTGGTTCCACGGGTTCGGACGAAATCTCAATGGTGGTCTCCTGGTACACACCACCGTGGGCAAGGTTGTTCATTTCCATATCGCCCTTGCGCATGATATCTTCGGTGGAGTCGTCGCGGTCGTCGTTGACGGTGTCGTTGGCACTCTCCACGGTCTGCAGACCACGGCGCATCTTGTTTCCGACACGGAACTTCTTCTCCTTCCCGCCGGTCGTACTGATGTGCGTCTGGAATCCTTTCGGGTCGGTGTAAACGTAGGCGTTGTCGTTGGCACTCTCGTCGGTTTCGATCAGCAAGTGACGACGGGTCAAGGTATACACTGCTACATCCATGAATCCCGAAAGGGCCATCAGGGAACCGGCGACGGCGAAATAAGTTTTGCTGGGAGCGACATGTCGTGCTGTGGCCATACGACCAGCGGCGAGTGGAAGAGACAAAACCACGTACACAAACGGGTAAATAACCATGTACACGACGACACGGTTCAGGCGCTTCAGGTTGTCTTGGTGTTGTTGGCGCAGCATCGAGGCCTGCTTCATTCGGCGACGAAGGTAGATGAACAGGAAACCGTACAGCACGACTGTTCCGAATTCCGAAATGAAAATCCAGAGATAATGAACCCAGAGACGTTCGGTTTCGTACTCTTGACTCAGCCAGCACTGCCAGGTTATTAGCACACAGAAATAGCGAGAAGAAATTCGAGAAACCTACCCATCCGGCTTCGGAGACGACAAAAGTATTCGAAGTGAACATGCCGACGGGAATCAAACCAAGCATAATGATGAACGCCCACAGTCCACAGACACAAGCAACGAAACCCTTAAAGGGCAGTTGTCGACCACGCAACACAACGTCAGCTGTGTGGACAGCAATGGCCAAGACGAAAAGACCACTTCCAGGGTCTGCAATTTGAATCCACCATCCTTGCAAAACGCATGCCGCACTAGGGAAGTTGACGGAGTCTCTGGTAACCCAATGAAGACAGATCAAGAACGCTGAGGCTTGCTGAAGATCGACCAAAAGAAGGTTGTAAATCAAGACGACATATTGGTTCTCGGCGAGGGGGCGTTTATAGTATCGTTGCCAGAAAATGAATCGGTAGGTAAGGAAAGACAGCAGAGCGAACGACGAGACCCACGAAATCAGGGCAAGGATACCCATAGCAATGAAACCAGCCTTGTCGCTCCCCAGCAGCTCGACCTCGTGGTCACCGCGAGCCATGAGCTGGTGTGGTTGCGAGGCATTTTCCTCACGAGAAATCAAGTTTATTACCCGCAAGAGTGCAGCCATCTCTCATCTCCTTTGGGTGTTAGGTGATTATTCAAATGAGCGAACGGATTTTGAAAAATTCCAGAGTCGCGTAGAGCGACGGGGGATGCAGAAGTGAAATAGTGCCGGACTTTGAGTCAAGGAGGGTAGATCAGAAACTAAGCTTCTAGATCAGAATGTCCAGTGGAAGAATCAAAATAAAATAGAAAAGCCCTCAGATGTCATTTCGGTCTGAGAAAGGGGGGAAAGTATGTGTACATATGGGTTTGGGACCACATACAGCTAGGTTTGGGAAAAGATCCATGGTTCTCCAAGAGATTGGCTAAATCAAATTAAGATTTTTATGAAGATTTAGAAAAGAAAGTACACAGAGTTTATGGGCCAAAGGGTAGAAAATCTATAGTCCGTGGCCTTTTTTTTCAGCCAGCTGCGCCGCCGAATTATATGCAACAATAGCGAGATTACCTTCATTGTGTTGTTTCCGGGGGGAATCTTAGCAGACTCAAGACCACAGTGAAACCACACCCAGCATACACCAGCGATCTGCGCATGAAAAAATTTCCATAAAAAAAGATCAGGAAGCGATGGTCTGGTGGGTAGAAGCGTATAGTAACTGTAGTATGGGCCTCGATATGGCCCACGATTCATTGGACGAGCACGGTGGTCCACCCCAGCCGATTTCGCGGCCCCAACTGGTTTCGTAGTGCTGATAAACTTTGCCCATCGCAACACTTCAAACTCCCTAACAGCGCTCACCCCGTCCCTCCGGCGGATCAATCCGCCTCATTTTGGCCGAGTTGCATGCCGCAGCGTCGAACCCTCATGTTTTGTGCAAAGGGTCCGATTTGTGTAGCCCCGAGGTTCTTCCTGACAATATCAAAACGAGAGGCAACCATAGCGCCGGGATGGCAAAACGATACATCAATGAAACAATGAACAATGAACTGTGAACTGTGGATCCAGTCGATTGGTACTCCATCTGGTATTCCGCACGCAATTGATTGCTCAGCACGATCTTCGGCCTCGTGGCGAGAGGAGCCCGAGAGGGGCAGGGGATGATGGTGTAGTGGATCTTCCCAGTCGGGGGAAAACCGAAAAGGCAGTTACAGTAAATTATTTCCAAGAGATCCCCGGACGGGGCAAGGGGGGATTTCCATGGATCAGAACAGGATGAAAAAGCAAAAAGCGAAGATATATGTGTAGTATTCTGTTACAGTACTCCGAGCACTCTGCAGTGTATGTTCCAGAAAAGTGGTTGAGGCTGAAAGTCCCGTGATCGCAACCCTTTTCCATTTCGCTTCTGCTGTCTACGGAGGACTCCCTATTCAATGATGATACACCTGTCAGACCTGCCGGCTTCTCGTATAGAATGCTGGCGTGAAGAAAAGCATTATTACCAAGAATTCCAAGAGATCTTCTCCCCGAGTCAGCGCCGTGGCAAGCGAATCAAGCAATACCAAGACCCTCCGCCGCTATTATCTTCCGCTAGTCGGTTCCAAGCATCTGGGATGACAAGATCGTTTTCTCCGTCGCGTGTGATTATATCATGGTACAGCATTGTTCATACCACATGTTGAACCGTACGAGCCATCTTGAGCTGGGAGATCTTCAGGGGCTTGACGCCTGTGCTCTATTCACATCTCTGCAATGATTCTTGCATGGCTCGCGACAACAATTCCTGCACATCATTGTCAGTAGCATGATATCAAATCCAGCTGGAAACGAGTGATCAGGGATCACTTCTGCACTTCCCCATCCAACCAACGATAATCGCACCACAACGTGCAGCTCCAATCCAACAAATCGTCTCCTTTCCCGAAGCGACTGGACCGTATCCTCGGACTCTCCACCGTACTCCATAGAGCATATACAGTACAATAGTTTGAGCTTACTTCCTAATGCCAATTTCCCACCGCGCTTCCAGAGTGCGCAGAAGCAAATGTGGAGATGGTCGGCAACGTACAACCCACTCAAAGGCTAGTGAACATTATCGGTTAAATGGAACAACCCAAAATGACCAGATGGGGTAACAGCCTTGCATGATTCAATTTTATTGTCCCGTATACTTCATGGTACGGAGTACACCGTGCTCCGGGACGATAGCTGCAGGGTTGGCTGCCAGCTATGTTGGCGCCAATGCTTCCTGATGCTGACAGCTGTCAAGCGACCTCCCAAGACGACCGAGGGACATGGCCCAAGAGACACTATTCTGCAAATCATGACGCATGAGCAGTGGCGACACTCAGGAATCCATGATTCATGGGTTGTCCTCTCTGTACTAGATCGACGAACGGACTGCTTACTACGTACTTGTCTGTAGTAGTGACTATCCATACTTATCCAAGTACCCAGTACTCCATACAAACACAACCACTGCGCGACTACCAAGCACAAAAAAGGAGTTTCCTACACCTGACATTTTCAGGAACCGACAGGATGCAATCTCCGCGTCCGCATATAGACTCTGCCCCCTTGGACGTTTTGGGATCAACCCCCGAACAGTCATCGCGAAGTTTCTGCAAGAGTACGGATACAGACAGTGGACGACAATCCCGCTTCTTGGCAGTCCAGAAACGTAACGTCCAGAATTTTGGAAGATTCGGTTTTGTTCGCTTGGGCCTTGCGGATCTTCGATTATTCGGCGTACTCCGCGGAGTACGGAGTACACCATCGACATTGTCAGAGAGCGGTTTCGAAGCATCCAGGCTTGTCTTTGATGCCAGGTGGTTATGAAAACAATGCCCTTAATGCCCCGAATATGACATCTGTTTTAGTATCGTTCGAAGCAAGATGCTCTGTATGCTTGTAGGACATCTTCTACAGGATACTGTACTGTGAGGACTGTACTATCATACACCAGAAAATAAGCTCCAAGACAATTTGTAGATCCCAATAGCGCCTATTCATCCGATGTGCGCACAAGTGCATAACAATGCACTTGTCGGATCCGGGGCAATGGAAAAAGTACATCCGAACGATCGACAGTATCCGAAAGTCATCACATCACAATGTCCGACCCCCAAACCCGGGCCGAAACTATTATTTGAAGTTGGGGCTTGTATGTTGCTCTACTTTTGAGAAGACGCTTGTACGTCTGCTAATGCAGAGATGCCTATTCACATTGTACTACCGCATATAAAACACCTGTTCCCCGGATACTGTTTCACCAGTTCGCCTTCTTGCTTGGCATCTCCGCATCAGTCGGCTAGCGCCGCGGCGCCGGTTACAGCGATGGGACTCGGCCGTAGCATTCTATATACGGAGTAGAGAGACATTGTCACGGCACAAGCCAACGCAAGTCCTTGGGGCCGTAGTTGGCTAAGTTGGGCTAGAATAGTCGGCCATCTTGACATATGAGGTTTGGGACAGCCGGTCATTTCGATCAAGATGGGGGGGGCTATGCTGCAGTGGTTGATATAGGGAGAATGAGAAGGTAGGATTCTTCTTGATACAGACGGAATTGACTATACAGTGCGCTATGTAAGCCTAGAGCTTTATCCGTAAGAGTGCATGAGTCTACAGAGACTAGCGCCATGTAGAATTGCTGCATCATGTCACCCAACTGCCAGGTAGGTTCCTGATTTTAAAAAACTAGCAAGTATCACGAATCAGATCAGTAGAACGCAATCTCGTTTTTATGGTTTCAACAACGCCAGGTCTGAGCAATTTGAGAAATAGTGGCACAGATGGAAGAGGCAGTGCTTGAAAATATGAGACTGTTCATGTAGCATCCCTAACAAAGTGATGTGAAAATGATAATGGCCTAGACGCTCGATTCTGTGACCATCCGTTCATTTGGAGGTCTTTGGGGTGTGCGAGTCAACGAAACCGTCTTCGTAAAGCCTAACTCCGACGAACTCGTCGACATTGGGCAAAATGTGACCAGCAGCCAGAACGATTAACTTGCCTAGTCCATTCAGTAAATTTGGACCCAGTGTTCCTCGCTTTATACCGAGGGCATCTTCTAGCTAAGCGCTGCATTCAATAACAGGACTTGCGCTCCAGCGTACCGTCATGGCGGGGGGTTTTCATATTGATTAGCCAAGGGATGGCCCGGGTGTCCTGAGATGTTAACTCACTTGGTATGGCAGCCGTAGGATTGGGGTGAAGAGAGATAGCGTTTATCGCGTTTTACCGCGTTAGGACTGGTTTCAACTTCTTCAGTTAGCATAGTAAAGCATGACGAAGATGTCAAAGAGAACATGCAACGCTTCCAACAGACCAGTTTCCAACTTCAAGGTCCCATTTTGCAGGTAGGGGCATTTGAGAAATATATCCGTGCTATAGTCCGCTTCTGCCCTCCGGGAAACCCACACGAACCCTGATAGGCATGAATACCCCGACTCTTTGGCCCAAATGAAGCTTTCGGAATCCCCAGGCACAGTAAACCCCCCCATCAACCAATATACACATCCGTACCACCCATAATTTTCCTCGTCAGACAAGCAAATGGCATTGTCTTCATACTTTGACCCCTTTTTCCATTTATTTATTTATTTTTTTTTTTTTTTTTTTTTTTATAACGGGCAACCGTCGTTGGTTCTTTCCTTTTGTTGGTTTAGGTTTGGAGTTTTGTCTTGAAGCCTTTAAGATGCCTAGTCCCACAAACTTGTCTGTTCCAAGCCGTATAAGCTGACACTGACCATATAATCCGTCTGGTAGGATGTGATTTGCTGTTAATGCCACCGAGTCGCCATTTTCGTTTTCTAGGTTCGGGCCAAGGGTTCCAACCCATCATCTTGGTTCATCCTGGGGCCGAGGATCTTGTTTATAAAGAGACCTTTCATTGGATCTGACGGTGCATAATCTTTGGATATCTGATTTGGGTAGAGAAAACGCGAGGTGATCTGGGTCTAGAGTCCCTCGCTTAGGGCACCAATAGTAAGTAGCGTCATGATGTTGACGTTAGCTAAATTATGATAGCATTAGATAGCACATAGTACACATAGGCTTAACTAACCTACCAAAATTTTTCTAAGCCTTATTTCAATTACGTCAGGATCAAATTTACTTGCTTCGTCGAGCAATATGATCGGGTTCTCGTATATTTCATGGGAGTCCTACTTCATGCAGACCATATACGCTATTGATTATTCAAACCCAGTCAAGTGAGACTGGCTTTATATGGAAGGTCATGGCTTTAGGGCAGTGAATTGACAACAACGGCTGTTGGCGTTCACAGACAATCCAACGGCTCCGCCGTGGGATAATAGAATCCCGAAAATGCGTTGGAGAAAGGCATGTCTCTGAATGTGTAGAAAGCGAAGCACAATTCTTTTTGAGCAGCAGCGGCAGCACGACAGTAATGGTAGGTATAGTGGGAAGGGTAGAAACTCGGGGAGAATAGTTGGGATTGTGAAAGCAACCCAAGATCTTCTCATGAGAAGTAGGTATGACGCTGGCTCTAGACCCTATTAGGATGTCTTATTCACTGGCCTGCTGGCAAGAGCTTGGTCGATTAACGTTGCCATACTCCATTGTTTGTGTCTACAGACTATGGATTAGTATTATGCGAGCTCAGTATTCATTGAGTGCTATTGTAATGGCTATATGTTCTAGCATAATCACTTCGCTGTCTGCTGCTGCTTCAGATCTGCTTGCTCCTGACTGTGCAACAAGCCCATCAGAAGTTTAGGCGCATCAAGTTTCGGCAAGAAAACCTCCACCATCCGGATCCCCTTCGCATTCCACATACTCTCATCGGCAATGACCTTCTCTAAATCACCCCATGTTCGAATCTCGGTTGTTTGCGCGGCGTACTCGCCATCCTCCGCCGCACCGAAAAATGCCGGCGCCTTGAGGTACCGCCATTGAGTGATATCGTTATACTCCGCGTTTCGTCCATGGATGCATCGCTCGATTGTGTATCCTTCGTTGTTGATTAGGAAGACGACCACGTCCAGTTTGTGGTGAATGATAGTGCTGAGTTCCTGTGCTGTTAGTTGGAAGCTGCCGTCTCCGATGAGCAGAACCGTGCGAGCACGTGGTAGATTGTGATACTCGGACCGGGTGATGAGGTCTCTCTGTGCGATGCTGGTACCGAGGGCCGCGGGGAGCATGTATCCGATGGATAACCAGGTAACCGGTCTGAAGAGGCGCGTGTGCTGGGGGAGGGCAAACTCGTTCGCACCGTAACCGGCCGTACCAGTTTCTGCGAGAATGATATCACCTTCTCGGAGAAACGGGGATAGTCTCTGCCAGAATCCACCCGTCTGTGTAACCGGGTCTGACCTTGTCACTGGGGAAAGGGTGCTGGTAGGGATGATTTCAGGTGTATGCTTGGGGAACTTTGAAGCATCGAGCTTCGCGATAAGCCGTTGTATGAACTGTTTTGATGGGATGTCGTGAAAGGCGGCCTTGTTGATCTTGATCGCGGTTTCTGTAAAATCTATTGTAACCTCCTTTTTTGGAAGCGTAAGGTTCTGGTGGCTATTCGTCGAGCTGTAGTGAGGTCCAAAGGAGAGTACCAAGTCGCAAGAGTCGACAAACTTCTTGTGATCTGGCGAATACACTCCATGGACATTCGGCAGAGCTTCGCTGACCAGACTCTTTCCGAATCCAGAAGTAAACGTTGGCCATTCGGTCTTCTTGACAATTTGATCGATCTCATCCAAAATGTCAAGCACTCTGCTCTCGCCATCGACGAGTATCATAGGCTTCTTGCTGCTGTAAATTCGGTCCAGGACGAGTCGTAACGCCTCCTCTTCGACCTGTGGCTGGCTGACTGGAGGAGGGATGGCGATCTTGGTATCAAGCCCTGCTGCAGGCACCCGCACTCCAACCATGTCATGCGGAATTGCAATCCGAACCGGCCTGCTGTGGACTAAGCACTGTTGTAGAACATAATCGATTTCCGCCGGTGCCGTCCGGTAGTCTTTGATAATGACTTGCGCCACTGTGATGTGTTCCTGCATCTGGTCAAATCTACCAAAATCGCCATCAGCAAATGTGTGATGGACGAGAGCTCGCGATTCCTGCAACTGTCGTGGTGGCGTTCCAACTATGTGAACAACGGGAGCTCGTTCCGCATATGCACCCGCAATGGCGTTAATAGCCGAGAGCTCCCCGACACCAAATGTGGTGACGAGAGCACCGATTCCTGGGCCAGATGATCAGTTAACGTCTTTTGAGTGATGACTGGAATGGAACATACCCTTAATCCGCGCATATCCATCAGCAGCATATCCTGCATTCAACTCGTTGCAGTTCCCGATCCATTTCAATCCCGAGGGGGCTATATAATCCAGCAGCTTAAGATTGAAATCTCCCGGCAGGCCAAAGATGGAATCAGCGCCGAGCTGGAGGAGTCGAGTGAACAGATACTCGGAGAGTGTGGTGGACTTTTCGCTAGCCATGTTGAAGTTGAAGTTTGAGGGCAGAATTGCGGTTGACGGCGGCTTTATTGATCATTACCCCTCAAGATTATGTTAGGCATAGGGCGTGCGGGGTTATCTTCCGCTTCTTGCGGTTCGGCACTAACTTCCAATACTAGAGTATCCTTTGAGAGCGAGTCAACTTGGTGAGAAAGTGCACTGTTGTGTTCTTGATATTCCGATAACATCAATGAATCTACAAGTGACGTCCTAGTTGCCTAAAACGGAAACTAGAAAGAGATCACATGTCATGCCCCATGATAGGCTCATAAAAGCGGGAATATAAAGTCACGTGGTACTATCACGACTTCTCGTCTTTGTTTATTCCTCTATCAACTTGTCGAGGTTGGTTGTGTGTGCTGATTAGTCTCATCCTCTCTTCTTCTTGAATTTTCCGGCAAATTTGGGCTGGATTTCCAGAAAGCATACCCTTAAACCGGCTATTCCGCAGGAGTTACAGCATGATTATCTGCCGTATCTTTACTTTGCTTTCTGGAAGGCCTCCTTATTACTACTAACGAAACATAGAATCTCTGCATTCTTGAGTCATGCACAACTCGGGAAAAATCCCCGATAGCCGAAGATGGCCGGATACTTGCCAAGACAAGATACCATGTATCATGAGGTACTCGTATCTGAATGATACTGCTATTTTTAGCTGCTGCGCTGTTCGGTTTCGTGGATTTTCCAAGAATGCAGGTTTTTCAGGTCTCCCGAGGGAGCGTTCTGATTGCTCGTGTTCTACCAAAGTCTTTGCTGCAGTTGGGCTGGCTGTATGCCTGTCTCACAGCATCTGCCCGTGTCAACTGCAGTGTCACCGTTGCCACCACGAGTCAACACCAACCTTGTATGATTTGAATAATTCAACTAATGAAGCTTCGTCCAGGGTCTTTTCGTTTCTGTTTCCTGGTGGGTCGTGTTAGATCGGATGAAATGGTCTTGGAAAAGACCATTTCCCCGCATCGGATGCTACTAACATCATCTTGAATAGCCCGTACTATGGCCGAAGAGGCATCGCGTGGTGTGTGTCTCACTCTCCACAGCAATTCCCAGCATTCCAATTGCTCCGGTTTCAGGGACAGCTGTTCGAAGACTCCATTAATTGGGCTGGAATGGGATGATGATTCCCTTGCCTGAAGCTGCAGGATCAATTGCACATATGAAATGCTATTCAGGGCAACAGCTACATACTATCGGGCCTATACGTGGTATCACCGTCTGATACGACGGGAGTCCCGGATAATGGACGAAAAATAATAGAAATCAGGTGCGAGGGAGCGTCGGGTCGTAGGACGGCTATATAAATTCTCGATGATCGCCCAAAATCCCAGTCCCAGCATCCATCAACCTCAATACTTTTCTCCTCTCAAGAACAAAGAACCTAATCTACAATCAAAATGAAGACCACCATGTTCTCCTCCCTCCTCACCATCCTCAGCCTCTCCTCCACCGCCCTCGCAATGCCTTTCGCATCACCCCAAGCAGCAGCATCCCAAACCATCTCCGTCTCCTACGACGAGCGATACGACCAGGGCACCTCCTCCCTAACCACCGTCTCCTGCTCTGATGGCACCAACGGCCTAATCACGCAGGGCTACTCGGACTTCGAATCCCTCCCCAACTTCCCCCTAATCGGAGGCGCGCCCACCGTCGAGGGCTGGAACAGCCCCAACTGTGGTAAATGCTATCAATTGCACTACCAGAACGGGAAGGTTGATAAAACGATTAATGTGCTCGCGGTGGATTCTGCGGTCGGATCGTTTAATTTGGGATTGCAGGCTTTGGATCAGTTGACGGGTGGGAATGCGCAGCAGTTGGGGAGGGTTGATGCGACGTATACGGAGGTTGAGGCGTCGCAGTGTGGTGTTTAGATGAGCTGGGTTGAGTTGTTCTGGCATGATTTTGACTTGGTTATGAGTTAATGTGCGATGGATTGGAATGTGTACTTCAATTTGTATCATGAAATTGTTTCCTTGCTTTGTATACGAGATTGGCACTTTTAGTGATTTAATTTATACATATCTCTAAACGACCATCATACAACATACAACACATTGAGTATATACGACACAAGTCTCACGAAACAACCTCCAACATCTCCTCGACACGACCAAACTTCTCCCTCAGCTTCCCTTTCTCCTTCCCCATTTTCCGTTCCACAGCATCAATCATCTCCCAGTCACTCCAGCTCGTCGTCTGCAACCCCCGTTCTCTAGCTTCCGCCTGCACCCCCTCCCAGCCCAATCCAGTGCTCCGACCCGGCGAGTTCAGTAGTGCATGCTGGCGCTGACTACCCATATCAGCCACGATGGTATCAGCAGTACTAAACGCATCCGTCATCGTAGTCGCAATAACCCCCGTCGGACCACGCTTCACCCACCCCGCGCAATAAAGCCCTGGAAGATGCGAGAGGAGCGAGCCATCCGGAAGACGCTGCGTATCGCCCGTGTCCTTGGGCGTTGTTATCCGCCCGAATCCATCGTTCGGTATTACGCCGCGCTGCTCATCGAATTGAACGCCTAGGTCCTCCTCCAGCCCGGGCAACGGCAGCGATTTGTAGCCAACGCTGCGGAAGAATGTGTTTGCGGGGATGTTGACCTGTGCGCGGTTGCCACTGGAGAGGTACTTGGGTGATACTTTTGCGCTTGAGGAGTGCGGGTCTGAGGGGTCGAGTACGTTGCGGGAGAATTTGACGTGCGAGAGGCGGTAGGGGTAGATGGGCGACCAGTTTAGGCATTCGGGGGAGAGAAGGAAGTCCAGGGACCAGGATTTGGAGGATGTTGAGGGGTCGTTGGTTGAGCCTTTTTCGAGGAGTTGAATGAGGCGTTTTTGGGCGCGTGGGAGGGATGAGATGATGTTGTTTGAGGGGAAGAGGTCTTTCGGGACCGGGTCGAAGGAGACGGATGGAAGTTGAAGGAGTTCGCGAAGTTCCTTGATTGTGAAGGATGCCTGTATTTTGAAATCAGTGAGCCTGTGCAGGGAAAGATCGTCGTGCATGCAGACTCACCTGCATCGGCCCTCGACGGCCAACCACGCGCACTCGTTTAATCTTGCTTTTCAGTAATTCCTCCACTGCATATTCGGCAATGTCGGTCTTGCGTAATTCATTAATATCCGAAAGCAATATGCGTGCGACATCCAATGCCACATTTCCTTGTCCAATGATCACAGCGTCCTCCCCAGCGGTCAGATCTGGTGCTAGATCACGGTGTTCCGGAAGGCCGTTGTACCATCCCACGAATTCACGGGCCGAGTATACATTTCGAATGGCCTTTTCGCCTGGGATCCCTAGCTCTTTGTCCTTTGGTGCTCCGTAGGAGAACAGAATGGCATCGTAGTGGGGTTTCAAAACTCGGAGGGGAAGACTCTCTCCCAATTCGATATTGCCGATGAAGTTGAAACGGGGAGATCCGGCTACTTCTGTGAACTTTTCCTCGCAGTTCTATGGCTAGTTAGTACGGTTTGTCTAAGATCGCATTGCCCACCAATAACCCCGGATGTGACGCACCTTGACCTCCGGGTGGTCTGGAGCTACACCGTACCGCGCCAACCCGAACGGCACCGGTAGCTTCTCATACATATCCACCACCGCATCTTCAGCTTTAGCTAGCAATCGATGCGCCGCATAGAAACCCGCCGGACCCGAACCCACAATGGCAATGCGAAACGGGCGAGCAGTCTGGACGCTGTAATGCCGGCGGAGTGGTGTCAAGCGTGATAGTTGACTCTGAGGGCGACGAGGCGAGACCCGGGCGACTTGCGCCGTGCAAGAGTCGCACACATATGGCAAACGATTCATTGTGCTTTTTGTCTTAACACCTAGAAATAAAGCGTCATAGTGTAAAAAGCCGTTCATCGGAGGTGACCCCACGTGATTGCTATCGCTGGTTGCCGGGTCGATTATCGGGATGTTGATCGGTTACTCGAAGCGGCTCTGTTGCCCTGCTTTTGATTGGCGCCTCGCGCATCTCAGCTGGTTCTCTTCACCACTACTACTGTCCACTCTCATTCTTCCATTCCCACATTCCAGTCTCTTCCATTCCATGGTTCTGCTCTCCTGTCATCTCCATACCTGATCTTATCTGTCAAAGTTCGGCATTCCGATCGTTTCTGCTGGCTCGCGTGGATGCTGCGATAAGCTCCATTCCATCGCGATCATGGGCAGATCGTTCGCTTCGCTCTTTTTTAGCCGTCCTGCTGCCCAGGGCTTTGTTGGCCCTACCGACCGTCCTTTGATCCCGAATGATGTACCGGAAACTAGCTGGGCCAGAGGAGGTTCGATAAAGTCCAAGCCGAGTCGCCCGTTGATTAATTTGAACGCACCTACCAACAATGTAGGTTCCCTCGTGGTCGCGGAGAGTTGTCATCGTGGCTCGTGCAGATTGGCTGACTATTGACGCGATGCAGGCGTACCCTAATGTTCCTCGTGCGAGATCCCAATGGGCCCCTATGAGCCCCAAGACGAAGGGCTGGGTGTTTAATGGGCGTCGTATTCAACTAGGTTTGCGCGTGCTAGCTCTGCTCGGCGCGACTGGGGCTCTGTTTTGTGCTATTATTATTACAAACCTTCCAGCAAGCATTGTCTGGATCATCCGTGCCGGGGTAAGTGCGTGAGTCTATGGCTTTACATGACAAGTGTTAATTGGCATCCGTACAGCCCGCGGTAGCAATCCTTCACACCCTCTACGGTATTTACCACCTTTCCCGTTCACCCATCGGAAAGCCACCTGGAACCCAGGCCAATTACAACGTGTTCGCCTCAACGATCGACTTTGGCCTCGTGCCGTTCTATGTTTTTGGGGCATACATTTCGTACATCGAGTATGCCAATGTTGCATACAATTGGGGAACTTTGTTGGGCGACACCAATGGCATACCGCACCTGATTGCCAACGTCAACTTTATCATTAGTGTTGCCAGCGGGGCGTTGCATGCCGTCTCGTTTGGGATCTCCATGTTTCTGGCTATCGTCTTCCGTCGGATTACGCGACTTCCACCGGATATGAACCCCTTGGAGGATAACCTGACTGCCCGACCTCATAAACGAACCAAGTCTGAGATCGCCGAAAAGCATCTCAGCCAGTCGACTGTGGATTCGGGTATTGGAATGGATGATCCGCTCATCGGCTCTCCTCGTAATATGCCATTCTCGATGCACAGCCGACACCCATCTTCTGGCAATGGGTTAAATGAGTTCATCTTCAATACAAACTACAACCGACTGTCACAAGGACCTTTTATGCACCCGGACGAGTTGCCCTATGCTGACCCTACCCCTAAGCCTTTGCAATTCCAGCCAAGGCCCCAGCAAGGCAATGTCATTCCCAGGAAACCGGTGCAAATCTCCCAGATGCCAACGCAGGACCTTGACAACCTTTCGAACCGACCGACCCCACCTATGCATCTCAATGTTCCTAACCAGGGCCCTTACCCGGCTAGCATCTCGGATAGATCGAAAACCGTGAGTCCCATGTCGGACAACTGGATCGCGTACCCGTCACGCTCCCCATCACCGTTGGACAACCTTCAGGTACCCCAGTCAGAGAACACCAAGAACGAAAACATGGCTCATCGTGACATATCATCTATGTACAGTCGTTCCAACACCACAGCCTCTACCGACAGTGCCCCCAACTGGGTTAGCGCTCAGGGGTATGGATGGAACATTGATGAGGCTATCAGGGAAGACGTTCATGGAGAGTATGAATCACTCGCCATGCATGAGCACTACGGCAATGATGACGAACATTTGGATGATTACCCTCAAGAAAATGGATTGTACGATGACGTTGAACGGGACTTGGGAGATGAGCCAATTAACATCTACCCCGATGACCACCTGAGCGATGAGGACTATGACATGAAGGACGAACTTGAGGATCCAGCTACTTCACAGCTGCTCAATCCTTTGGCATTGAACCCACCCACCCCGCTGACTTCTCGCAACAACCTACACGAAGATACCACGTCTAAACCTCCCAATGGCCGCCACGCTCTCACCGACGTTCCTAACCTGTCACCAGCAGCCATCCTACGCTCCAACTCCCCTCCTCCAGGCGAAAGTCCCGAGAAAAAGACTGGCCGCTACTACGGCGAACTGGAAAGCAACCCGAACGTCTCCGTCCGAGGTGACCGCGATGTTAGTGAGCAGAACGCACCGTTGAGGAAGAAGAGTAAGCTTCAAAAGAAAAACAGCAAGTCCAGGAAAATGAATTCCTACAACACACTCCGTCAGGACGACCACGTTAGCGACGACGATATTGACAACGAAGGGACTCCCGCTATTCCTAAGAGCACGGACGAAAACGATCGCAAGGGTCGTGTGGTTAGCAACTCCGGCGCGGACATCCTCGGTCCACGCAGTAACCCAGGAGCTTCTTCAGCCGGCCTGTCGTCATACGGGAACTATATCGCTGGCCTGGGAATTGGAGTCGGTCGTCGCCGCGATGTCAGCGGAAAGATAGCTGAGGAAGGTAGAAGCGGCACAATGGTTAATGCTGGACGTCCGGGAACTGAGCCCGAGCATAAAAAACCGATTCGTGCGGCTGGTTGGGCAAAGTTTGCTGGACTGTGATGATTGATTTTTATATTCCCTTCTTGTTACGTTGACTTGGATATTTTTTACCCTTCTTACTTATGATGGAACATGTAGCGATGATTTCTTTCTGTTTTAGATACTCCCCATCTTGTTTGTCTGTGTAGAATAATAACTTAGGTAGTTTGATCCTTGGAAAATATTGAATGATCATTTTTATTTCGATATTGTAATCTTACTCTTGGAGACCGTCGCCAGAATTTCTAGGCTATTATGTTTCTCTTCTCTGTTAGCATATCGGTGTTATATAGGATCAAGTGTCTCGCTACTACTCGAGTTTTTCAATGACATTCAACCTTTCTGGGCAAAATGAGTATTTGTAGTGTATATTCATAGAATGCAATGCACCAAGTATAGAGAGCGTGTGCTTTTGGCTCGGCAGCAAACTAAGATAACTATAAGACTTTTTAAAAGTAGCACCAGTGTGCTATATTCAAGCCCTTTCTACGCAAGTGGAAGATTTGCTGTTAATATCTGCAGTCAAAAACATGGCTGGATTCTTCTTCCCTCTGCCACAGACTGTTAGACAGCGCAGTGAGGAGCAAAAGGATATGGTATTTGTTGGGGGCATTGGATCAGCCTTGACGAGCTCAAATGGCAATTGACTGAACATCATTGTCTGGAAAGAGAGATATATGAAATTGGGCTACTAGAAATGCTATGTATAAGATGAGCGAATGATATTCCTTATATACATATCCAGGAGTCGGGCCTCCGGAAAGCAGCTGGTATCACCATAATAAATTAGTATATATATTTGACATTCCACGTAGTGAGTAATGATTCGAAATGATGGTCCTAAACGTAACACCTCTATGGCATTGCCGATTTTCTGGTACACACTGCTACCTGCCTGTGCTCTTCTAACCACTGACAGCAACAGCCTGTCCGGAGAGTTTCCCTGGTTTCATGCACAGAGCAGCGATGAACATGACGCCCGAAAAGTGACTTACTGACTGTACATTTATGTCATGCTAGCGTGGTTCAATTCTACTATTAAGATGGGACACCCTCATACTCCCAGCCTTCAATAACTCTCTTCCGTCGTCGCGAGTTCCGCCGATTGGCATTACATTTGACGAACAGCGTCAGCGCAGCAACAACACAAATGACAATCCCCCAAATTGTAGCAACCAGAACCGTCCGCTTCTCTAACTGCTGCGGATCCGACGCGTACGGACAATTAGCATCAGGGCCACCGCTAACCCAACAAGATGCGATGTCCAACGAGTTGAAGTCTAGCCAGACTTGACGCATGCTGTCTTTGGAGGAAACGTCCAGGGTACCGTTCGACCCTAATTGTGAGGAAAGAAGATAACGGTAGAGGTAGGTATTTTCGAGCCCCGTGCGCGGGAGAGAGAACGTGGTGTTTTCGGGGCAAGCGCGTTCAGCATTTCCGTAAGATGTCTTCTTCGTGGACAGTTTCCAAGTGAATGGGAGGTTGCCGACGCGGCAAGCTGCATAGCGGTCTTCACCGCAGCCGATGGCTGCCCAGTGACCGTTGGTTGATAGGTCAAATACTGCGCATCGTTCCTTGGGGTCACCATCTTGATCATCTATGGAATCTTGCGGTTGTCCGGCGGACCAGGCCCAGGAAGCAGATAGTGATATATTTCTGTATGTTTCAACGTCGTTGTCCGCTGTGGCATTGAGGAGGGTATCGTTGAGGTTGGGTGATAGGCCACAAGCTGTTAGGTTTGTGACTATACTTGACAATTGTCCCAATGTCACTGAGCTGTTTGTCGAAGGAACTGGGATCCGAGTCGACACTGCCCATGACGAATTAACCTGAGAGACCAAATAAGCGTCAGAGTCGTAGAGGCATCCCGTGTCCAGACTGCCGTCAACCGCTGAAGAGACATCCACGAAATCGGTCAAATAAGACGGAGGAAACAACACGCTGTCGCTACCCAGGTTATAACCCTTGATTTGCGGGTCGATATCCCCATATCCAAAAAGGATCCTTCGTTCTCTTGCAAGCTGCACGTACTTGGAGCATGGCCAACCATCTGGGGTGCTCTGCCTACCCTTTGCATCTTCATAAATCGTGAAATACTCCGTTATAGGCTCGTAACCATCGGTCACCCGGTACCATGAGTTATTCAAATTGCTCCGCTCTTCCGCAAGTTGCGATGGATTATAGATATATTCGCCTAAGCTGTCTTCGAGTAGATTTCCAAGGCGTTCATTGTTACTCGGCAATTGCGCACCAGATACTGCTGGAGCCGGCTCATTCGGCGCGGATGCACTGGCAGCCGCATGAAGACTGAATATGACAAACGAAAGGTACACATTCAGCTGGGATGTGTTATTTTCAAAGTAGCCACGCAGTATATCAATCATGCCAGAGACACCAAGATCTTCAGAGCACTGATACGAGCCCAGTTGGTATAGTTGCGACCCGGCTGAGCTATTCACAGTGGTTATGGAGCTATCTGTCGCTGCGTTTGCAGGGACAGACACCGGGCAGAATGACCATGATCGTCGCTCAGCGGACCAATAAAGATCGACCAGTAGCCGACGATACCCTACTGCTAATAAATTTGATATACATTTCGCAGTGGAAGTCTCATCGAATACGTTGTCCGCGAAACATGCTGCCCTTAGCGACACGGCCGGGTGCGTCACGAAGTTGATGGGGATTTGACCAGCCGCATCTCTCTCGCTCTACATGGAAGCAAAGTCAATACCAGATTACTGTGCAAGGGAGAGCAGAGAGACTTGCCAGCAACGTAGCCACCCATGTAGCGTTTACAAGGGAGCTATCAGGGTCATACCTCAGGGTCATGGACAGAGTCTTAGAGATAGGGGCTATGGGGCGCAGTCAAGCAACATCGCAGATATCGTCCAATCTGCCAATCACCGTGCCATAGGGAGCATATAATAATAGTAACCGCAACAGTAATAACAATATGGGGATAATCCGGCAGTGCGATGAAGAGAAGTCGTCAATTCAGCCTGACGAACAAGGCGGAGCAGCGCCTTTACCCCATTCGAAGCAGAAGACAAACAAAGCAAACACCATCTGGCCACTTCTCCGTCCATCGCTGAGATCGACCCGAGTCTTTAATTAGTACCAATACGTCTTCCCTTCCACACGTCCCGAGTTCTCTCCCACCACCAAAACCTCTCCAGATTAGGCCCGTCCTAAATCATCTTTCCACCATGGCCACTCCTGGCGGCCCATCCCCCCAGCAAATCGCTGCCATGCAGCAGCAGTTCGCCGCCGAAGCCGCTAAACGAGGACTGACCCCCGAGCAGTTCGCCCAGCAACAGCGCGAGCAACTGGCCGGAGAGGCACAAAAGCATGGCCTTACCACGGAACAGTATCTCGCGCAGCTCAGAGCGCGCGCTATCGCCGCCCACCAGAAGCAGTTGGAGCTGCAGCAACAGGGTCAACCGTCGACACGGCCTCCGACGCAGCAGCCGGGTCAGCAGCAGACTACTACGCAGGTACCGGTGAACCCTAATAACCCGCCGGATCCGAAGGCTGTTGCTGTTGCACAGTTTCTGCGGTCGCAGAATCTTAAGCCTAGGACGTGTATTATGGATGGGCAGCGGAAAGATATGTTCAAAGGTATATCGGCCCTGATGAGGGGACAAAGAAAACAGTTGGATACTAACTGAGGTAAAGTGAAACGTGCAATTCGCGCGATTGAATCCCCCGCCTACGCCAAAGCCGCCGCAAAGAAGAACTCCCTCCTCCCCCCTGTGACAGACCGCGCCTCCGCAGAGAACGTTTTCAAGCTCCTCCCGCTCTCGCTCCTCGCTCTCCGAGTCTCCAAGGTCGACCCGCACGCGGGCCACAACCACGCGAAGCCCAAGAACCGAGTGAAGGGACTTTGGACCGTGAAAATCGAACAGCACCAAGAAACCGATTCGATGATGCACTACGTCTGGCTCTATGAAGGGCCGCAATGGAAGCAGAAGGCTATGGCCGCGGCCGTTGTGGCTGGTATTTTCGCTGTGGTTCTTTTCCCGCTGTGGCCTATGATGTTGCGACAGGGAGTGTGGTATCTGAGTGTGGGCATGATGGGCTTGCTGGGATTGTTCTTCGCCATGTCGATCTTCCGTCTGATTCTGTTCTGCATCACGGTGTTTGCGGTACCGCCTGGTCTGTGGCTCTTCCCGAACTTGTTCGAGGACGTTGGGTTCTTTGACAGTTTCAAGCCTTTGTGGGGATGGCAAGAGGTAGGCTGATTTTCTCTTGTGCGTTGTGACCCATGCTAATCTATATCCCAGACCAAGAAAAAGAAGTCCAAGAAATCCGTCAAAGGCGAAGCGCCCCAAACAGCCACCAACGAGACAACATCGGCCACGACTACCGCGACACCAGCCGCGGATACTTCAGGTACCGTGAAGCGCGATCTAGCTCCGAAGGTGGAAGAGGCGGATGAGTGATTGCGCTTTATCCTTCTTTTCTTTTCCGTGTTTTATCGCTTTCTTCATTTCCCACGCTAAACAGCGACTCGTTATCGGATACCGTTTGCATCTTTTCTTCGTTTCTGGCATGACTGGGTCGCTTATCGGGTTTTGTATGTTACGTTATATTCTTCAAGTTCAATGTGATCTAGGGTTAGAATGGTCAAAATTTAATGTAGACAAATACTCCACCTCTCGGCATCTAAAGTGATGGTATTGTTACCATGGTACAAGACGAGCGAAATGCAAACTCGAACAAGAACACGAATCCACCCAAAGAATCTTTTTCTCAAAAATCCAGGTATATACATACATCCAGCATGTCATGAAATGAATATAATACAATACACTCGATCAGTCACTCAATGAATCAATAAATATATCCATCCTCCAGAGAAGTCATATAAGACATAGAAAAGAAAAGACAATCAATGCATCGCTGTAGAAGGTATATAGTATGAAAATGAAAAATCCAGCCAGTCCGTGTATCAAGTCGTGGACTTCGAAATGCTTCAAGAATGAGAAAACAAGCCAGTAAATAATTAGAACCCTTATACATAAAAGGAAAATATAATGAAGAATTTGAAGGAGGGTATATGTTAAATATGATATGATAGCCCAAAGCCAAAAGGAACGACAAGAGGAAAGCGAAGGAATGTTGACACTACCTTGCCGACGAAGAGATACTCCTCATGCCCAATGAAAACCGCGACGAGTGCGAATGCGAATGCCCCACTACCCCGACAGAACTCTTCCTCTCCTTGATCTTCCTCAGTCCATGCCCGTTTACCGGCGGCGGACTCTTGCATGACCGCGGCGACATCGGAAGCGCCGTGTCCGCAGCAGAGGGGTCAATGGGGACCGGTGAGGGGATCTTGGGGAGGGGACAGTTTGGTGGTGGGACTGAGGGGGGTCCGACTGCGAGTCCGGGCATGGATTTTCGGCGCGAAACGTTGGGCATGGTGGAATAGGAGTGGGTGGCGTTTGTGGTGTTTGTTGGATAGAGGACGGAGGTGCGGCTCTTTTGGGGGTCACGGCGGGAGTGGGTGGAGTGGGTTGGTGGTAATTGCGAAGATTGGATGTCACCGTTTGAGAGGGCGTCGACGGAGGAGACGATGCTAATTGGTCTTGAGGGGCGTGGTGTGCTGTTGATTGTTGATATGCTGCCTCGTGGAGGGCGGGTTATGGCCGTTGATGGCTTGCGCTCATAGCTTTGTTGTGCTGTCGATTCGCATGTCACCAGTGAGTCCTGTGAGGGAGATACGCGCAATGGTCGCCTTTGGTTCATGCTGCTCTGGCGAGAGACTATTCCATGGGGATCATTTGGGTCATTGCGGCTCATGCTGGATAGACTGCGCACGGGAGATTGCGGGGGAGACGGGAACGATGCGATGGCATTAACGTCGAAGTCATCCTCGTTCTGGTCATCCGGTTGTTGAAGGGAAGCCAGTTGCAATGGAGGGATATTGTTCATTGCGGTCCTGGCTGCGAAGCGCTTACTGAAAGATGGAACGCTGAAGTTGGGCGCTGGCGGCGATACACTTCGAAAGGAAGGATCTGGTGCTGTCGATTGAGATCGAGGTAACTGTGAGACATCCGGTTGGAGAGGTTCCGCTGGCTGTGTGGATATGTATGCCATCGATCGTCGTTTCTTCGGGCTTGTCAGGACGGGACTCAGTGTGGCTTCACGCGGAGGAGGTGACGTGACATTTTCTGAATCATGATGGCGCATCGCAGGTGAACTAGTAGCATCCCGCGGGGGGATTGCCGTCGCCGTCGTAGTCGTTCCCGATGTCGTTGCCGTGACGGTGGTGGCAGCATAGAAACGCCCCGAGGCGATGTTTCCAGCAGCCTGGGGTGTTCCCACATCAGTCGCGGCCGTGGAGACCATCGAATGGCGGTTGCTATTGGACACATAGGAACTCCGACGGGAATCCCCCTCTGACTGGCTCTCATTCTGCGGTTGCAAGTACAGGTTCGAGAATCGATTAGGGTCTCGCTTCACCAATTGTCGCACGCTGGTTTTCGACCGGAGTTGCTGCTCCATCCCATCATCAAACACTCGTTCCGAAACATACTTTTTACCCCCACGAGCCTCGATCTGGGCTCGAACGGTAAGCAGCCAAGAGCTCAATTCGTCGGGATCGTTGAAGGTCAGAAGAAAACTTTGAGTCAATCTCCGTGTGTACGAGCGATGGAAACCCAATCGTGTCAGCAACGGACGAGGCACATCCGTAGGGGCAGGAGCTTCAGATCCATCTGGGCCTTGCGACACCTGTAAGACCCAATGCTTCCCTGGGATAGCGTCACTAGCAAATGCCACCGATTTGGGGCCTAGAAGGAGCATTTTCTCGGGTAGTCGGTCATATTTCCCATCCCCAGAGTATTGCAGAATATACCCTGAAGTAGTCACGACATAAACCTTCTGAGTCCACTCCGTTTTGCCAATTGTCTCCGAGAGTGACCGCAGATGCTTCCTCTCTTTGTCCTCCTTTTTCTTCCTAGCCGCAGCCTCTTCGCGTGTGTCTTCTTTTTGCTGTGACAAGGCGCCCACATTCTCATCCTCGCGCGACACACCGCCCTTGGAAGTAGCATGCGCACGTAAGATAGCGTCAGCTGACAGCGTCGGGGCCGGAAGGGTACTATGTTTGATAGCTTGCGGGTAGGCCTGGAACAATGGCGGTGGTTTCCACCCCAGATCTCGGCCCGGTGGTTTATCCTCCTCGCTTGGCTTCGGGGGCAGCGGTTTAGACGGGGGAAGCTTGTTTCGCGTAGGCAGCTCAGCTGCGGACGTGGGCGATGTGACAAGGGTAGGCGTCGAGACCGCGGTCTTGGGCGTGTTACAAATGTTTGGCGATAATGGCACGTCGGGTTGTATCGCTGTTATTGTGTGGTTATTGTTATTAAGATTAATCTTGGTGGTACTGGCATCGATGTTGGCATTGGTGCCCGTGGGATGCACCTCGTCAATCTCGGCGAGTTTGTGGTCATGGGCTGGCTTGCGTGCTGATTTGTCGCGGCCAAAGAGGCTGCGCAAGCTGGGCTTGGATGACTGGCGCTTTGGTGGATTCAAGGGAACCTTCTCCATGGCCTCACCATTGGCACTGACATATTCGTTTGGTCGAGGGCGGTTGGCCGGCGCAGGACGGGCTGTTGGACGACTGAAATTGGTCTGGCCGAAGTCGGTCCGCAGTGGTGCCAGTCGTTGGCCTCTGCGTTCGCTGACCGAAGGGTGAGGGGGTTGTATATTCAAGGCCATCTTATCTGATCCTCCACGTTCCAATACTGTTTGCTTGTATAGTGTGATTCTAGAACCCGGCGTCCACACACAATTGCAACTCAGATTCGAAAGGATTGTCAGATGAGAGGAAGGGTATTATATAAAACAAGAAATCGCAGGCGTCAAAATAAAAATAAAAAAGAACCAAAATAATAAAGGAGCGTATGCGCGAGAGAGCGGTGACTCGTAGTTGACCGGTGTTATTAAATCAAGTCATGCAGGATGAATGACTCTTCAGAATGAGACAAAGGTCATTCGATGACCCAGAAAAGACACGCGCCGCACAAACTCGACGACGACAAAAGCTGCCGAACCACTCGAGGTTCTGAATCGAACAAGGTGGAAAAGAGAGAATGGAAGCGCGGGAGAGCAAGACGACGGAGATTGAAGGGAGATCACTCCTGATAATCCCCAGAAGAACGCCTCGTTCGAGAGAGCCCACCTGAGGGGCGGAAATAGTAATTAAGAATGATAGGTAAATCTGGGATATTAATATTATAAAAAAACAGGCAATATAGATTCCCGAGCGAGAGACGACCTGCGTCAGCTGACAGACGGGGAACTGGCCACGAACGAATGGAAAATAATTTAAAAAGACAGAGAACGGAAGGTAAAAGAAGAGAACGTGCGGGAGAAAGAGAGCGAGAGAGAAGGAGAGCGAAAGACACGAGAAGAGAGAAAGGGAAAAAAGAGGAAAATGCGCGCACGAGGTGCTGATCGGGAGGCCGTTGAGTGCTCCGTTCGCTGTACTTTTTTGTCTTTGCTTTTATTCGAATTAATCTTGTTAGTGCTACCGAGTGGAGCGTGAGAAAATGCCGACTCGAGTCGAGAGCTGGTTCTGCGATGATCCGGACGACACGACGACAGGAGTCAAAAACATCAAGACACCCGGCAATTGTTCCTGGCGCAGAACTTTCTGCCTTCTTTTATTCTTTTCCTCTTTCGAGCAGCGATCCCGACATCCTGAAACTGTTCCTGAGGCAGACGAAACAATCGCGAACCCCTGAGTGGAGCAGACAAGGTTCGAGGTGCGGACGGTGCATACTCTGAGGACTTCTGGTAGAGCAAATACGGACGTGTTAAATAAGAGAGCGCCGTCCGGTTCGAGTCAGGAACCTGGCCGTGAACCGATGGATGGCATTGTTTGGGTCTGGAGTCAACATATGCTGCCTTTTCTCGCTTTGTCAATTTCCTGTGTCTATCAATCTGTCAATCAATCTGTCAGCACGAGGGATCATCGTTGCACGAGACGTATAACTCAGGGGTCATGTACTTGCCTTTTACCCCTTTTGTCCAGACAAAACTCCACGGCGATATGTATATCAAGACCGAAGTTCTTCAGCGAACGGGTAACCCGATATATTTCCGAGATATAATATTTCTCTAATGCTCCCGGACCAACTCGAAAATGGGATTTCAGCCCAGGTGGATGGCTGGAGTCGAGATTTGCTCCACGCTTTACCCACTGTGATGTGGACCAGGTCCATGTTCAGTACAAAGACCGAACAGGTAGGTTTCTCAAAAAGTTCTACCAAAAAAGAAACAAAATGTTTACATCAAACAACGAATTCCAATATATATATATATATCTCTCTCTCTCTCTCAATAGCACTTCTGCCCCTCGCCTTGTTTCACGGCGCCTATTAAATCTGCTCCGTTCTCGCAATGCTCTGCCAAGGTCACATCCTTCTGAGAGAGGCCCCGCGGATTATGCGTCGTCCAGTGTACATCGACCGAGCCGAACCTCTAATTAAAATACCATTATTGGTCAAAACGTGCATCCAGGGAGGCAATAATGGCAGGGAATACCAGGGAACACAAACCACGGTGATAGTCGGATGGTGTTTCTTGGCTGCACTCTCAGCCGCAATCACATTCACAAAACTCTAGTCATCGATCAGCTCTAGAAGAAAAGGAGAATGGAGAAAGAAAGGGAGGAAAAGGGAGAAAGCATACCACTGCCTTGAAGTATGCCTTAAAATAAAAGGTCTTGGTCACTCCCATTCCATCCTGGTCCAGCTGCCATCCACGTTGTCGTAGCGAGTTCAACCCTGCCGTTACCTGTGCTGTGTCTTCTCCTTCGGAAAATCGAATGGTAGACGGCTGACCGGTCGATGAAGCCATCCGGATTGGTGAATGCGTAGCAACGAAAGTTGAAGCAGTGGGAACGCGAAGAGGACAAGATCGCGTCGCAGTCCAGAACATGCGGGGAAGTGGCTGCACTGCCTGGATACGAGCAAACCGTGAAAGTTGAATGATACTACGCTGCATAATGCAGAGGCAATAATGTAATGCAGCTGCTCAATCCGTATGGACGAAATTCCGACTGTCATGGCTGCAGAAGAGGTCATCGGTCCGGATCATCTGGCGGTCCCGCCACGCAACTCTCCGTCTACTCCGTACAACTACACAGTACTTAGGTTATCCTTCGATGAGGACAAAATAAATAAGGGCAAAAAAAAAAAAAAAAAAAACATCAGTAGATTCAGCTTTTACTCGAAGGGCCGTCCCGAGCAAAGCGCCCGAACACCACCGCAGAATGTCGCCATTTCAAAAGTACATCTGCATCACAAATAGGAAAATAAAGCAAAAAAAGAAAAATTACCCAGTCATAATAATCAGAAGAGACGCTACCACTGGTCTAGCCAGTGGCTCAATTCGCTTCTCTTTCCGAACCAGTCAAAAGAGAAAAGAGGCATTGGGTATGCATATCGATCCAGGTCTCTGGTTCAATACTAAGCACCCACATGCAGCTTCCCATCGACCAGATCAGAGACAAAGAAAAGAAGATAGAAAGAAGAAACTAGCAATACATTGGGGTATGAAGTTTTAAAACAGTCCCTTTCCTCCACCCAAATGCACAAGATGATGTTCCTTTGAAAGGGTTCAAAAAAAAAAAAAAAAAAGAAAAGAAAAAAACAAGTACTTCAGGCCTCCATTGACACTCGTACTCTCGAGCGTCATCTGATGGTCGTTCAATCGTAATCGTGTCAAACAGCATGCCATAATGCAAGGATCTAACGTTCTGTAATTGAAGCTTTTTAAGACAGGGAGTTGCGACGAGAGGCAACACGGGAGTTGGCTTGGGAGGCAACGCGAGAGTTGGCTTGGGAGGGACCCCGTGATGCGATGTAACTGTTCTGGCGACTTCCCAAGGTCTGTCGGACGCGGAGGTTTTGTTGCGACCTCACAAACGAGTTGGCACGAGAATTGAGCTGGGAAACTCCCTGTCCCTGAGCCATGTGTTGATGCATCTCGGCACGGGCGTCCGACAGTTGTTGGGCGAATGGCGAGCGTTTACGAAGTTCTGGTCCATACCAGTAGACGACGTACACAGCAAGCACAAGAACAAAAGAAATACAGCCTAAGTAGTTGTCAGAAAAGATGGTCGAGGGCAAAAAATAGCAAAAGAAACTTACCAAGAATAGTAGACGCATATTCAAGGTGATATTTACCGCCAATATCTATACAAATGCATTAGTAACGGAAAATTAAATGGAAGGAAAATGGATAGATAGAACATACTCTGGTAGAAAGGAGTAGCAGGCACGGTCAAAACACCAGCCAAAAAGTCTCTGGCCCAGCCGTTGCCACCAGTCGCCGAGGCGGAGTAGGGTCCATAGGCACAGATCATATAGTCAATGGTAGCCATGTAAATAGCGTAGTTAGCGATACCGACAATGGCAGCGAAAATCATGCTTCCAATCCAGTGAATGTTCGACAAGCTGGTCCAGGCGAAACCGAAGAGACCAATGGGCAGACAAGGTGCAGTGTACAACAACCACCAAAGACGGGATTCGTACTGCGTGCGCTCGTCGTCCGGCCAGCGAAGACGCTGGGCCTTGTTCCGACGGAACACGGGAATGAATGATGCATAGGCGATAAAATAGCCGACAAGGATGGGAATGAAGGATAGACCAATAGCCCAGGCGCTAAAGTTCCATTGCCCGTACACCAAGGAGAAAGACTGGATGAACATGAAAATCAGAGCGTCGCTGAATCCACTGAGGAGCGAAAGAGTCATGACAATTGGCTCTGTCAAGAACATGCGGAACGGACGAATCCATGTGGCAAGAACCTCACGGACCGAGAAGCGCTCCCTGTAGGGCACCAGTTCGTTGGGGCCGTAAACATTAAGATCCTCGCCGCTCTTTCGCTTTTGCTTGGCGATCTTGTCGAGCATGATGCTAGTTCTTGTTTCAGGTACGAAGAAGAAGTGCAAAGCCTGGACAAAACCACCAAAGATCAACTGGATCCAGATGTTCCAGCGCCAGGGGAGGAATTGTTCAACGAAACCACCAACGACAGGCCCGATGACGGAACCAGCAACAGAGGAGAAGACGACGCAGGCCACAGCATACTGCTGGTCATCAGCCTCCCACAGGTCGGCGATCATACCAAGCGTGACAGAGCCGCCGGCAGATGAAAGACCACCCAGGGCCCGACCAACCATGATGGTGGCGAAATTGGGAGCGATAGCAACAGGGATCTGCCAAATGTTGACAAGAAAGAGACTGGCTTGGAGGATAGGCTTGCGGCCAAGCTCCTCACTCCACGGAGCCCACAGTTCACAGCCAAAGGCGTACAAGACAAGGAAAATCATGGCACCACAACGAGCAGCCTGCTTGCTGACGTTGAACTCCTCAGAAATGCCCCCGACGGCGTTGGAGTAGAGACTAGTATTAAAATTCATCGAGACCTGGACCATGAAGATGACCATGATGATTGTCCATTTCTTCAACGAAGAGAAGGAGTAGCCCAGCTGGTCGTAACAGTCGGCCTCGGTGAGCTCAATCTTGGGGTCGGATGGAGTACGCTGGACCTTGTCCAGCGACGAACGCTGATTGGTGTGCGAGGGATCAATGGCGGCATTGTCTTCCTTGAGGGCGTTGTTGAGAATGGCGTCCACATGAGTGGAGGAAGTCTCGCTGTCGCGGGGCTTCTCCGAGGAGAGTTTAGGGTCACCCGCCATGGCCTTGCACCTAAAGTCAATTCGAACTAGTTAGACAGAGAACCATAGATGGAATGGGAGAGGATGGTTAAGAGGCATACCGATGGTTTCGGTTGTATAGAGAGAAAAGACGAGAAAACGAGGGCAGTCTCAAGATGTCAGAGTCTTTGAAAAGACTGAAACAAAATGAGAGAGCTCACAGAGCTGACAGAGTCAGCAGGAAAGAGACACACTGATTATCTCTGATAATTAGAGACAGGAATCAGAAGTTCCAAGAAGACAATCAGGAACGATGAGGAGAAGTGAAAGGGAAAAAAGGGAAAAAGGAAGACAGTGAGTGATGAGGGAAAGAAGAAACAAAGTGAGGAAAGTAAGAAAGGTGGGAAGGGAAGAGAAGAAAAAGGAACGTTGGGGAAGGGACGTATAATAAATACAGCCCGAAGCGGATGAATTCAAATAATTTGGGAAAGGACAGTGGTGAATGATACCTGGTTACCCGATAGGGAAAGTATGGGGAACGGCCCCATGCCGATACGACGGTTGACCGACGGTCCACTGTAGGTCATTATTACAGACACACTCCGGGGTGTGCAGTACGGATATAATAAAATACGCCGGTAGCCCTATGCTATAGTCTCGTTGTTTGTGTCGATAGTACTACAGATGAGTACTAAAACAGGGACATTTGTAACTGTAAACAACGAGCAACGGTATGCCGAACATACAGCCTCCAGGTACAAAGTATTTCTTTGCCACGGCGGATGTTTTCTTTCGAATTTTGAATACGGAACGCAAGCACGGGAAGGCGAACAAGAGGAACGGATGCCAAGGTCTAAACCAGACTAACAGAGTTTGGTTAGTGCCATTATTGCCTCCCCACGGGCAAGACCAACTCCAACCCGCATTGGTCCACCCCGGGTTTAGTGTAGGCGGTCGAGCGCATCTCCGGATTACCCTGTTTGGGAACAGAAACGGACTGGTCAACAGAGGTGAGTAGTATTTACATAACATGATAGGAACCTCGTGGAATAGTCATATAGATTACTAGAGAAATGCATTGTTGCACCGGGTTGTACGGGGTAAAAGATTCCATGGACCACCCAAGTCACAGGGACCAACAAATTGACGTCTTGCAGCAAACCAGGCCGATGGCTCGGAGTTGACCGGCATCTTACGTCATGTGACTTTCCTGAAACAGACTGCGCTACGGAGTACCCTGTAGATCGAGATGCTATGCTGTTCATAGTCATAACACATACTATGTACACACTCCGTACACGTACTCAGTGGCATACCGATTGTCATCGCATGATATTCTCCGACTGCCAGCCATCTTCACGTGACATTTTTCTTCGCCGGTTCCGGTTCGGCCGGTTTCCGTCCCTGTTTATGGCTCCGTGTCTGACCGCCTTCCGGATCCGGCTGTGTCAGTTCCAGCTTCAACATACTACTCCGTACAAACTACTGCCCGGTTCACCTTCGTCAACTTCACTACTCTTGCACCTCTTATTCATCGGTTTCTATAACCAGGAAAGCAGTCTCGTCGCTGTTATCTACTGTATCCACAGCTTGACATCACCTTAATTTCCCTGTGGCATGAACGATCCTGTCAGCGAACCGTCTCTTCCCCCGCGTAGTTCACCGCGCAGTCGTCTGTCTATCTCGGAACATCGTCGTTCAGCATTGGCCGGCTTGAATCCAAACATGGCCGACTCTATCGTTGGCGAATCCGATCCCCGGCCCTCGTCCAGGACCCGTGCGAGCAATGGCGGCAGTCCGATCTTGGCCACCACCGGCGATCCACACCACCACCGCACTCCCTCACTAGGAGAATTGCATCAGGAGCTCGAGCAAGAACAGGAAGCTCAAGTGGTATGACAGGCCCCTGCCCACTTCTGAGTTTGCGCTATTCGTCTAATAAGTATCCATGTGGAAATAATCATCGGCACCGCTGACCGTTTAACTTTGGTTATTAGAACCGACTGCTACAGATGATTCGGTCCCAGCAGACCCAACTCCAGCAACTTCAGCAACAGCAGCAACCGCAGTCCTCTGGAACCACTATTGTCGACGAGACTACCCCACATTCCGATTCTACGCCATTCCCACCAATCCCGCCACTCTCCACGGCAAGTGGCCGAACTTCCACCCAATTAGTATCCCCCTCGTTCTCCAGTCGTCGGCAGTCTCGGCCGTCTAGTCAGGCCGCCTCCCCTAGTCTCCGACCGCAATCTTCCCTGCACCATCTGCGCGGACCCCCGGAAGGACTGGAAGCACTTGCGGGCACCAGTGACAACGCCGCGTCTCGGAGTAACAGCAGAGATGAGTGTGCTTTCTATCAGGCAGAAGCAGCCATGCTTTCTCGAGAAAATCAGATGTTGCGTCAGCGAATCAGGGATTTAGGTAAGTCATGCATGCGGCATTTTGGTTTTCTCGTCGTCTTTTTCTTTGCTTTTTCTTCCTCCTTCCGACCGAAAAGTACTGTCATCTCACCCCGAATTTAATTTTTTTTTTTTTTTATCTCCGTAATTACCACGACGCTAACATCGGACCGATTTCTCTTCCCGTCTAGAGCGACAAGTTGCGTCCCAAATCCAGCCCGACTCGGTAGTCGACAAGACTTGATTTAGGCAAAATACAAGATACCAAGACAAAAAAAAAGAGACAGGGCGGTGTACAAGGTCTTAATGACATCATTCCATCTTCCCCAGATTTGGCATCAACAATTCTCCGCGGCACCTTCTAGATTCCATCCCATACTACCTAACGGTACAACATACACAAATAAATACCCATGTTCGCCATGTGCCATGTGAGATGAACCCGAACCTGGCTGTACAAGTTATCTGTGTACCCCCTATTCATGTGTTTGCGTCTCACAAACGCCCACAAGGTGAAGAGGTGAGCAGATACCACCAGTATGATATGGTGAGATTTGTTCGGGCTGAAGAGTATCACTAGGCTACATGATTATACCCTGTTTGATTAGTGTTTTTTGTACGTATACAATAGGTCCTGCTACATCAACACAAACATAATTTTCTACTTTAATATCTAGATCACATAATGTAGTACGGATATATTTCCAACACTGACACCTGACACATGATACCAAGTACACTTGCTCAAGGATTATGGAAATACATCATAGCCTATCCTGGCCTATATGAAACAAGTACCGGAAAAAACCACCTACTTATTAATAGACCATTCTATAAACAAACATGTCCAGATTGGGCTCCAAATCACCGAGTCATCGTATCCATGTTCTATTCATATCCCTACATTAACAAGAGCAGATGACATCCATGGCCACTATTACTGCAATACTACAAGGAACAAGGAGCACACTACACCACATACAAATACGACTAGATAAAACCCCGAATCAAAAAGATGAGGAAAATACACCTCAGGTATATTCTATAATAATATATACAACACGCTAATCCATATCCCTAACTCATCATACATCCACAAAAGCTTACAACTTAGCCTTTTCAGCCTGAGCCGCAAGATCCGGCATCAGCAGGTCCCGCAGGTCATTCGCGGCCTCGTTCAAGTAGTAGCTCATCCGGTTCGCGCCGATGCGCTTACAGACGATGTTGAAGTTGAGGCTGTTGCATGTTAGTTTCATTTTCTTTCCTATAGAGCGAAGGGGGGAAGGTGAAGACATACCTGTTCTCATTAACCATGTAGGCAATACCGAATCCATCATCAATGACCTGGCTCCATCCGTATCCGTTGAAGAACTCCGAGCTCAACTGGCTGGTCGACAGGTACCACGAGCCACTGTAGCTGTAGGCAGGGTCCTGGTAGAGATCAGGCAGCTGCTCGCCATCCTTGAGTAGCTTCTTCAGACCGAACAGATGGCGGTCGACACCGCGGCCGTCGCCGGCGTCCATGGTGTACTTGGTGTGCGAGGCAAGAGCGGTGCGGAAGAGACGCACGACTTCTTCGCGCGGGACGGAGGAGTCGTGGTGGGCCTTGCAGAAGGCGGTGCTGTCGTCCGAGACGGTACGGATGGTCTCCGTACGGCCCTCTTGGAACTTGCGGGTCGAGGCGGACTCGTAGGTGGGGCGATTCTTGCCGTACATCTTGAAGTAGGCGAGCTGGATGATCATCTGGACGTATGCGTCGGGGCTGCACTTGAACTTCTTGATGAGACCCTTTCCGTAGCCCTGGTAGGCCTGCACGACCAGCTCGTGAGAGCCGATCTGCTGGCTGTGCTCCTTATGGGCGGCAGTGATGAACTCCTGCACGGCGTCGTTCACTTTGAACTCGATGGGGCGAGGGTCAGCAAGGTTGGAGCGGACAGGCTTGTCGGAAAGGTCAATCTTATTGTTGAAGATGAAGGAGTTGAGGACGTCATTCAGGCGGTGAGTGGGGCTACCGTCCATCATGCTGTGCTCACCCATGAAACCGGCAGTACCGTTGTCGTTGATGATGAACTGCAGCGGCTTGTCGAACCAGCGGTTGCAGCCGTCGCCGTGCCAGTACTGGTGGGCCCGCTCCTCCAGGGTAACGGGGGTGGCATCGTCGAGACAGACAAGGAAACCAGCAGACTCAATGTCTTTAATAGTCTGCTCGTTGACCGGATCGGCTGCCAGCAGCTGCTTCCGGGCATCGTTCCAGAGGTCGCGGTTGGCAACAGTCAAGACACCCACCGGGGGAGCGCGCTGCGCAATCTCATAGATACGCTCAAATTGTCTCTGGAACTCAGAGAAGCTAAGGGGCTCGCCATTGACAACAGTCGGCACCTTGAAGAACTGGTTTTTGCGCACAACAACAATATGCTCGCTGTCCTTAGCAGCATACTTGCGAGGCGCATCAACACCATCGCCAGGAACACGGGAGCAGTTAAACATGTACTCATACGAGCCCATAGCCATAGGCTGGCCACGCATGTACTCCGGCTCCAACGAACCATCATCAACCTGCTTCTTAAACTCCAGGGCAGCAGAAACAACGGAAGCAGCTCGCTTAGCAGGCTCGCGCCGTGCTCGGTCATCCTTGAACGAATAAAAGTACGAAACATAGGGGATAACGGGGTCCCGGTATCCCAAGTACGCAGCGTTATTCCACCACTCCGTCAACCAGTTCCGGCAATTCGGGTCCGCTGCGCGCGCCAACAACCGCTCCTGTAGAGTCTGGCCAGAGCCACCAGGACGGATGAAAGCCTCGACGGCCTTTTTGGTACGCTCGTACTCGGCATCAGTGACGATGGGGTGGACGGATTTCAGGTAACGCTTGGCGGTTTCCTCGAGAGACGGGACTGGTAGACGGGGAAGGGAGTCTTCGAAACGGAGCATCTTGCCTTTGGAGATGTCCTCCTTGTATCCTAGAATTCATTAATGCCGGTGATTGGGTGGAAACATGTGATCCTAGGAAACTCACCCTCAGGAACGGAAGATGCATTGCGACGAGGAGCCATGATGGGAGACTGTTTCGCAGTCAATACTCTACTCCTCTCTTTTACAGTCCTATCCTAGGTACTCACTGATCTGGCGAGAATAGAGGGAGTAGGAGAAAGACGTTGCCGCGTGAAGGTGGTGGAAAGACGGCTCCGCGCAGCAGCCGTGAACATCCCTCTGTTTGAAAGGTGGCAAAGGAAAGAAGAAGAAGAGGTCAAGGAAAAAGGGGAATTGAGGTCAAGGGTGTCGTAAGAATGAAGAAGCAGACCGGAATAGAAAAGAGGTTAAAAAAAGAAAGGTCAGAAAGAGGGATGATGTCCTCAAGAATTAAAGCGGAACACTTTGAGCCTCGGTTGGAGCGAATTCCGTCACAACCGACCGAGTGTTACCGTACAGTATCGTCACACCTGGTCACGCGCACCCCGTTCGGGGCGGTGGAAGGGAGGGTTTGTGGTGGTAAGAATGGTAATGGTGTGGTCAGAGATAGTGACAGGACGATAATACCATTTCAAGAGCCATGAGCCTCGGTTGGATCGATCCGTTGAAAATACTAATGAAATTAGATGGAATATGAAGATAAAAATAATATAGAGCAGTATAGGGGGTTATATAGAGGGCTACACTGGGAAAGAAGATTACTGTATATATGCACCCCGGCTACCAAAACTCTGCAACTGCTATACAGACTCAAGGTTTATAGAAATGTGGGGGGATCTCCAATGACGACCGGCTTAGATCTGATATAGATGGCTTCTTCACTCAAGAACAGCGAATTAACAAACACTATCAGACCAAAAAAAAAAAAAAAAAAAAAAAAAAAAACTGGACTGAAGATGTGATGAATTTAATGGAGTCCGGGGTTGAACTTTCATTGGCAGACGTCATCTCCTTTCATCCGTTCCCGCTGCCCCGGATTGTACCATAGTAGCACTAGAATAGAGAAGCACCGTTAGATATC